CATTCGAGCATCCTCATTCGAGCATCCTCATTCGAGCATCCTCATTCGAGCATCCTCATTCGAGCATCCTCATTCGAGCATCCTCATTCGAGCATGATAACCTCCCTGAAGTCATCAAGCCATCCGCGACTGGGCCGAGGCCGTTGTTGACCTCGGCCCTGTATTTTAACAGCAGCAGTCGGCAGGTTCTCCGGACGTCGACAAAATCTGGTGACAAGATGTTGGGTTCTTCCTTGATCCGGCTCTTTCTGTCAGCATGAGCCCCTGACAGGCAGGACATTCACACATGCTGCATATGCTCACAGAGGTGCAGTGCCTCCAGCCTGCGTCAAAGAGAGCACAATATCACCCGGCGTTTCAGGCACAGGTCGTCCATCACCTTAACTTCCTCGATCTTGGACGCACCCAAACGAGCGAAAGCACTCATAACCACGCACTCGAATTTGTCGGTGTCCCGCTTCATCGTACATGAATGCCGAGGCCCCTCCGCCATCATAAAACCCCAGAAATAAACCGAGGTACCATCGCCTGTCACTGATCAAAAAGCTGTGATAAATTCAACGCGCCCTTTGCCAGTTTAAGATCCAATCATTCGACTCCGCGAAACTTAGGTCGCCAAAAAGACTCCAGGCGCCACGCCGTGGATGACAAGAATACAGACACACGATAAAGAGGAAGCCGGAAGAGGAGGGTGGAGCGATGCTCTGATCACCAGGCCGAACTCGACGAGTGGTATCAATGGTACTACATGTCTCATCCGGTCGAGAGGGATTTACTTGTGCTACTCGACGATATTATGTACCGCAATGGAGTACAATCAGCAGTCAGAACGAAGAATATATATGTTTGAGTATCAATGATAGCATTCTTTCGTGAAAAAAACCACTGTTGAGGTAGAATGAGTATCATGAACGATGAATATTTCTATAATCGTCCTAGAACAACCATGCCACCACCAGTGATCCCTTCAAATACCAGCGCATCATGATACAGGGGGGTATTAATGCTCGACTTTCATGATCGGCCGTTACTGATGGCTTTTGCGCAAGCAAGAGACACAATCCACGGCTTGTGTGGAACCGTGAGAAGCCGTTAAAGGGTATTGGTGATAAAGTAATCTGATACATACCGGGTGGACTATAACTCATGTCGTAGATAGGTGCCACATAGCAGACAGCGCGACCCTGTACGGCGCTTGGATTGTAGTGAGGTTGAAAGCAACATGGGACTGCACTAAGGTCACTGGACAAATCCCTGGTTTGAGGGGAGAGGTTTGCAGCGCTCTATGCTGAGCTGAGTCCTCTGTCGACAAACACACTTTCCAACGGTGTAGCGCTTAGACGTCGGCGACCCTGTCGTACACAGGTGCGGTGCCGTTATAGTGAGTTCCAACGTGAGCCTCTCTGCTGTTGACTCCAATATTGTGAGCACCGACACCAGTGCTGGTGGCGCTGTAGTCATTGTTGCTGTTATTGCCATTGGTAGTATTGTTGTTGTGTCCAACATTGTTAAGCTCTTGCGATTGGTGGGTCGGGGCGTCTTGACCGGGGATATTGACCTTCTCGCGGGCAGCAGGGTCGAAAGCCGAGTCGCCATACTCTTTGATGCGGAGACCCAATCGGCCAGGGTCAATATTCCAATGGGTGGCGATCAGGGCGATGGAGAAACCCGGTTTGGCAAGGACATCGAGAACACCGTAGAAGACAGACTCGCTGTCGGGAGAGATGACGTTGCCACCTTCGGCTAGGCCCCAGCAGATAGGGTAGCAAAACCAGACGACGAGCGTAAGAACACCGCAGAGGACAAACGAGCGATGGACGTCCTTGCCCAGAACCTTGGCGTGTTTACGGGCCGGGAAGGCGAGTTCCCACATGATGTAGAACATGGCGGCACAGCCGAAAGCGTAGAATCCCCATTTGTAGCGGGATTTGACCAGGGCACCAATCAGGCCAGTCACAATCATGATCTCGTCGAGGAGGATGATCCAAAGAATGGTGGGCCACGGCATGCCGGCGGTCAACAGCAGATCCATCAGCAGCATCGGGGTGGTGATAAACCAATCGACGTATCTGGCGTAGAAGACCTGTCTGTTGACACCGTGGACGAGATGATCACTGCGCATCCACTCGACGTCGATAGGAGTCCATCCGAGATTGGCGCCCATGGTGAAATAGGCAATGCAAGCGACCATACACAGACCACTGGTCAGGTAGAAGAAAATCCGATCGGTTCGAGGCTTCATTCTGCTGAGCGCGAGAATGGCGAGACTGGTGGTACCCATCACGGCGCACACCGTGAAGTACCAGTCAGAACCACGTACTGTTTGGTGGATGGCGACAGACTGGTTGTTCTGTGTCATTGTGTTGACGGTCAGGGCGCCATTGCGCCTCACGAGGTTCGACTCCATCGTGCCGGACGTTCCTTTGTTTCGTGAGAAGGATAGTCCGGGGTTGCAAATTAGGCGGTTGAATCAGGTTCAGAAATATTCCCTTGCTCAAGATGCAGGTTAGTGATGTTGATATATGTTGGTCGTTACCCATGTGGTCATTGCTTCCCCCGGAAAAACGGCATGTCATGAAACAATGACGTTCATCTCAATATCTGCACCGTAAAAGATACTCTGGACGTCATGACCAGGGCCGGGGACGAAGAACTGTCGCGCATGATATGGCGGTAAGATTTCTTTTGCTAGGCTTGCTGTAGGCCTAATGCAACAGGTATCGTTTCGGATGTTCAAGCCGTCGCATTGTCGGATTGGCCCTGAACAAACCGTAACGAAGCCGTTATTCCGTGTTCCCAAATTTCAGAGTTATGTATTGGGGAGTCCGAGGAGATCGTACCAGGTGGCAGAACCTTGCAATGATCGTCCCGCAAGCGTGGCAGCCGGCCTGGATTAGCATATTACATCAGCCGCAATGCTTAATTCAAGGATGAAACCCGGATACCATGGTGCCCCATGTTGTGCTACCAAAGGTACATCACTTCATAGGTGGCGCGAGGCTGTTGGTGGACAGACGGACGTCCGTCAGTACCATGTTCACTTCAGTACCATCTTTTTAGTTGTAGGTCGCCATGCTCCCAAGGTACTTCCGGTCTGATGTCCAGGTCTGTCCAGGGGAGATGGGTTCACAAAAAAGCCCCACACCCTTCTGTTACCGTTTGTCAACCGTGCTCGTGTGAGAAGTGAAGAAGTGGAAGCCGTGGCGTACCGGATCAAATATCCAGAAGGGAGAACCACAAGGCTGGACAGAATTCCGTCATGACTCTTCCACGTGATACGGATTGTCGGCATCAGATCCAGCCTCCAGGAAGATATTGGAAAATCCTCCAGACCGCTTGACCGAATTACTTGCAATTTCTGCATCGTTGGGTTTCAACCTATGCCGGAGGAAGTGGACGCGTAATTCTGTCGGCTGGCCGCATCATGGACATGATGTTTTCTTTCATCATTGGTGAAGTCACTTGCTAACGGGATTTGCGATTGTGTCGGTCTTCTTGGCCTCTATCCTGCGGCAAATGTACTCTTTTCGCGCAATGTCTGTCCATACTTCCACAGAAGCAACGGGGCTGGAACCCCAAGGCCAATGGCAATGAACCCTAGCATGGAGTTTCCCCAGTTGAGCCCAAGCGCGGAGTACATGTACGGCGCAAAAAGAGGACTGTTTGGTACATTGTGTCAGTCCAAATGGTGCTCCATGGAGAAGAGCGTTCAACTTACAAGCCAAACCCTGCTAAACTTCTCAGCACGACAGCGGAAGCCACAGCGGAGGCGGCAAATCGAGAGTATGCGTCCACAATGTACGTCTGGGTACACTGAAACCCCATGATTGTCCCAGCTGCGAATATGGCAGCTCCAATATTGGGCACGATCCAATGCGTTGCTTCGTAGGCGCTCCAACCGTAAATGAACAACCCAATAGGTACGAGGGCGGCTCCTGGAACCATCAAAGGAACACGAAACTCGGGCTTCCCCACATTGTTGTTCCGCTTTTTCAGTCTACGATAGATGCGGTCATTGATTGGGGCGCAAATTTGGGTGCCCAGGAAGAAGCCCACGCCGAGAGAAATGTAATTTAGACCTCCGATGCCAGTCGATTCGTGGTAGACATCCGTCCACACAGTTGGAAAGGTAGAGAGGACAAGGTACATTAGTCCGTACAAATACGCCCTTGACCGAGATTATTATCAAGCACAGACTTTGATGGGGATATGGCTTACATGTATATTGCAAGGGCCTGGATGATTGGCTGAGTCCCAAGCATTCGAAATGGACGTATTAGACTTGACTTGAGGACTTTGACCAGTGTTCTGTCGGGATGCTCCCATTCTGTATGAAGATCGGGGTTGCCTGTCTCATGCCGCAGCTTCTCTGCCTTGTTCGCCAGTAATTTTGGCGCATACGTCTCGCGAAGGTAAATCAAGCCCAGGACTTGAACACCGGCGTCGACTATCGAAGTTGACCAGAAGCACCATCTCCAGGTTGTCTGTTGGGGTCAGTTTACTCCTTGTTACTACCAATATCGATTTGATTGGGCTTACCTTCAACGCAATATATCCGCCGGCAATTGGGCCCACAGCAGGGCCAAGCAGAGGCGCAAGGCTGTAAATACTGATTGCTTTCCCACGTTCATCCGCTCGCCAGCAGTCACTCAGCAGTCCACCACCGAGAGCTAACGGAGCGCTTCCACCTAAGCCGCTGAGGAAGCGAAAAGCAATAAGTTGACCTTGTGTCTGCGCAAAGCCGCAGCCAATATTGAAAGCAAGGAAGAAGAGGTTTGAGAGTTGCAGAACGATGACCCGACCGTAGATTTCGCTTAGCGGCCCAAGAAAAAGTGGTCCAATAGCATAGGCGAGCACAAAGATTGAGAGCGTTAAGGATCTTTCAACCTCAGAATTAATGCCCAGATCTTGTCCAATTTTGATCAGGTCAGGCGCCACCATTGATGAGGACACTGGTGAGATGAAGGTAAAGGAGGATACGATCAGAGTTGCTGCCCATTTCTGTTTGTCAGTCCAGTTCTTCGGATTCTCCGGGTCTTCGGGGCTTTCCCAGGTAACCTGACGTCAAATCAGTTTTCTGCTTGCCATCACTAGCTAGGACAAGCACTCACAAGGTTCGGATCCTTGATCGATCTTACAGATTTCTCCCTGGTCAGTTCGGGGGGGTTGGCTTCCACATCACGACTGTCTCTGGTGTCCCGAACGCCAAATCTGACCTCGTCTACAGATGCGGTGGTACTTGTGTCTGCGTCATCCTCATCGGGAATGGTTGCCGCGTCGCTGAGATCGTCTGGGACAGAGTCGGCGTGATATTGGTGAGCACCGTGGTCATCCATGAATTGAGGAGAAAACAGTTGGTGGAGCCCATCGTCCGGAGTCGATCGTGCTCGTCTTAAAGGATCGCGTGTGCGTGACTGCTGGCGTGGGAGATTAGCCGGCGCCGTTCGGGTCCTGTTCAAGTTAGGTGCCATGATAGGTCTCTCAGGATGCTAGTAGAAGAACAGTCCGACATGCAGCTGCCGTGATCGGTCAATAAAAGAAAGGAGGGGGTAACAGGCCGAGGATGATATATGCATGGCAGTAGTCTCGGATTTAGAGGCTGGAGCGGCATCTCAAAGTCCATGTTACTGGAGAATGTGAGGCGAATACAAAAGAACGCGCAGAATTCATTGCATCGGCCCCGCCCAGTCCATGACCAGTGTCATCCGGAACTCGGCACGGGGGAGGAATGGGATTGGCGGAGTCTGCTCTCATATCAAGGAGGCGAATCATGATGAAGACCGGTCAGCCTGTCCAGTGAAGCAGATTTTGATGGGCCGTTACCGGCGTGGCTGAGGGGCCGCTTTCCTGAGGTTTACATGTTGATGTCGCAGAGTCGCTTTGGAAGGCGACGTCGGCGAGATAATGAAATAAAGTGCTGGAAAAAGCCGCCACAGCCGCAAATTATGCAATTACGTCACTTTACTAATGATTGTCTACTGCGAAGTACAGTGACAGCAGGCATGATCTACGGTCGAGCAAGATTTCGTCTGGTCAGTCTACAACATAATTGACTTGGTTACCTTAGACATACGGAGTACTGTAGTCGTTATCTTTCCGGACCCTGATTGTCCAGTGGATTGCTTCATTCAACGGTGGGCGGTGGCATTATACCCCAACCTGAACCATATACTCTTGTCATTATGTTTGCGACCAGTGGCCAGACCAAGACATTCCGCATCTTGGATGTTAATCACTTTTCTCCCTCGTAGATCATGCCATCCTTTGGATCCTCTACTCAAGTTAAGTTCTATCGTACCCTATTGATAACCGGATCCAAAGCCTATCGTCCTTCAACTTCGTTCACTGGAAGACGGTCATTTTCGTCCCTCAAAATGGCCGCATCTCTAATCACAAAATATGAAATCAACGCGGACATGGGTGAAGGTTTCGGGAGGTGGAAGCTGGTATGGTTCTTTGACTCGCAGGTCGCTGGCTGGTCACTAAGATTCAACCTAGGGCCCTGATGACGAGCTGGTCAAATACATCGATGCCGCCAATATTGCTTGTGGCTTCCATGCTGGCGACCCAACCATCATGATCAACACAGTGCGTCTATGCAAGAAACATAATGTCAAAGCCGGCGCACACCCCGGATTGCAGGATCTGGTGGGTTTCGGAAGGCGAAAAATGGAAGTGAACCCCAGCGACCTCTATGCCATGATCCTCTATCAAGTCGGTGCGTTGCAAGGCATTCTCAAGTCTGAGGGCCTAGAGTTGACCCATATCAAACCTCATGGCGAACTCTACTTTTACATGCTACGAGACGAAGCGATTATGCGAGCTGTGCTGGAGGCTTGTGCGCTATTCAAGGTCCCCGTGTATGCTTGCAAGAATGACAGGCAGCAAGCTATCTGCGACGAACTAGGAATTACATTCCAGGAGGAGGTTTACGTCGATATTGACTACGACAGCGAGGGCAACCTTGTGCCGGTGGCCAAATCACAGCCTGTCACGCCGGAGTTGTGTGCCGAGCGCGTGCTTCGAATGGCCGAAAAGGACGAGACAGTTGCCAACGATGGGAAGACTGTGCAGCTGGGCTTCAAGGGGCGGCCTTTCAGCGTGTGTATACACTCTGACATGGCTACAGCTTTGGGCAATGTCCAGAAGACCCGAGATGCTATCAATCAGGTGAATAGCCCTCGCAGGGCTGTTTGATGCTGTCGCAGCAAGAATAAATGTACAACGTATGTGAACAAAATCCTTGAGGACAGATTCACAGATCCCTGTCAGTCTCTAAGCAATAATCTTGTTGGCTTTCTGACTCTCGTGAGTCCTCGTAACGTCGTCGGATGCTTTTTCATCCGTCATAATGGTAGTAGTGGATTCGACATATTTCCCAGTCACTGCCAGTCTCGTCAGTACGTTTTCGCCAGCAAGCTTTCTGGGAGATACTTACTGGGAGCTCTGTGGTATTGATCGATCCAGCTCACTTCGGTCCCTGTGGCGACTGCAACCTTTTGCACGAAATTGGGATCTCGCAGGAATTCTCGTGCAACCTGAACGACATCGGCTTTGCCATTGCTAAGAATCTGTTCGCGCATTGATTAGTTCCCCGTCGCACGTAAGCCCCATCTAACGAATTGTACTTACATCATGCACAGTAACTCCGTCCCTGATCCAGCCGACCGCGCCGATGTAGAAGTCCGGAATCTTGAGGTTTCTTACAGCCGTGGCGAAGGGCACTTGATATTGCTGACCAAGCTGGACTTGCTGTCTTCGATCGGTGCCGCCACTGGAGACATCAAGCATGTCTACCCCTTCCTTTGCCAGCATAGGGGCATATCTGAGAGTACCTTCGAGCTCCCAACCTTCGCCCTTGGGCAACCAATCCACTGCGGAGATCTTCCAGAATAAAGGAGTAGTGGCGGGAATGTTCTTTCGGATAGCACGAACGACCTCGATGCCAAAACGAGTGCGGTTCTCAAAACTGCCACCCCACTTGTCGATCCTCTTGTTTGTCTGTGCCGCGGTGTTAGTTTGAGCTTCACTAACGGTGGGTGGCAAGGCTTTTCGTAACTTACAGCAGGAGAGGCGAAAGAGTGAATCAGGTATCCATGCGCGCCGTGGACAGCGATCGTATCGACACCAGCCTGGATGGCACGTTTTGCAGCCGCACCATATGCTTCGATAGTCTCCAGAATCTCCTCTTCAGTCATCGCTGCCGGCGTAGCGTAGTTTTCATTCCAAGGTTCGGCAGTAGGTCCCTGGACACTCGCCGGGTTACCCCCAAATTCATCTGGCACGAGTTTCAAGCCTAGCCAAGGGGGGCAGATGCCACTTTTTCGACCGGCATGCTGTAGCTGAATCCCGACCTTCTGTGATTGAGAATGTATCAGATTGACGATTCTCCTTAGTGGTTCGATCTGTTCGTCCTTCCAGAGTCCTGCGTCTTGAGGAGTATTCTTCCCCTGTTGCAAGGTTTAGCTGGCTGACACAAACGGCGACATCGAACTCGCCACAGGCTCCAAGACTTACTCTTTCAGTCACGGCAGTCGCCTCGATCGTTATCAAAGCAGCTCCGCGCATCGCCCATTGCCCATAATGTGCGACATGGAAATCGCTGAACATTCCATCCTCACAACTATACATGCACATTGGGGCAACCCATATACGGTTCTGAAACGTCAGGCTGCGAATCGTAATGGGCTTGAACGCTGGGCTGATTGTGTCCTCGGTGATACCTTGTTCAGGTTTCAAGATAGCAGTGCCCACAGGGACTCTTTGCTCTGGCGTGAAGAATGGTACGCCTCGAACGGAGACACTTCTGAAATCCGTATATTCGCCGACGTCGATAGAACCCATTTTGGCCGATCGGTCGGGTGTCCGTTGGAAAATGCGATAACAGACCTCTGGCGGCCGCGGAGCAAGGCCGATTGTTCTTCGAGTGTCCAGTGGAAAAGAATAGGCAAAGGTCCTTTCAAAGGCTCAACGTACATGCAACTCAGGCTGACTTAGTATGTGCCGCGGGGATCATAGCCTGTGGCCCGAAGCTCGAATGCCCCCATTTTTGGGCAATGACAGCAACATCTGATAGCACTAGCGCACTTCTCCTTTATTCTACCCCAAGTGTAAACTTTTGATCAACGTCACTTGGTGAGAGATGGGGTCATCTTAGGTCAGCATCAAGGTCATGATTAATTATGGCCAAGACACTTTCAAAGATAATGTCTCGTCTGTCGTCGGAATGATAACACTCAATATGGTTTAGCGTAGCCTTATCCGAGGTCGGTGAATAAGTTAGTGGACGAGTGACAATGGAAGTATGGACGTCGAGTAAATCAGGGACTTGTAGCTTTAGCGGGTAGGGTAACTTTATGTATGTAGGTCTTCTTAGCCAAGATATCCAAGTCGACCTTTATTTCATCGTAATTCGAATATTCTGGTCTTTTTCCTCCGATCATGCTCAGGATCGTGAGTATCCTTAGCCTGCCACACGATGGCCTCGCCGTCCATCATTAGATGGACGTAGCATTCCCCAATCAGAGTGTAGTATTCCCTCTGCCACTCCGGGGCTTCGGCAACTATTGTGTCTCTGTCGAATCTGTGGTTCTCTTCAGATGACCAGGGCAGCGTAAATTCTTTTTCCTTTATAGCCTTCTTTACATAGTCTGACCACTCCTTGCTCGGAACGGGCAAACGCAGGGCATCGAACTTCTTCGAATCCCGGACGTGGCGTACTCCTCCCTTGACTGCGACAGTCGACGCACCTGCAGGGTGGTCGTCTCGGGACTCAACAGCAGGAGATGGGTCGGACGTATCAATGTTGATCAGGATCCTCCGGACGCAGGTCAGGCGCAAGGCGTGATTGGAAAGTTTCTCTGCCAGTGAGACAACAACCAAGTATACGCCCAGATGGAAGCAGGCAAAGATACTCAGAGCGTGCCCTTCCTGCAGACCCAAATTGCCTGTTTGATCACTGAAATGTCTCCACGAGGACAGGTCGCCCTGCTTGCCAGTAAAATGGACATTGTACCAAAGGCCGGCATAGATAGTGGCCACGATGAGCCACAGCGACTGCATGTACGACCACAATGTCTGTACATGGCTCGTAGTCATCGTTATGAACATGGACTTGCCTTTGCGATTCCGTTTCCGAAAGGATTGGTCAGATTGGTCATGCAGAACTTCATCAAGGCCATTTGGTAAAGAATCATTTGGGAGTTGGCTGGGGTTCGAGGATGCCGCATCAGCTTTTTCCGTTGCCTTGACCAGCTCTTTCAGGTGACGCCTCCTCTTCCAATTCTTCTTGATGAGGTTGGCAGACATTTCCACATCTTGTTCAAAGTCCTGAGCGACATCACCATTGGTCTTTTCTTGCCTTCTCAAAAGGACTGGCACGCTGCAACCATAGAAAATGCAGACGAGATCATCCTTCTTGGCTTTCTTAGGTATCAGGCCAAGATGCTTGCCATACTTTGTATGCATGAGCCTCCTGTTCCAGATGACCGCTTGAACTCTGCGCAGAAATTCAGCAACTATGGTGCATCGTCCATGGTTGATGATATGTTGCGTGTTTAATGGGATGTCATTATTGAGGACATGCTGAAGGGCTTCCTCGCAAGCGCGGGGATAGAATGTGGGCGGATTCTGCCCATGTGGCCCACGGTCAGCGACAAGCGTTCTCCAGAAGGCTTCAGGGACATGGTCAGCCCTTTTCCCCCATCCTCCAAATTGCGGCCATTCCTCCGGGATGGCCCCCATCATAGAATGTCCGGCCATTTCGCCAACCTCATCGAGAATGAAACCCTCCACCTGCATCGCGAAGTGCCGGGGTCTGAAGCGCAGTTTTGCAAGATTCAGCATGCGTGTACCAGCTGCGCTGTAATTTCTTCCTCCAACAGTTGGTAAGCCTACCAGAGGATCTGCGTTTCTGCGCTCCATATGCGGCCCGTAACCTGGCGTGAGAATCATAGAAAATGCTGCTTGGTCTAAGTCGCGCATCCAGGATGGCAAAGGCCGTTTGGGGTCGTCGGAAGTTGAAATCCTCCCGCGAAACTGAGCTTCATCATTCGGACCCTGATAGGCTATACCTGCACTATCGTCACCATGGCGTACAGGTGGTGCCCAAGGGCGACAGATAATGTCCAGGGGTCTTATTGGATCTGTCTTCATGGACTTCTCGATGGAGAACTTGACGAAATCACGATACACCGCTTCAACCGGTAACGCGTAATTGACTTCGTACTCCTCCATCTCGCTCATCCGTCGCCCCCAATTCTTCATGACATGTCGTACATGTTGCAGCTTTTCCAACTTGGCTTGAATGCGTTGAATATCTGGGTCATGTACGATGGCCATCTCTGCTGGGGCGGTGCGTGCCTTGGTATCTCTCGCTATTGAGAGGAATGCATAAATCGTATCACGAGGCTGCGAAGCCTGGAATACTGAATATTTGGATATCAGGTATTCAAGACTGAGAAGCGAGTGACGTGCCCCGTCGCTTGTCTTGCGGAACAAATTCCTTGTCGCATCAACCAGGAGCGCTGCACCAAGGGCATGGACGTCTCCAAAATAATCTGGCATATTTCCCATGAGTTGGTCTCTTTTCATCACGTCGGTGAGGAGGTGAGTCGCCGTTTCCACATGGACAAACAAAGAAACTGCGTCAGCAAATTCCTGCCAATCGATGTCTTTCGTTCCGCAATACAATCGTCCCTTCTTGGCTAGAGCAATCTCTTGCACAACCCATCTACGACTGAACCAGTCTCGACGCATCAAGTGAAGCAGAGCCTTCCAAGACGACGTTTGTGTTTCGTCCTTACAAAGTTCGTCAAATCGCCAAATATCGAGCAATCTCTTCGAGATGAAATCGATGGCTTTGTCGCTGTGTTCGTCAGCGGCTCCTACCCAGATGCAGACATTGGTGGCCTGCCCGTATATACGGTCCATTTTTGGCACTTGAGAATTTCGCTCTTCTAGGTTGCTCTGATTGATGCAGATAGCATCAATCCAAAGGTACCTGTCCTTTTTTCTGAGCCGTAAAGCTTTCATGGCTTCCACCAGATGTTTGGACACGGAGAAGTCATAAGCTACACCATTTTTCTGGACCCTGATTGATGTTGTGGCCGGATCGCGACCCCAGCTCCAGGATACTGCTTCATAGGAGATGTGCTCGCGAAACGCAGTGCGTCTGTCGCTGTCTGCTGCTGACTGCGATGACGCAGTGGCATGAACCTCAACAACATCAGGATCATTGACTCTTCCATTCTGTTGCGGATCTGCGATCAACTCGTCTTGATTGCCACTTAGCGTGGTTGTGATCAATTCACAATCGATCTCTTTATCAGGTGTACTCCCAGAGATCAGCCTCAGGACACGTATCTCGTCCTGTTGAAGCTCATCGTAGATATGTCGTGATTGCTTTTGCCTTGGCCGATCCTCAGGCCTTCTACGATCGTCAAGGTCCATGGTGTGTTCAGAGCGTCCGAAGAAGGCCAGAAATGGTGAGACTAGGTAGCAGACCAAGGAGGTTGGGCTATGATTGTGAGGCAACATACTACCCTTTTATGCGATGAAGAAGCACCTTATCGCGTTGAGCGCCGGAGCCTTCCATGTTGGTTAGTCGTACGCCACCATGGCGCGTACTAGGATATTCATAGCCAGTCCGGAAAGTTCAAGCTCATGAACATGGGGAAGCGGGAAAGCTTGGGCGTCGCATCTTTTCCCTTTCCGGAAGGAGAAGTGTCCAGTCATGCAAGTTTCAGCCGCATCGAAGAACATTCGATGTCCAGGCGACCGCGAGAAGCCCTATGAATGTTTCTAGCCTCGATCGAGCATGGCCTAAATCCGGCTCGTCGATCGAGCAAGCTGTAGTTCGTTCGCGTGGATGGAAGCGAAGGCCAGTCATCGTGAGGAGTTGGATTTCTGCGCAGATGTTGTGCGTGACTGGCACGTAGCCTCGAATCTTTCAGCTTTCTTCGGTGAACGGATGGTGCTGTGATTGAGTCCTTTAGCTGCATGACTTTCGATAGCGCCTACGCCATCTCTGTCATGGGCGAACCCGGGGTAAGAATAGGCGAAGTGCGTTGTTGTTCAGCCTGATCGTAGTCTTTTATCTACTTCTGTTCCTGCCGATGAAGGGAGATTGGGTCTTACTAGAGTGCAAACTACATAACATGCATCTGGCACTGCTGAGCTGCTGCAAGTACTGTCGCGTGATGTTGTCAGCAGAAACAATGAAATATGATGGCAGTTGGGCCGGAGTGGTAAGTCAATCGACGTGGTGGTGATCAGGTAGCAACGATCCGCCCTGCTGTCTCCCGAAGGCTCGGCGCTGCAGCCACTGCAGGCGCTAGTAATGCTTATTAAATTAACAGCCTGACCGACCGCCTTCCGGCCCTGCCCCAGGAACTTACAAAGTTATTGTCTTGGAATCATCAAGTCGAATAAAAGTACCTAGTGCATCAGAACGAGCTCACCATCCTGACATATATCTTCTGCTACACCAGATTTTAGACAGACAGGTTCTCGGGACAATATGTCACTAACACACATGACCACACGCTAAGGCTTACATCGATGGGTACAGGAAAACTATCCCTGCTGCCACAACTTCGTCGACTTCCCTTCGTAACCATTCTTATCCAACTCAGCAACCTCCTCACGGGTCAATCTCCAGCCCAAAGCCTGCATATCCTCCACAGCCTGCTCTTCCTTCCTGATACCCACAGTCGGCACCACACCCTTGGAAATGTTGTAATTCAGCGCCACAGCGGACATGCTCACGCCCCTACGCTGGGCAATCTGTCTCATGACATTGTGCAACGGCTCGATGTACTCCATCGGATACGAGGAGAACCGGTAGGTCTTTGGCGGTGGGTGGTCTTTGGTGTACTTACCCGTCAAGCGGCCCTGGGCCAGTGACGAGTACGACTGGAACACGATCCCATGCTGTCTGCATGCATCAAGCATGCCTTCTGTTTCCGGCAGGCGGCGCAGGATCGAGTACTCGCATTGATTCGTGGCGAGCGGGATGTTGTACTTTGCCAGCGCGTCCTTCATCTCCAGCATGTCCTCGACAGAGTAGTTGGCGACGCCGACGGTCTTAGTGAGCCCTTCGTCGACGCACTTGGCCAGGCCCTTAGCGACCTGACTGATGGACGACACGTGCACGTGCCCGTGGACCAAGTAGCAGTCGATGTAGTCCAGTTTCATCCTGTCGAGGGATTTCTTGAGGGCTTTCAATGGAGCGTCGATGGGATGGAGGATGTTTCCCAGTTTGCCGTCTGTAACGTTGGCCAGCCACTTCGTCTGAACTTGGATCTTCTCACGAGGCACGCCTCCACTATGGTTACGGATGAGATCGCCTGTGATTTCCTCGCTCCTGCCATCGCCGTAGGCTTGGGCAGTGTCGATAAACGTCATGCCCCCTTCGAGACATTTCTTCCATGCCGCGCGCACGCCGTGGATTTCTTCGTCTTTCCAGTGCCACGTACTTGGGTCGCCCCAGGACCAGGCGCCCCAGAAGATGGTGGGGACTTCAACATCGTTGCCACCCTTCCCCTTGAATGTCAGACGGGTTTCTGCCGACGGCACGAACGAGTCTGGGAGAAGAAACTTCAGACCATCATGGTCTGCTGGGACATTGGGTGGTTTCGAAGAGTGAATTCCTTCTGTAGCGGACATGCCCGCGGACAGGCCTGTCTGGAGGATTTTGTCCATGCTGGTGGTGCGGCGTTGCGAAAATTTGAGTTCCTTCTGACAAGCAGGCTGAGATATCGGAGGTAAAACAAGTTGATTCTCACAGAAAGTGACTCTTTCCGATGTATAATATATGTCTATATCATGAACATCGCCCTTTAATATTGGTCAGTATAGGATACTCATCATCTGACTTCATGACCTCATAATGTCTGGTCCTCAATAAACAATGACTGCGTGCATTACATGAATCGGACAGGGGTATACGTCAATTTTCGTATGGACGGACATATGTTCCGCACGAAGTTGTCGGTGATCCTCATCGTTCGTACTCGTGGTCGACGAATCCTGCGGTCTCCATCTCAGGGGAAATGCCAGAGGCAAGTTCCAATAGCACCAGAGGTAATGCAGGACTCGGAGAAAAGTGCAAGGGTGAATGGATATGTGTTCCGAACGGAAACGCCGTCCTCGCTTCCGGCTTGTTAAATTCTCCGATCTCCATGTGATTATTCAGCGCATCAGAGATGCCAAGGGATGTAAAGACGGTTGAAGACCGTCAACTGACTCAGGAGGATGTCGTACACGATGTACGACCTCCGGATAGGTATATAGTCTGACGGGCCCCTACGGCCCTTGAGCAATGACAAGTCCTCCGTAAAATCACATCCATGTCAACAAAGATACGAACACGCAAACTCTGAAAGCACCTCAAGGCAACTACCGAGTCCTTGACCTCATGTTGATGTTCGCTGTTGTAATTCCGCAAGCCTCACAGTCAGTGCAAAAGGAAGAACGCGCGTAAAGGCAGGTTTGGTGCGTGGCTGTGGCGAACTAAATCGACGTTGAGTTTGCGACTCCGGGTCGGCTTCGGATCGAGAGACCCCTTTTCCTCATGTCAAGCACCAGGGTACGAAGTCCCTGAATTCAGCCTGGACAACAGTCGCCGCAGTAGCTTTTGCGCCAGTGACTCGCTTCATGATCGCAGTGCCAATGTACGTCGCTTCAAGCTGTTCATCGTTGTCTTTGTTCACATGCACCAGGACAGCGTCAAAGTCCTGATACCTGAGCCGCGGTATGGTCAAATAGACCGCCCGGCTCATTATAATATCAGTCACCGGAAGGCAAGAGCCAGGCTCGTGAGTAGTCCAGGAAGTTGGCACTACACATAACGAGTGATCCTCGTACGAGACCATGATCTGGGTACCGACTGTTATATGTTGAGGCCCTTGCAACTTCAGGCTCGGTCGTTTGAGGACGACGCCGTCCTTGTTCAGATGGGCCCATCTGGTCCTTTTGCTTTCTGTTGACCCTGCAAACTCGATACCGCGATCCTGGTTTTGGGCCAGGAAGGACGAGGGTAAACTGCCCAGATGTGGCATTGAGCAACGCGGACCAGGTCTGAAGATGATTTCACCAGGAATCATGGTCAAAAAGTTGTAAATTGTTTCCATGGTTGGCATCTGTGAGCGCAAACCGAATGGCAAGCCCAACAGGGTGGCGAAAACTATGGCTTCGTCACGAAGCTGGCTGGTGCTGCGATGACTCATTGCCTGGACAAGGGCCATCAGACGGTTTTCGTTGGCGTCTCTTCGCTTGTCCTCGGCTGACTTACGATAGACAACGTCCGAGAATTGAAATTCTCGCGAAAGAGCCATAGCGAGTCGTGCTTCGACATTGAGGCGCGTGTATTCGTGAAGATACTGGCAGCTTGTGAGTTCTTCAAGCGTATGCAAACGATCTTGAAATGCAACCAAAACCCTCTCCGGCATAGGAGGGGCCCCTTCTTGCAGAGTCCAGATTCTCTGCATCCAATCACTCATCAACAGCTCAAGCTGGCATGTGACGATATGAGCGCCACTGATTGACATAAGCCTCTTGTCCAAGACCAATACAAACGCCGCGTCTTCATACACTCGACGCATCTGGGTAATGGCCATCCCGCGTTGTACAACGTACCGCTCGTCTACCGGAACACAGAGTGTGTCTAACCAGACGGGGCAACCGCCTCCGCTCGGTGTCCGCTGCGCTTGCGATATGAGCCAGTCATACCTACACCGGAGAATGGCGTTGGCATGCGGGTTGCCGAGTCCATGTGCCCTGGCTTGAAATCAGAAGCTGGGTATACGAACATTTCTTCTTGGTCGACCTACCAGACATGGCTGATCGCTATCCATCTCTCCGCTCCAGAAGCTTGCCTGACGGGTATGGAGAGCTCTGAACACGCTTTGGCTGGGATGACTGGAAAGTCACCTGCTTCTAGCATTTCCACCACTACCGCATTATGCATGAAAAGAACATCGCATGTGCCCTCGCAGTGATTCGTGTGATAATTTACAGAAGTCGGTGGCAGTGCGACATATCGAGCTGTGCATTGATTCGGTTGACAAAGCGAATGGATATTGTTCTCCGGCTGTGGCAGAAGGTGCAGGAGGTACCACGCTGAAAGGGACTTTTCAAGACCACTGGTGCGAGCCAAACACCATCCCTTTTTCGCTGTCGAAGTCTGTAGAATGGAGATTAATATCTCCGCATTGAGTGACGCCTCTTCGATATCATCTGATACCAGCCCTTCTTCAGTCTCGAACAAGAAGAACAACGAAATGTAGATCTCCTTCAGGGTCTCGTACAAGATGCCAATCGCTAGGAGAACCCTGAAGGTAGTGCTGTGAATGTAATGCTCGGGGTCTAGATCAAGTGTAAATGGAGGGTACGCCTTCAGGGCAGCATTCAATGCTCGGACCGACTCGTACAACAGTGCTGTCACTGCTAGCCTCGTATCTTGTGTCTTCTCGTCAAAGTCGATCGAGACATATTCACTTGAACCATTAAGCCCGCGTTTCAAGTTCGTTAGCAGCTCGTCTCCGCTCAAGTCAGGTTCGCTATCGTGAAGGATTGGCAGGATGCAAGTGGAGAGCATGGCGGCAATGGCTCGGTCGACCAAGGCTCTCGTAGAGACAGTTTGCTCGCCATCAGGCAGGTTTTGAATGAACCACGAGGCATCCCATTCTATACCAAGCGCGCTGTGGAAACTTTGCAGCAGTCCGAAGAAGAAACGGTGTTGTAGGTCGGCAGCACTTCCTGGAGGTGGACCTTCAGTGTCGGTGTGCGGGTGATCAGCCAGATGTTGCAAGAGCGACTCTTCAACTATGCATGGCACTCGCAACCCCTCGATCCCGAGGGCCTCATGGAGGTTTTCCCATGGAGTATTGGTCGGGTCGCAGCACCCTGCAGCCGGACTGGTGTGCTCATACGTGAAATGGTAATTTACGGAGAGACCGAGTTTGCGAGGTGGGCTCAAGAGGCGGTGACAAGTGGAGCTCAATTTTCCACGAGTACCCTGGTACCACATATGCATTCCTACCTATATTCTATTATATCCTTACCTGCCGTATTCACTTTTTTTATAGTCATTTTAACAAACCACTCAGTTCACCCTCTCCGCCAAAGGGTCAAGGTCAGTCAATGCCTTCCACGAAAAGCCACCTCTTCAAGCTGAAAGGACCCATCCTCCACCCCAGCCAAAAATTCTTTCAATCCCATATTCCAGCGCTGACGACCGACATTTTCGAGGTCCAAATCAGCGGGACAAGCCGGTATGGTCTGCCAAGTGGACTTATCGACTTGTATCGTATCATTCACGAGTTTGATATCTGCTTCTTGAGGAGTGGCGTCGGCATCGTTCGCCTTTGCTTCGCCGTGGCCCGGACCCTCAAGTTGCTCCAGGGTTTGCTTGTATTCGTCCTTATGACTCTCAGCAAGTTTGGGATGCGACGCGCCTTCGGCCTCTCCACCATGCCTCTTATGCAGGACTGCCTCGTTCTTCTCAACTTTGACGAGAACAGGTATGACTGCGCCCGTAGGCAGCGAGAAGGGCCTGTGCCCAAGTACACGTAGCATCGCGCCGATCGCGCCCGAGTGGCTCGTGAAACTGATTCGTTCGGCCTGACTACCTTGCCCGCTCTGCATGATCGAATCGAGCAGTTTGCGTAACCTGAGCACCAATGCATCGTTCGGCTCGCGAAGATCCGGATCCCAAAATTCATCCGTCTCCGTCAACAGCGGGTCCCTCGTTGTGACATAGCTTGGATATCGCCCTCGTATGTACGACACGGTGCTGCGTCTGTCGCAGGTGTGTATCCCGGTACCTTCGCGTAGACGTTCCACGACTGTCGGTGCCGACTCGAGAAGGCCGCGGAATGTGATCTCCGCTGTCTCTAAGGCGCGATCAAGGGGACTTACAAAGTACGCTTGGGGCAAGCTCATTTTCTGCTGGGTGAGCTGTGATTCCCAGAATGTGTGTACTTCCGAGGCTTGTCGGCGTCCTTCTCTGGATAGGTGTGCGTCCGCCCAGATCATCACACCGTCCGGGTCGCCGTCCAATGCGGAAAAGTGGCAGTCCCACGCTTCGCTACCATAATACCGTTCTGCGATGTTGTGGTAGCCATTGCCATGGCGGCCAAGGAAGAGCAGTTTATACTGCGTATGGGGCTCGTCGTTATGTCGCTTTTGCTCCGCGGCCTGGTTGAGAGAGCGGATGTAGTGCTCGAAACGTTGCCATGCCGTCAAGCCCTGCCCGCGGTCTGGCAAGTCCTCGTCCGAATCGTAGGATCGTTGGACCAGGCCGAAGTCCGTTTTCATAAACTCGAAGGTCTCCGGTGTCGTGTCCGCGTCATCTTGCAGGAAGTAACCTGGTAGAGTCGTATAACTATAGGTAGAATATCCCGTCTGCTCTTTCTCAGGCTCTTGCACTTCCTCTTCCTTGTGATCATCTGGTGCGGGCTCGGTATGGCTGTCGAGCGGTTCTTGAGCGGGCATGCTGAGCAGTGCGCCGGATCGGTCGATGGCACTCACATAACCGCATGCGAACACAAAAATCGACACGAACAGGAGAAATTGTCTGTAGCCACAGCATCGGGTCTCATTAGCCCGAATTAGGACGAGACGTATGGATTTGAACGACCCACTTACACTGCGACGGTTGTTCGACAGATTCTCGTCAGTCCATGACACCGACGGTGAGCTTTGCCATGGCTGGCATCGAGCAGCATTTTGGGTAGGGGTCATAACATTTTGCAACAAATGGCAACATGTCCAGGTCTGGGTGAGGCAGATGCATCTCGACGATATCCTATCCGCGCAGTCCGCACGTGGGCTGTAGTACTGTAAGTGACATGGCGGGGAAATGCTCAATGCGGGGCCGGAATGCTTCCCCCTTTCTGCTACGGCGAAGTAATTAGCCATTGAAACATCCTAAAATGAAGGACAAGGCCTTCTACTGACTCTACGAGTTTAAAGTGAAATGGGTAATCCAATATTCAGACAAGAACCCTCCGGTCAGTATGTCGGGGGCTTCAGAGGACATATCTGACAGTGCGTCGAGCACAGAGTCGTGTTCATCCCTGCAGCGAGGCTGGCTTGTCCCGGCTGTCCAATCCATTGTTCACTCGTGTCAATCGGGGTGGTAGCCTCGATCAAGAAACGCTCAGAGTTCCAACCACGCAACACGGCCTGAAGTTCGGCGACACAATCAGGCAAGCGCAAGAACGTGCGCAAAGCATTCTCGATTGTTGTCCACATTTGAGAGCTGGACCTCTTGACCACACCCACAAGTCTTGACATCTTCCAGACCCTTTGGTAGTGATCTTCTGTAGTGGAGATAGACAACAGCGTCCACAGGAGATGTTCCGCGCTGAGACTGCTGTCGTCATCATCGTCCTCGAGAATCTGCTGGAGAGAGCCCAGAAATTCTTCTGTGGCAGTCGAAAAGTCTCCATTGTCGGCCATGATCAAGTTCAGGTAAATCAAGCATGCCATGCGACAATTGTCAACAGCTCGTCTTTTATCGGGTTCGTCATACCCTGTCTCGGTTCTCGTCAGAGCATTGATTATTTCACCTCCGTCTCGGAAACTAGTGGTACGTTGAGGATGGTCTTTGAACATCTTCTGTTGTGCTGGTGTTGACGGTAGGTTCTTTAGTGATTGACCTTTTCTTTGGTTCAGGAACTGGACAAACTCCTCACAGCTTCGGGTGAAGGCGGTATTGGAGGGACTTGTCGGCCATCCCGATGAAACTGCTACCGAGTCGGAGTACTCGTCAAGATATGCAGGATTTCCATCAATGGTAGGCCATGAGAGTGCTATGAAACTCCTGAGAGCCGTGAGATTTGGTGGTATTAGTGGTGCGAATTGAACTTACCACACCAGCTTTGTATGCATTGGCTGATTGTGCTGCAGTGTCCGGAACCCTCCACGCTCAAGTAACAGTCGCTTGACGGCGCCCCAGTGCAATCTAGCTGTTTCACGGCTTCCCCAGACGCGCTATCCTGTCAGCTTTGTCACCCTCCAAGAACAGATGGTACACCTACCTCGGCATTTGCGAGTAGGCCAATGCCTAGCAAAGTCCAGTCATCACAAAGCCCGTTGAGACGCTGAAGGCCCTCATTTACAGCCATCAAAGCTCGTTGGCGTAGCTCTATCGTCCGTAAAGGCTCCCGCTGGCCTCTCAAGGTAGCCAGGTGCAAGGCTGCGTGATGTAGCATGCCGAGAAATGGTATTTCATGCTTGCGATAGAGGTTGAACAAATCCCAACAAGCCCTCGGTTTGCGGACCGCCCTATGCCAGTGTCGATGGACTAGGGAAGGGATGACGAAGTAATAGTGATCAACAAGCTCGTGGACATCTCGTGTGGCTGATACTGGGTACGAGGAAAATGGATCGACTCGGCCACCGCCGAGTCGTGTGATCACCTTAGGAGACAACGGCGGCCTCCCGGAGCTGAACGAGATCAGGGCTTCGAGCTGAGTTCTGTCTTGATCTTCCGACAAGACTTCCTGTTCGCAACCTAATCTAGATGTACCAGACGCACGTAACGAGGCTGTCGTGCTGCAACGACTTGACTTATCGTTCGTCTTCTGTGGTTTTTCGTTCTTAACGCACCTCTTCCTGCGGTAATGCTGCCTCGTGACAAAAGACCTAGTCTTCTTGCGCTCTGTTCTACTGTTCAAACCTTCGACGAACTCGAATTGCTGATGGTAGCTGGGGCTCGTTCTGACGGGAATCTGGCGTTGGAAGTTTTCCAGCGACTCCAGGACCTGCGCTTCGTGAAAGTCCCGGAAATCATCCTCAAGCAGCGCTAGTTCACCCATGATCAGCAAGCGTCTTCATATCACGGCATATGAAGGAAGAGTGCATGTGGTGGCTTGCGATGTCGATGGGTAAGCCACCTGGACGCCCTCAACCCGGAGTTTAGACTATACCAGTCTGTAACTCCGCTGCTCAGCAAGGCGAAGTATTCAGTACTCCTGCAAGTATCTCTCACGTTGCGGTCAAATATGAATCCATGTCTTCAGGGATGTCTAATGAGCATCTCCATTTGGGGCAAGGCCGTGTCTCTATGATAGCCCAAAACGCTGAGATTCTGTCCATTACTGCTCCTTTCGCGCTCGTTCCATTCATATCAGCCCCGAAACTCCGTGCTTGAGAATTGATGGGTATCATCGTCATTCATGTCTTCATCTTCTCAGTCGTAACGTCAACAACTGTGCCTGAACATGCTTTCAGTAGACAGCAAATGTCGTAGCAATAGCAGCGAATATGCTCCGAAACTTGTTCTGGACTTTAACACCACCGGGTGCGGCACTATCGAACAATGGTCTTGCTGAAGCACTTGCTGAAGGCAGAAGTGACGTGACTGTTGCGGCCAACGTAGATGTGACAGGGGCAGTTTGGATGGAGACGTTACCCAGGGTTGCTGGGGGATTTGTCTGATTGACCAAAAGCGCATACATGGCTTCCATCGCACACAATTCTTGACCGAGGCCACTGGTCCCGTCCCACCCACCGAGGTACCATTTTGATCCACAGACGGTACCATTCAGACCTCCCGTGCAGGCAGCAGCAGCTCCCTGTGCTGAAGCTCGGAGGATTTCTCCGATGCGTCCTGCTGTGAAGGGCGCCATTATGGATGTTCCTGCAAGCCAACGGGTCAGATAGGCTTTCATAGACAGTTGATCAGTGTCGCAAGTCTCATCGAGTTCACATTCTGCCTCGAACATGATATCCGTCGCATTTTGAAAAGGCGTAAGGAATGTATTCGTCGAGTCAAGCAAACCGGCAGTCCGGGCCACCCAAGGTGAGGATGCATTGGTGTAATTTTGCAGGACTGCAGCGCCATAGAGAAAGACTCCAACGTTGTATGTCCATTGGTGATGATCAACGCCGGTGCAGTTGATTGTCTCGTCCGTGCCGTCAAAGACGTTGTAGATGTCGTCTATCAAACCCACTCCAGCACACCAATCCCAAATCTTGTTTGCCCAATCAATGTAAGTCTGGTTGCCTGTAACTCTGGCCAGTCGAGCGGACAGTTGAAAGAAAGCACCATTCGAGACACTGTTCTTGTAACTGTAGCCTGCGTTCTCTGGATGAAACTGCCACTTGAGCCCGCCATTACAGGTGGAGGTATTCCAACGGGTGACGTAGTCTTGCCAGGCATTTTGTACAACATCGAGCCAGGCAGGAACGGGAGTAGGCGGTGCAGGGAAGGAGTACTCGGCGGCGGACATGGCAGCAAAGACCCAGAACGCTTGGTCATCATTGCCTTCGTCGAAGGCCTCGTTCGGATTGTTGAAGTCATACGCTGGCCCAAGCTGAGAGATGAGTGCTTGCTGCGTTATGTTCACGTACGAGGTGTCGCCGGTGTAGTGAAAGTATTCCACCATCCCACCCCATGCACCTCCACTCTCCCACCAGTAATACGGTGGGTATGAAAATTTCCCTAGGACGTCTCCTGTTTGATTCTGATTGCCGCTGTAAAGCTGCTGTACTCCGGACGCCGCCAATGCAGCCGCTGCGAGAACCGATGCTGGTGAAGGTCAGTGATATCACCAGAGTTCGGATTGCAGACTCACCTGAATCTTCGACATTGAGTACAATAGCAAGTATGTTTGACGTCAGGTACGAAAGAAGGACAGCGAGAAGCAATGTTGAGCGATGCATTGTGAGGTATTACGTTTGCGAGCGCGAGAGAGGTGTTGAGGCAAAGTTCGAAGCATGCGACGCAAAGTGAAACAATTCTTCAAGACCGCTGGGAGGTTCTCAAGGAAGCAAAACAACAAGCGCAGGCATCGAGTGAATCGGGTGTTGGGTGGGTGCAGGTGAAAAGAAGCCGTGGTCTCGGTTTGCAGCAAGATGTCCAGAGTTACGGATTATCCCAAGGGCATTCGTCGTTAACGCCATTTCACTCGGTAATACTCATATACCGCCTTTGACGAATCTTCACTTACAGATTGTTGACGACGATGACAGTCTCCCAAGCTGCAAATTAGTCCTGCATGTGTGATGACGATGATGAGGACGGGGATCTCGCTCTTATGCAGGGTCCAGTCACAGATCACCATGCAAAGTCCCGAGCCGTGTACGCACTGATGCATTGATACCTCAGAGAGACACATAGCCTTGTTCAAGAGAGTCAAGCAGTTCTGTACGCTTCCTGTCCCGATCTGTACATTGATTTGTCTCCTCTCGTTTGTTGATGCATCCTGCCGAGCATGCTCCGCGATGGCAAGGAATTTGCCGCCGTCAGCTATCTTCTTCGGTATCCTACTTCTTCTCTAGACTTTTGTCGTCTTGTTCCAGTCGCTCAAAAATAGTTTCATGAGTGGCGTTGTGGAAGCGAAGTGGTCAGACTGCCATCGGAGACTTCGAACATCTGTGAGACGATTATCTTCCAGGTTACATCGCAGCTGCTATGAAACGTTCAGGTAGTCCAAAGAGAAATGGTTACACCTTGCCCGCATCTGTGTTCCCCACAACGTGCTTACCTACGCATAAAGCGTGTCGCTGACTTAGGAGAGTTTTGCCGGCTGACTTCCTTGGATTCAGGGCCTCCAATTGACGGCTGATAAGCTGAACCTTAACGTTATCGCATGAGGCCTCCTGCCAACCTCAAGTAGGCGACCTTCAGTCGGGGGTGAGTCAAAGTTGGCCAGCAGTATTCCAGGCTTACCCGGGGTGGTATAAAAGAATTCTGAAATCGAATGATTGTGAAATACTTCGAGATCCAAGTATATCACAACCCACCAAAGCGCTCAGGATGATCGATTTCAAGCTGTCGCCAGAGCAATTGGCTATGCGAAATGCCGTCCGAGGGTTTGCCCATGCGAATCTCAAGACAGCACGATCCGTGTACGAAAACCAGGAGACTCCTCTACCAAAATGGCAGGACCGTTTTCGCTCACTTGAGCCCATATATGCTGAAGCAGTCAAAGCTGGCCTGATCAAGGCACAGATCCCAAAGGAACTTGGTGGAGCGGGAGGCCCATTGATCGAGGCAGCACTGGTCGTGGAGGAATTTTATGCTGTGGAAACGAGTGCTTCGCTGAACATACTCGGGACTGGGCTCGGACTGACTCCGTTGATCATGGCGGGGTCGTCGGAGCAGCATCAAAAGTTCTTCAAGCCTTTCCTGGAAGGTACAGGCACTCCGCTCGCCAGTCTTGTGTTCTCCGAGCCCGAGGGCAGTGCGAACTTTGCCGAACGAGGCTCTCCCGGGTTCCAGACTGTTGCAAGATTGAAAGGCAACGAATATGTCATCAGCGGCGAGAAAGTGAGTCGATTCTGGCGCGATATTCTGCTTGTTGGCATCGACTGACCGGTCTAGATCTGGGCAACGAATTGCTCAGGCTGGGACGACCGAGGCGCCGATGTCTCATGCGTCTTGTGCCGAATCCCAGACTCTGCTTCTGCAGAAGACGTCCGCGGCCAGACAGCTATCATTGTCGTAACGAGAGAAAACATCGCTGCCAACGACCCTGGAGCTTACACTGTCCTTTCACATCCCGAAACAATAGGACACACAGCCGTCAATGGGCCTCACATTCGCTTCAAGGACTTGCGCGTCCCTAAGTTCAATCTTCTGGCACCCCCAGGCAAAGGTGCAGACGTGGTAGAAATGACCTTTACTGCATCGGCAGCTCTGGTGGGCGCAATGGGAGTGGGTATCATGCGGCAAACTTTCGACCGAGTGCTTGCTTGGGCCAAGTCAAATCACCGGGGCTCCAAGGAAGCCATGATCCACAAACAGAGTGTGGCAGACTTGTTGATCAAGATCAAGACTCGGTGTGAAGCTGCTCGAGCGCTGGTCTGGAAAGCGGCCTGCTGCTTTGGGACCACGCGCTTCGGAGCCGAAATATGTTACGAGGCCAAGATCCTGGGGTCTGAGAGCGCCGTAGACTCGGTCAGGGACGCCATTTACCTGGTAGGCGTGTCGGCATATTCTCGCAGTCACCCATTCGGAGATCTGCTTAATGATGCCATGGTTTTGCCTATCTTCGATGGCGGAAATGTGGGAGTACGGAGGAGACAAATCGAAAACATCTTCAATAACGATGCATATGATCCGTGGGAAACAACTTTTGGGCCTGAAGAATGATGGACTGATTGTGAAATGTACCTAGACAGATACCAGTATGCCTCATTTGACGCGTTTTCACGCGTCGCGTCGTGTCGCTATTTGAGCCATTTCCGGCTAGCTCCACTTCAGTACCTACCTAGGTATGGACCGCACGCTGAATACCTAGCCATGTTGCTCTATCTGGAGTCAGGTCGTGTGGTATTCCGCGAGGAGTCGATCATTTCTCTAAGGCCTCGCCATCCTCAACAACGACGTCTGCACGTCGTGCCATCATGATCTCTTGAAACTGTCTTTCTGCTCGCCATGCAAACGGGCTGTCCCCAGAAAGCAAGATGTCCAGGTCCTCGAGATGGCGATTTGCAGTTTCTGCATTCTTATTAGTACCTGATCGCCAGCCCGAAGAAAAGAATTAAAACTTACCAACATAAAAGAGGTATATCGGCACCAGCATGGCCAGGTTGATCAGGGCGAACATAATGAAGACCCAAAATCCAATCGCATCTATCAGGTAAGGGATGATCTCGTTGATCGAACCTCCAGCCAGCGAGAACGCAAGGGTAGAAAGTGCTGCACCTTTGGAGCGAGTAGCGAGGGGGAAAACCTCTGTTGGATAAACCCAACTTGTCTGCGTCAGCAACATCCCTTGAAACGCTGGACAAAACTCACCATGTTGTCAACCAGGTAGCGCCATAGGTGAAGGTGTATATGTAAAGGATTGCCGCAACTCCGGCACCATACGCATGCTTCTTGTCTGCCGAGGCAACCACTGTCTCATGCGACAAGATACCGCCAATGATCAGCACGATACCCATAACGCTACACCCAATGAGCATCATCTTCCGGCGTCCGACACGATCGGCAAGGACGATGGAGGATGCCAACGCAAGGATATAGCCAAACCAGTTGAAGCCCGCAAGCAGAGCTGGCAAGTCACCGGTGAAACCGGATAGCGAAAACATGGTTGGTGCATAGACCGAGATGAAGTCGATTCCCGTAAATTTCTGCATGATCTGGACACCTGCGCCCAGCATGACACGGCGTCGCGTGTGTAATTTGTCCTTTGTGAACAGCATGCTCCAGTACGAGTGTGCCGATGCTGTCGCCTCGATACGTAGGGCATCCTCAATCTCCTGCATTTCCTGCTCGATCTGGACAGGATCGCTGTTGGAACGACATTGTCCGAGAATCTCTCGAGCGGAGTCGACCTGGCCGATTTTTGCAAGATGACGCGGTGATTCTGGATAGAAGGGTAACAGCACGAAGATGATGATGAGGAAGACCACCTGGAAGCCGAGCGGAAATCGCCATGCAAAGGATTCACTCTGTGTCTTGACACAGGCGTACTCCATCCAGTATACACTGTCTCTCGGTTAGAGGCTGAAGATGAAGGACGGTGATATGATGAACTCACATGGCAGATCCAGACATGGCGAGTGTGAACTCAACCGCAACAAAGGCGCCACGCGAATGAGCATCAGCAAGTTCTGAGGTCCAAATCGGGACGACAGTGTTCAAGTGGCCGCATCCGATCCCACTGATTACCCTGCCAAAGGCAAGCCAAGTGATGTTCTGGGCACTCGCCAATAGGGCAGCCCCAAGGGCACCCCAGATGCAGCCAAGTTGAATAGTTCGAAGACGTCCAAGGTTATCGGCGAGGTACCCTACCATCATCGAACCTAGATTTGTGTCAATGCCGACTCTTTCTCATTGTAAAGCTGTGCCAACCTATTGCGAAACCACCAAACCATAAGCTAACCATACCACCGATGCCTGCCGCATCACGGTCGGAGCCTCCAGCAAGACCTATAGTTCTCAAGTAGTTGTTGTTGGTATTGACCTGACTCATGACGGCGGTATCGTATCCAAAAAACATGATCGCACAACCAGATATGGCGAAGATGGCCCATATCATCGGTCTTCCACGAAGCTTCATGCATCGCGATGGAGAGTATCCTCCGGGAACGTGCTTTGCCCATGATGGTTCGGCTAAGCGCTTGTTAGAATAACATAATAGGTGCAGCAGGATGAAAGCAGACTCACGTTGGTAGTAGCTGCCAGCAGCACCCGAAGTTTCGGCGTGAACGAGGTCTCTCTTGATATCTTCCATTGTGATTTATAGTAACACGGACAGTTCTGCAGGAAGAAGCATCTGCGCGTTTTCCGGGGTAGGCGTCGTATCTTATGTATTTCCTCCTGGCCCGCGTGCGATCATGTGTCCAACCCCGTGATACAGGAAATTTTGGGGGGGTATCCGCCGAAGGCACAAGTTCCGGTGGCAATCGACGACCGTATGACCTGAATGGGTACAAACCTGCCTCGTACATGGTTCGGGTACGTACCAATAGCCCATGTCGGACCGCAGAGTCGACAGGGTCACGTCGATGGTGACGGGAACTGGGACGGCATTGTCTCCGCGATTGCCGTATGACCCACGGGGTAAAAGAATCTCATTTGTGGAGAGGTACCCACGGTACCTCCGTACACGGGTAGCAGCGCGCACTTCTTTACCCAACGAGAGGCATTACGTGTACATCCATCAGTCACGGCCACTTTCCGCAACATTCTCATATCCTGGCAGGCGAGTGGAAATGGGCGGGATTGTCGTGATGATGGATGAAGGAGCCTTGAAGGAACCGTGATCATATCAGCGCACGCCAATGCTGTAGTTACCGTATGTCAGCTGCAAGCATTGTATATCATCTCTGAGATGAAGAGTCCTCAACTTATGTTATGTTGCAGATGCAGGGCTGGAGGCCAACAAATGTGATGGATGCGTCAGGCGAGCTTCTACGTGAAGATATGAGGGTTGCTAGGACCATCATGGTGATAGCGCAATGTGTCCACACTAGCCGTGCTTCTATCCCCAATACCGCGCGGATGACTGCGACACTGAAGCAGCCTGACCATCGAGATCGGACGAATATACAAGCTGTTTGATAATAGCCATAGAGGAAATGGCTAGTCTGATGCAGTCACTGCCAAGTATATCTATTGGACCGAGCTAACCAATCTAGGAACGCGTTTCAAGTTAGTGTTCACGAATCACTCTAATGATTTCGACATCAAATTGTTTCTATCTTCTTCACTGGAGCAGCATTAACTTGTATCACGATAATCCCCGCCAAACAGCTTCATACCGAGACACACGCTCTTCCACTCTGACTGCCGCGCCTAGTCTGATATCGACAAGACAAGCTTAAAATACCACGGCTACCACAGTATCGAGCAACCCCTAAGAAGACACCATTCGCGACGAGTTTCACTTTACAAGTTCACATACAAACAGAGTCCGTATACTGTATTTCAGATCACGGCAAAGGCCAGGACCATCTCGCGGAGATGCGCCGCTCAACGTAGCACGTTGCAGAACCACCTTCCGCGAGTGATCGTGTGTCTTCATCTCGATCCACGCCGAACCGATCCTCTTCAGCCATGGTTGTATGTAAATTCTTTTTGCAGGGCAACTGCAAGTTTGGTGGTAGGTGCACACATCGCCTTTTTCCCGACTTGAAATATCGACGTGTTGTTCAAACTGCTAATGTTTTGTTTTTCCAGTCAATTGTAGGAATGAACATCCTGGAACAAGTTACAACAATCAACAAAACAGATTTGGCGCGTTGAGTAGCGGCGGAGGCAACAGATTCTCGAACAACAGCAATTGTGAGTCCTACGCAAGTTCCTTTGTGTCAGGACCCTCATCAACCACTACTAACACGTTCTTATGTCAGCTCGACAAGATCCCTGGCGCATAAACAGTGCCGACATTACGAATGATCTCGTGGATGGAAAAGGTCGGCCAAAATGGATCCTGTCGTCCTACGGTCCAGGCAGGGATCCTCCAGCTTCATTGCTCGAGGATACTGAATACAGCTCAGAGGAAGTGCGAGTGCGGTTCTACGAACTTGCAAGTCAAGGAAAGCAGGCCGACGCTGACAATGAAGCCATTGCCCTTTGGAGCAAGGCAGACCAGGAAACGAAGCAGATTGCGAGTAATGTGAATGATGTCACCAAGTTCATGGAAGAGGCAGAGAAAAAGCATCCCAACAGGTTCGACATGATTCAAATGGACGGCACCAAAACTCGTGACGAGTTCGTCAAAACACTTAGTGCCGCAGCAGGCAGCGGTTTCGGACAAACTTCTATACCTAATCCTTTTGCAACAGCTTCTACGCCCGCGTTCGGACAACAAGACCAACCTGCCGGTATTGGGTCTGCTGCATTTGGTAAGCCAACATTCGGACAAAGCAGTTTTGGGAATGGAGGAGGATTTGGTCAGTCCCCTAGTGGAAGCGGCTTTGGCCAGGCGGCATCGGGCGGCACATTTGGGAAGGATGCGAGCAGTACTCCTGCTTTTGGACAAACGGCCTTCGGACAGCCTTCCCAACCGGCATCGACCTTTGGGCAACCATCGCAACCGGCATCGACCTTTGGGCAGCCATCGCAACCGGCATCGACCTTTGGGCAGCCATCGCAACCGGCATCGACCTTTGGGCAGCCATCGCAACCTGCAGCGACATTTGGCCAGCCTTCTCAGCCGTCAGCCGGATTTGGTCAACCTTCTCAGCCATCCAGCGCATTTGGCCAACCTGCTTTTGGATCTTCTGGCTTTGGTGCAAATGCTGCTGCTAAGAATCCCTTTGCTCCTGCGTCCGCGTCAGGTGGTCTCGGCCAGGCGTCTACAACGTTCGGACAACCTTCACAACCCTCGACTACGTTTGGACAACCCAGCCAACCTACGAGTACTTTTGGCCAGCCATCACAACCGACTCCTGCTTTCGGTCAGGCCTCAGCACCGGCAAGCACGGGTTTTAGTCAACCTGCTTCAACTTTTGGACAGCCTTCACAGCCAACCTCAGCATTCGGGCAGCCGGGTTTATCAAATGCTTCGCCTTTTGCAGCAAGTCCATCGCCAGGACTCGGTCAACCTTCGCAGCCCACGTTCGGGCAGACCGGATTCGGCTCCGGTTCGAGTGCGACACCCGCCTTTGGCCAGCCTAGTGCGCCGGTGAACCCATTCGGCGTCAAGCCTGCTGATGATCAGGTCAAAGAGGTGGCAATGGAGACGACCTCACCAGCCTCTTCGCGGCCAGTCTCCCGCGCGAACCCATTTGGTACGGCCCCTGCTCAACCTGTATCACAGCCAGCTCCACCAACAGCACAACCTGCGGTGGCAAACCCCATCATCAACACATCCTCGACACCACATCCCCTCACCAGCCAACCACCACACGCAATGCACTATACTCAGAGTTTACCCCTTCAACCAACTCAAAAGAACGCCTCAGGTCAGGTGAGCTCGTACCGTGGACAGCGCGTGCAGTATTTCGATGGCGTGCCATGCTACAACCGACCAGATGGCAAAGGGTGGGAGAAGATCTGGTTCCCGGATGCTGGAGCGACGCCGGACGTCGTAGCACTGAACAGGGAGGACAAGCTGGGTGATACGCAAGGCACGGTGGAGGAGTATACGGATGAGATCAAAGAACGGTATCAGCATCTGTTTCAGCAAGGACGATTCAAGGACGCCAGAATACCACTTGTGCCTCCCATGAGAGAATGGGGTGTCTACGATTTCTAGTGGCAATTGTGACAGCCTCTCTGAAGATGTGGGCGAAAAAGGCGTGGTTATTGCGCCGGCGGAGGAAGCATGGCTAGGACTGCTTGGACGAAAATGGGTGCGCGGGTTCAATTTTTAGCGACCTTCGTTCTGAACAGACATTGATCCTCGTTGAACTCTTCATTTGAACATTATTTCGATATCGGCTTCTGCAGAGCAGAAACCCTGATGGACCAGATCCAGTCCAATGTGCCTGGAAACGACTGGCCCGTCCGACCACACTTGCTGGTGTCAAGAATCTAACTGCGAATGGTTTTCCTCCCTTAAGCAGCAATAGTAACCTCAACCTCAACACCGGCTTCGATGTTGATGATGATCTGCTTGACCACCTCGGTCGGCGCATTCAGATCGATCAGACGCTTGTGGATTCTCATCTCGAACATGTCCCATGTCTTACTACCCTCACCGCAAGGGGTCTTTCGGGTGGTGACCTTGAGAGTCTTGGTAGGCAGGCGGACGGGGCCCTTGACGCGGAGGTGCTTGGACTTTGCGCGCTCGAGGAGTTCGGAGCAGACCTTCTCGAGAGATTGGACTTTGCGCGAGGTCAGGGTGATGCGAATCTTGTGGATTTTCTACTCGGTCATATATTAGTACAGACACATCTTGCGCATCGTGACATGATCGTACCGGGCCCTCGCCGAAATCCTTCTCGGGCTTCTGGAAAGACATGATTGCGATTTTGGCTTTGGAAGTGTTTGAAACTGGTGGAAGTTGAGATGAGTCTGAGAGAACGTCGGCGCCAATCAAGACCTGAACTGCAGTTCGGTAAAGTGATGAGAGGCTGAAGAGAGGGAAAGAAATCAAGAATCAGATTGTCGCAGTTCGTCTTCCGTCGGCCGCGTCCAACTGGCGAAAATTCGTTGTGGATTCTCCGCTCGAAAATCTTGGCATTGATGACTAACCATTATTTTGGGAACGGATCCGCTTTTATTATTCTGGTGACGAGACTAGTACTCAGTGACTCTTACTATCGATTTATGTTTGCCATGGCACACCCCGAAGACATCAATCAACAATCATTCACGCAGGGGAGTCAAGAGGAGGTTGTTGAAGATCAGGCGTCGGTGTGATGGAGGAAGTTCCAGGGATAGTAGGGCAAATCCCTTCACTCGCCAGCTTTCCTGATTCCAATGTCAGAGCCACACTGCCAGTTGCTGAGTGGGAGGGATGCCTAGAGTCATGGCTTCTCAGCATCGAGGTCAGACTACGGATGCAAGATAAGGACTTTGCCAAATTCAAGTTCTCACAGAAAGCCAGTGGCGTGGATTTCCTGGTCTCGGTACTCCGGTCAGCGAGAGACGAGGGCTTAGCGTCATCCAAGTTTCAGAAGGAACGACTTTTGCTGAAGCGGGCATATATGCTCCTGCGACGACTCTTACTGGCTACAGGTGTTCCATTCGACTTCGAGCCAGAGAAGTTTGTCGACCTCCTCTGTATGGGCAGCTGCGTTTATGCAGCCGTTGTGGACTGGAAAGCCACTCTCAAGGGGCTCTGGAAACGGAACAAAGCACAATTGACCACTGCAGTCAACGGCTGGAAGAAGGAAGCATCTACAAAACTGTCGGATCAGTCACATCAGTCATCTCTCTCGGACAGTTACAGCAGTATCAATGCCCTTCTTAAAGTCTCACCGGAGACTGGCCTTAGCCTAATGACTGGATCAGATTACCTCGAGACGCTAATGGAAGCGTACAGCTCTGCACAACTTACCACCCAGAAGTTATTGACGGAGCACATCTATTACTGCTTGCGTAGTCTCATGTCCGATGGACTTTCGCACGGCTCCCTCCTGTTAGACCACCTCTACCATATGAAGTCAGAGGCCGATCGAACAACAAAATCCAAGCCCGATCAGCCAACTATACTGTCAAGTTTGGTCTGCAATACTTCATTCTTGAGGCATCTCGCGGCCGACAACTCAATAGCGTCTGGGAAACGGGGCCAGAGCTTGATCGATGGCCTCACGACTTACCGCCAAAATGCAGCACATCTACACACACCAATGGCGTCACGCAGACACAAGGTGTCAAAGGGCAAAGGGAAGGGCGATGTCCACGCGGAACTCCACATCCACAAAGCCTCTCAGGTCTCGCAGGTTCACGACCTCTTCCCCGATCTGCCCAATCACTACATCCTAAGGCTGCTCGACCATTTTCACGACGATACCGAAGCTGTGATTGCTGCGCTGCTTGAACCGGAATCACTGCCCGCTGATCTTCGTGACTCGGGTCCGGCAGATGGACCTTCGGTCGATATTGACGGACCAGCACATGATTTGGCACCACATTCGACACCACCGTTGCTTCCCCAGAGGAGGAACGTGTTTGATGGGGACGACTTTGATAACCTACGCATATCCTCGGACCGGTTACACAGAGGCCGTAAAGAGATCAAGATAAGTAATGACACACAGGATGAGCATGCCCGAAGAAAAGCGGCCATAATGACAGCTCTAGCGGCCTTCGACTCTGACGACGACGAGAGAGACGATACGTACGACGTCGCTGATGTGGGTGGTACGGTCGATTCCACTCTTGACACCGATAGCCGTCCTCGCGCGGAGAGGAGTCTTGACCAAAATCCCCATGAAGAGTCGTTGTATCGAGCATGGAAGGACAACCAGGGGCTTTTTGCACGAGACAGCACGACTCGAGCGTCTAAGGTGCGGCAAGACTTGAAGCGAGAGACTGCTATGAGCGACGAGCAAATTGAAGGATGGGCAATCATGCTCAAGAAAGACTCCAAGATGCAAGAACAATTGGAGAAGAAGTACTCTATGTCGCAATCTTTCCGGGGAAATCAGACTGCACTTACCGCAACAAGGTGGCAAGGCGATACTCCAGAGGATAGTGAAGAAGGTGAAAATAGCGGTGGTGGTGATGGTCGCCGGATGGGTCAGGCACAGATCCGTGGTAACCCTCCATGGGGCCGCGGTAGAGGTGGAAGCACAGCGGGTCCTGGTAGTGAAGCTGCGACCCAAGCTGCAAGAAGGCGGAAAGAGCAAGGCAGAGGACGAGGCGGAGCAAACCATTCTCGGCGGGAAGGTCGAGCTCGAAAGATGGGTAGAGGCATGGCAGGGCCAGCAAGCTGATCGAGCGTTTCGGATCATGCTGATCACGACAGTGCCAGTCAGGAAACTTTATGACAGTGGGTCATCAGAATAAGGACGACAGATGGTGTATCGTGATGAATGATAATGAGGAAAAGGGGGCAAATGAACCTTGTCGCTTAACCTTCCCAACAGCTCAACTAGTTTGACTAGTTTGCATTAATCGGTTTCGTTTGCATTTGAACCAATTGTTTGACACAATAGGAAGTGTCACGTGGGTGGACAAAGTCTCCTTCGTTATTGATTTGTGTCGCATGCCCATCCACCATCAATCAAAGCAATACAATACAATCGTTTGACTGTCACCGTGGATACTACGCGACTGCCGCTTCCTCATCACTCATAATATCGAGACTCAGAGAATCTGCGCTTCCCATCACGAAACAGGTATTGAAAGGACAGTCAGCAGTCCTTGTTGCTTCCAGATTTCTGATATCCACCATCAAGGTCTCCTGGAAGAACAAAATCCGTTCACCACAACGCTTTTTCATGGTGTAGACTCTCTCTGGGCGTTGCACAACCTTCTGGATCGCTGGGACTTGACCGTACTCAACGAAGCCTTCAACGCCATCGAATAGCTACGGCCACTTTGCGACATGCCACGACGATCAACATAGAAGGCACCACCCTGGGTATAGAAGTCTGGAAATGACAGACGTACCTTCAACTAATGGCACCTCAATCGGAGCCAACGCCCCAGCGTTCGATACAGCCAACATACTGCAGGCTCTAGAACTCATCCACAACCCTTCAACAAAAAACGATGTCCGTAGACAAGCCTCGGAATTCTTGGAGAACCTCAAAGGAAGCAATGAAGCACCTCAATATGGCTTCAATCTCTCCACAGATCGATCACAGCCGCCCCTTGTCCGCCATTTTGGTCTATCTTTGTTGAGCCATGTCATTCACCATGAAGCACATCACCTATCAGAAGAACAGAATGCTCAACTACGCGATTGTGTGCTCGATCTTGGCCGATCCATCACGTCCTCAGACTTACCATTCATTCGCAACAAGATCGCCGAGCTGTGGATCGAGCTGGCTAAGCGGAGTTGGGCATTGGACTGGTTCAATCTGGACGAACAGCTCGTCCACTTATGGTCTCAAGATCTAGTCCACAAGGATTTTGTCCTTACGATACTGGAGAATCTTTCCGAAGACGTCTTTGTTCGTGATGACAACATCGCCATACTTCGCGGCCGTGACCTCAATACCGCTCTCGTGGAGGTCTTCACCTCTAGCTCCACCTTTGCGGGCGGAATCAAGGTCGGTGACAGAGTGCACCATGTACGATTCGGAGACGAAGGATGGCTGGCCAGAATCAAGATATTCCTGGACGACTGTTTGAAGAGCTCGGTAAGCAGTCCGGTGAAAGATACCGCGCTCAGAGGCTTGGCCACGCTGCGTACAGCCTTTGTCTGGGTCATGACACCAGCAGTTGTGCACTCTATGACGCTGGCAGTTACTTGCAACTTTTTGACCCAATCAGATCCGGACGTGGTCCTGGCAGCTGTTGATGTCCTGCTCTCTCTGTACGGGAGAACGCGCTTGGAAGAACTTGAGGTTCAGGCTCTAGTCCATCCTCTCACTCAGCCTGACAGCATCTCAACATTTCGCCACCTCTATTCGTGGTCCATTGTTTCGGTGGAAGACATTGACAGCAGCAAATATGTCATTTCCAAGAAGCTGTCCGAGCTGATGTCTCTCTTATCAGATCATGTATGCCAATATGCGCCTCCAGATGGCGGCAATTTCGACGTGGGACCGTTCTTACAATTCCTCATTGCGGTTGCTGAACATCAAAGTCTAATCGTGTCAATTCCCGTCGTGCACTCATGGGTCAAAATACTGGAGGTGCCTCTCTGGAGGAAGATACCAGCGGTCTTGCAGTGCATTGGCCCCCTCCTGCAGTTGGTGTCACAACGGCTGATTCAATACGACCAACTCCCAGAAGATACTCTGGAGCCTGCTGTCATCTTTGTCAACGAAGAAATTGAGCTCTTTCCCGAGCGGCAAGGCTTCTACGCAAACTACCGCAGGCTGTGTTCCGCTGTTCTGGAGTGGATCTGCTATGCTCAGCTGGAGGAGGCCATGGAAGCAGTCCTAAGACGGGCAGATGTACTCTTGGATGAGATTCATGCGGATGAGGACCACTTCGACCCCGAGACATATGAAAGAGTCTCCATGACTTCCCTTAGAGCGGACGCCTACTTTGCAATGGTTGATGCTGCTTTCAAAGGGCTTGATCGCTGGCAGGCCATGCATCAGGAAAATCCAACTCCCGAAGAAGAGCAACTAGCTCGCAGAGTCAGAGAGTCGTCGAAAGCATGGATGCTGAACTTGATGAGCCAACGCGACTTCAAGGATCCGCAGATCCGACAACGCCAGATTAGGACAGCCGTCGAAGTATCGAACCGAGCTTTACAGAAGGACACTGGGTTTGCATTCAACGTTCTTGAACACATCTTATCGTCATTCATCATCAACCACCATCCGCACCAGCAGGTCTATTCTGAAGCTGTTGCTGAATTGCACGGTTATGCAACATCGGAGTTGAGGCGATTATCACTTCAGCATGCAGACTACTTTGTTACCTTCTACGACCAGCTTCAAGGCAAGTTCACCGACCTCATCAATCAACTCGGGGCAGATGAACGACTGCAAATTGACCTGAAGTCAACACTGTTCTCGGTCATACAGCGTGCGACCACAGTAGGCTACGCTGAGCGTCAAGCCAAATTGCAAGAGTTCCTTTCTCCGCTTGCCGCTTCATGGGCGGATGAGAGCCTGCAGGCTATGTTACAAAGCTTCGAATCTTTTGCCCACTCACAAGCTTTCGATCAAATCGCACCATATATGGCCTCGATAGGAGCAGGCAATGTAGAAGACTGGTCTCAGGCCTTCTATGATGACCGCGGTGCAATGATTCAACAAGACATGCTGGCTGGCTATGCAAAGCTGCCTCTGAGAGAGTCAAGGATACTGCTGAGCATATCAACCGATAGACTGGATGAAGGTTCACCACTTCAGAAAATGGTATGCGAGTTGTGGTCGCCATTGATGCCGAGCATGTTGAGCCATGTCTTCCGTCTTACAAGATACAATCATCAACTACACAATCCAGCTTCGTGGCCGAATACTAGCCCAGACATGGACCCAGTCATTCGTCGGATATTGCGGGATCGATACTGGCAATCAGGTATATCGTCTGGGTCGATGAACCAGTTCCACAGCCAGGTCAAGTCGACCAAATCGACATTGGAAGGCTTCGCCTCGTCTGTCCGTGGGCGAATACGTAACAACCTTGAACAGTGTTACAGCATTATTCATACGTTGGGCAGACTAGGTTCAGCCTTTTATGGCTTGCAGCAGGTCGCAGAGATGATTGCAGAAGCTGCGCTAGACTCTGCATCACCGTTGAGCCCGCATCACTTTGCCGTGCTAATTCAAATGCTGCCAAAACTGATCGACGAATGTCCGCCTGAGTTGCGGCAATCATTCCTGACTCCGATCCTTTCCTCACTACTGCAACAAATGGACACCAAGCTTTCGAACGACTGGGTCAAGATGACTGAGATAAAGCAGACCAAACATGACGAGGAAAACCTGAACGATGAGATGAGAGACGACTCCGTCCTGCGGCAGACTACATACAAGGCCGTCAACTTGGTGGCGCACTGGATCAACCCGAAGCGAGAAGAACAACTCAGCACGAAAAAGTCGATTGTTAATGGCAATCACTTGACACAAGGCACCCAGCAGACCATGAGGGAGTTCATTCTGTCTAATTTGCACGTCCTGGATCGCCTAATCGTCTTCATCACCCATGCGCTTGCTTTTCGCGATACTCGGTCATGCACCACCATGCTTGGGGCTGCGCAACGTCTCGTACTGAGTTTCGCATCCGACCATTTCCTCTCCGGCCAGGAAGCGGCTGCGGTGCGTGAATTTATTTCGACAGACATGCTGAAGACGGCAATCACATGTTTGAATGATGGGTATTTTGCCGACCAGCAGAAAGAATACGCTCATCTGATCGCCATGATCTGGTTGTCATACGGTCTGCCCGCTCACGTCCCAGCCACGGAGTCCGCGCCGGCTCACGATCGTCCGGCTTTGACGGCGACGCCTAGAAGTGTCATACTCAGTCTACCTGGCATGACGGAGGCGAAGGTCGACAAAGCAGCTGCGCAACTCCTCCAAGAAGGAGCGAGTGGTGCTCGGTCGAAGAAGCTTCGTGCGGTCATCCTGTCGTTGTTGGAGGGTGTTCGCGGCGTCAGACTAAGTGAGCTCGGCAAGATTGACATGCGGCAGCAGCAGTCGAAGATCTTGGAAAAGTACAAGCAGCGCGAGTTATTGGGAATGCAGGGCATGGAGGGACAGTCTGGTGGCTCCGGGGCCCAAGACGACGGCGTTGACTTGGGTGGTGTGGCTGACATGTTTGCGGGCTAGGAGCTGCTTGATGATGTCGGCTGGCTAGGCATGAAATCTGGCACAAAAGGCTTGAGGCGAAGAGCTTCTTCGATCTGAACGCGTTGTTCAGGGTGGCCTGTGGCACTTTCGGTTCCTCGGGTACGAAAAATCTCCTTTTAGGCGAAGTGGAACTGTTCTGTGAGCGGAATTGCTATGGTTAGCACTAATGCCAATCAACACAGAGCAAACATCGATAAGATACTTGGAGGCGACAAAGACGTGCAGGAGACATTCAGTCTTCAGCATGATAGATTGCATCTTGGTTACTTCACATAGTTCATGCATCGAGGCCACTTTTGTGCCTGCTTGCTGCCTTTTTCTTTTGACATTGGCCAGGTCTGGCCATCATGACCATAGTCATACTCTTCCAGTATATACATTTTGACCCTTCTTCCCCAGGTCCTGTGTCACGCTTTCCCCAGAGCCTTACGACTCCATGTTTATCATGGCTCTCTATCTTTTGCTGAACAGCAACCGTGAGCCTTTCAATAGCTCTGGCCATCACCTAAAGAAATTGTCAGGTTTTGATGTGGACCATCAGAGTCTATTCGGTCGTCCTCGTAGGCATGGCAGTATATGTCGGGCGGACAAATCTAAAAGAATCGTGTTAGCACAACACAATCAAAGTCTTGTAGCAACGACAGAGGCGTCGACGCAGGCCCTTGCTCCCCGAACATCGCTCATCGACCCTGCGTCCACGCCAGTACATCCCCGTCTCTTCCGTACGATCAAGAGTAAAACCAATCGCATCTGTCGAACGTACCTGTCGCTGTTGTACGGCTTGCTCTGACTACCCAGCAGCTTCTGTTCTCGGTCCAGATCGGCATAGTATCTTCGCACTTGATCGCGGTCCTCCTCGGCTTGCATGACGGGAATAAGGTGAATTCGCGCCCACATCTTCTCACGGGCGAGTTCGTGCTTCTCGCGCTGGCCTAGGAAGAAGTTCCGCCAGCCATAGGCCATGACTAGCCCGATGCCGACGAAGTAGTATGCTGGTCGGAAGCCGCGGGTGGGTAGGTTGCGCTGTCACGAGGGAGAACTGTTAGCCCGTACAACTTAGACATGCAGTGAGTGAGAGAGTGTGCCGAGAGGCGTTGGTGGCTTCAGGTGTTGTGGAAGGGAGGGCGCATACTCTGTATTGAACGGGCTCGTAGCCGCCCGAGGGCGGTAAATCTTGAGGCATTGTGTTATGTTGCTGCGAGGCCCGCCGGCGTTGACAAGCTCGACGTTGGACGCTGGTGAGTGAGGGCAGCTTCGGAGCGAGGGAAGTCAGTTCGATTGGGTGGAGGTTAGAGCAGCGCAATTTCGGCCCGAAGCACGTGAGCCATAATTTTTTGAATGTTAACATGCCAAACAGCAGCAAATCGGCTATCACTCTCATTCGGACATACACACGCTACATAATGGAAGCAGAGGAGCGGCCCACGAAGCTGAGGAAGCTAGACACACAAGAAACTGCTGCTGAAGTGACAGCGGTCACTCCCTTGCTGTCGGACGCTACTGCCACCCTCCCAGAGTCATGCACTGCCGAACCATCACACACCAGTAAGCCAGAAGAGCATACTGCTAATGACGCAGATTCCGCCGCCGAGGCTTCTGAAGATGAGCATGAGTCCGACGGTGGCGTAGCCACGGAGCCACAGCATCCTTCTCAAGAAAATGGCGAGCCCGCAAAGCCCATGTCCAAGAACCAAATAAAGAAACAACGCAAACGGGAAGAGTGGGAGGCTGCTCGGGACTACCGCAAAGTCAAACGGAAGCAGAAATTACAAGAGAAAAGAGCCAGGAAGAAAGCGGCACGAGAGGAGGCAGCAGAACAGGAACAACAGGATGGAGACACTGCGCCAGATCTACAACTACAACGACAGCCCAAGCCCAAATACCGCCGTCCGGTCCAGCTGCCCGTCACGATCCTGATTGACTGCGGCTTCGACGACCTGATGATGGAGAAGGAGCGGATCTCGCTCGGCTCGCAGATCACACGGTCCTACTCGGACAACTATCGAGCTCCGTTCCAGGCGCATCTCGTAATAAGTTCGTGGGGAGGACTTCTCAAGGAGCGGTTCGACACGGTCCTAAGCAAGCACTATCTCAACTGGAAGAATGTGGTCATCGAAGAGAATGATTTCGTCGAGGCGGCGAAGAAAGCGGACGAGTTCATGCGCGGTCCTAGCGGCGGAAAAATGGCTGGGATGTTCGAACGATTTGCCGCTCCCGACGGAGTTGTCAAGCACGACGACTCTGAGAAAGTCGACGGTAACAAGGTTCATGCCTCGAACGGAAACCGGGTTGAAGTTGAAGCACCAGACCCGTCTTTGAACACTGCCGAATCCGTTGGGTACACCTCGACGATACCAGAGAATCCAGAATCTGCACAAAAAGATATCCCTCCTTCAGACTCTACAGGCCCGCTAGAGCACACCGGCGAGATCGTCTATCTGACCTCCGACTCGCCCGAGACTCTGACCGAGCTGTCGCCCTACTCGACGTACATCGTCGGCGGCCTGGTCGACAAGAACCGGCACAAAGGCATATGCTACAAAATCGCGAAAGAACGGGGCATCAAGACCGCCAAGCTGCCGATCGGCGACTACCTGAAGATGGCGTCGCGCAAGGTCCTTGCTACAAATCACGTCGTCGAGATCATGATACGTTGGTTGGAGTGCGGGGACTGGGGCGAGGCTTTCATGAAGGTCATTCCCAAGAGGAAAGGCGTCAAGTTGAGGGAGGACGAGGACGAGCACGATCAGCAGGACAGTCCGGCTACTAATGACAACGACGAGGTTGAGCACGACGACGCGGGAGATCAAGAAGAGGCCGATGACAAGCCGATAGAGGCCTCCTCCTGAACATGCTGCGGAGCTTCTAATGTAGATCTCGTTGGCACGATAAATCTGCGACATCATATAGACTGATGGAGTCTCCACGGCTAAGGCCATAGAACAAGGCAGCCAGCCCTTTTGTTGTACCGAAACTTCCGTCGCATTCCAACGCCTACTACCTGCCTCGCATTACTTCGTAGTCTCATCACATAACGCTACAATTTTCCATCGAGGACTTCATCGTATCAATATATCCGGCCTCAGTTTCAGCCTCTTCTTCCAACGCACCTGGCTTTCTCTTGACGCCCTTCACAGTCATCGTCTGTTCTCCGACACCGTGCCACCACTTCATGACTTGCATACTCTCACCGTCCACATCCACGGCATCGATCCTCCATCTACCTCCACTCACATCGACATTGGTCTTGCCAACTGGGAAGTGGAATTCCGGAAGGTAAATCTCGGTGGGCACATCCTCCTTTGTGGCGCGGTCAGCGACCAAGCTGAACGTGAACGTCACTTTTGCTAAGTCAAAGCCATAGTTGACGACGTCGCCTACTGTGGCGATGGGTGAAGGCCGCACATATGCTTCGGCAGCTCGCAGCCCGGGGTTTGACGAGGAATAGGAACCAGCGGAGGAAGGCTTCTGGGCAATTTCCGGTTGCCTCAGCACGTCCTTGATGTTCGAAGGGTTGACAGTAGAGCTGGACAGAGTAACGCCGGAATATCCGTCTGACCCCTGGCCTAATGAAGACGTGGACTGATTTGGGTCTTTCAGTCGGGACATAGAAGAGCTAGGCGGCAGAAGGGGATCATCGACAGAGACAATAGAAAGGTCTTCGCCGTTCCACAAGTCGCCATATTCGTGGTTATTCTGGCTAGGTCAGCAAGTCCATAGATGTTCCTGTGGCATTCTTACCTGTCCAACGTATGTCCATAAAGTGTAGCCCTGGGCACCGGATCCCTCCAGAGCGTAGTGATTTGCATCCAGGGCAGATGTTTGACTCGAATAGTCGCCAGTCTTGTAGGCGTACTTGTCATCCATATCGAAAGGAATGCCGATCTCGGTGAATAGAGTTGGGTGTTCGCCCAGGTTTTCCAATCCCTCGTCCCTTATCGCTCGAAGTTGATCTCGGAGACAATTCCGTATGGCAGTTTGACCTAGCCTGACAGCGAATGCTGGGCTCGAATAGCGATGCCGTAAAAGGCCGAAAATATCGACATTGTAATACTTGTTCCAGTGCTTTTGAATCAAGGTCAGCCCATCGTAGTAGTGTGATGCGAAGATCAATCTTTTCTCATCGTCCGCGGTATCCTTGATGAGGGGAGGTATTTCGAGTACTGCCGACTGCATCAGGATCATGCAATTTTTGTGGACGGAGCGGATGGCGTCGCGGTATTTCCGGAAGTGGTGCATATAGTATAGGTTCGTGAATTTTACGTAATCCAACTTGTCGCCTGACTTGGGTAGGGAGGCAAAGTAGTCCTTCTTCAATAGTAGGTCCTGGCTCGGGTCCCAGACGCCATTCTGAGCCCATAAGCATTCGCCAAGTTTCCAACCAGGGTCTCGCTTCCAGCCATATTTGGAGTCGTCAAAGTCTTTGGGTAGCCAGGCCGACACTCCTTCAGGGTCCACCAACTCCTTTCCGCTCTTGTATGGCCCAAAGGTATTGAAATCGTAGACGTCGATCTCGACCGCACGCCCAGAACCTGTGAGGATGGCCTGCCACGGTGTAGGACACGTGCCTTTTCTCATTTTCAAGTCGTCCGGCAGTTCGTCTAGATCTTCCCATCCAACCAGGCCCCGATGGGGTTCGTTCATTGTTTCCCACCCTATTATGCACTCGTTTTCCAGTCCACCGGCATCGTGTATCCTCTGTGCCAAGTGAGCACAAGCGTCAACAAAATGGTCGGTTAGATAGTCTTGGATGTTCTTGCCGTCTATGATGGCGTTGGGTGCAAAATCCCGGCCGGCAAAGAACAGGGTAAAGGTGACTTGGGTGGCAAGACGGGTGTAATTCGTCGGCCAAAGCATCTTGGGGAATTTAGCAGGCTCCGGCCAGGTATTGTGAACAACCGCGGCTTGGTTGGCAGTAAATCTTTCAGGATCCAGGCCACAGGCATGCAGAGTCCATAGGGGAGCACCGGAACCGCCGGTAAATCTTGACCAGACGTCCTGATGAGGATCCATAAAGATATAGAAGCCGTATGACTTTGCTATTCGCAGGATTTTGATCGTATGATCGATAAAGTCCTCGTCGTAGACTCCGGGACCTGCATGCTCGAGAGCCTCCCAAGTGAAAATGTACCGAATGACATTATAGCCCCATCTCTTCAATCGCGCAAAGTGTACATGTGCCTCCTCTTCTGTAAACGGTCGTCCTACAAACGAGACGTTGTCGGCGTCGAAAAAGCCATTGAGTTGATGAGATGGCTGATCCGGGTAGCGTGGAAACTTGCAGTCTCCAGCGACATTGATGCCCCGAAAGGTGATCTCACGATTCTCCGAGTCTCTGAACCGTATGCCATCGATCCTGAGGCCTGGTGCCGCCATTCGAGAGCGGAACTCCTCAGTCGTTCACGGGAGCATGCGGCAGGGAGAAGAAGAGACGAGGCGGTGTTTCTAAGGTGTACGCGGGATAAGGCAGTCCTTTTCTGTTGAAACACTTACTGGCGGATCAGTGTCTTCAAATTAACCTCTGAGATAACTGTATCCAACAGAGTCCAGAATGTACAAGTGGTCGTGTTTATAGAGAGGTGAGGACATAAGCCGCGAATGCATTGGGGAATATTATGGGCCTCAGCCGGGCAGTCGAGCCACTGGCACTTCGGAACGCGCTTAACGCCAAAGGCTTGTGGCGCCCGGGGCATCGAGACGTCATGTCGTGCCTCATTCGAATTTTATACGAGGTCATACTCGTATTCTTTCTACACATCACCAGAAGCCATCATACAATAAATCGGCCAAGGGGATCTCTGCGGATTGTCAAAGGCGCTGCAGGCCAAGGTGAGGTGAGGTGAGGCAGTATCAAAGGACTAGGAATGCGGTGACAATTGGGACATTTTCACCTCTGTTTGATCTCACAATGACTGATTGCTCGAGCCTTGTCGTGTGACATTGTCACCATCTTTGACCTCCGCTTGGAATAGACGGAAGACAAACAACAATATCAACATGGCGTCGGCCAAGGCCGCTTTGAAGTCTATCAAAGCCTCCCTGGATGCCGGTCATTTCGACAAGGCGGCTGAGCAGGCTGAAGACCTACTTAAACAAGATGACAAGAACCACACCGCTTTGTTGTTTCTCGGCTTCGCCAAAGAAAAGGCCGGCGACCTCGAAGCGGCGGAGAAAGCTATCCGCAGAGCTGCAGATCTAAAGCCCAAAGACCTCCAAGCATACAAAGGCCTGGTCACATTGTACGAAAAGCAAGGCAGCGCAAAGGTCGACCAGTACCACGATGTCGCATTTAAATTGGCAGAGATCTATGCTCAACAGGAGGACAGGGTTCAATGTCAGAATGTCATCGACAAATATGAGCTCTTTGCCAAAAAGCACGGAAATAGAGCGCAATACCGACGTGCGTTGGAGCTCATCCTGCCAACATCAAGTCTTTATCCAATACTCGAGGGTCGCGTCATGCAGCCCAGTCTTGCATATCAACGTATCCTCGAATCAGCAGAAGCAGAAGAGAAAGAATGGATCAATACACAAATTGGGGAGAGGAGAACGCGACTTGGAGCAAGGATCGAGCAGGTGACCCGTCAAGTCAAAGCTGAAGCCATCAGCAGATTTAACATCGAGGAAAGATATGCAGCCCTCATCGACTGGACACGAGATGATGATGCACGCCATGATCTCGAACAGAAGTTATTTCAACGCAGTTTTGATAGTCTGCTTGCAATGCCACAAGACTCCAAACAAGAACAACGCGACAAGGTGCTGAACATGGCCAATGGGATGGTCATCATCAAGCAGCCCTTCCTTCCGGCTTGGAAAGTGGCCTTGGAGTGGGTCGACGCAGAGGACCTGCAAGATTGGGATGTCAACATTTTTCGCGAGTATATCGGCTACTTTCCAGATGACGGTCTGAGCAAAATCCTGTGTGGATTTCTGGACAGCGACTCCTCTCCGTTTCCACCGCTCGAGGTCGAGGACGATGACGAAGACTCCAAGCCAGAGAAATTGTCTGACGCTGACCAGCTCATCTTGATGAATGAGGGCTTGGAAGATTGTCCAGATACGCACCTAGGACATCGGATCATGGCATATACCTACCTCCATTTCGAGGATTGGGCTGGCACAGTTGACGTCGCTCGAAAGGCTCAGAGTCTACACAAAGACGCTCAGCAGCGGTATGCCATTGACTTGCAGAATAGTATCGACGGCATCAACCTCATTCTCGCCAAAGCTTTGATAGCACATCAATCACCGCGGCATCATCCGGAAGCTCACGACTTGTACAACAACATACTCCAGCGCAAACCCAAGCTGACTGCGGCTCTGCTCGGCACCGGTCTGATTTTCGAAGAGGACGAGGACTATTCTGAAGCAGTCAAATTTCTGGACCAGGCTGCAGAGCGTGATCCTGCTAATATCAGGATCAAACTCGAGCTTTCCTGGTGCCGGGCGCAAAGCGGTGAAATCGAACATGGCCTGCATCAGCTACAGGAGATACTTGAGGTCATTGAATCGAACAAAAAGCAGCAGGACTTGTCCATGAAGTCAATCGTACTATATCGCCTCGCCTGGTGCCTGTGGCACATGAATACATCAGCTGCAGCTCGCAAAGACAAGTCCGGTCCATATCAATATCTGGTTGCCGCCATCAAAGCAAATCCCAATTATGCTCCAGCATATACTCTGCTTGGAGTGTACTTCCAAGACTATGGGAAAAGTAAGCAACGAGCAAGAGTCGCATTGCAGAAGGCATTTGAATTGTCCACATCAGAACTCGAGGCCGCGCATCGACTCGCAAAAGCTTTTGCCGATAGTGCCGAATGGGATCTCGTTGAACTTGTCGGGCAGCGTGTTGTTGCATCAGGAAAAGCACGACCTGCGCCTGGCTCGAAGAAGAAGGCGCATAGCTGGCCATATGCCGCTTTGGGCGTGGTTCAAATGAACAAGCAACAATACTCCCGAAGCATAGTATCTTTCCAGGCAGCACTGCGCATATCTCCCGATGATTACTACTCATGGGTCGGGCTGGGCGAGAGTTATCACAATGGCGGTCGCCATGTGGCTGCTACAAGAGCATTCGCTAAAGCCGAGAGTCTAGACCATGACCTGCCATCGGATGAGACTTGGTTCGCAAAGTACATGCTTGCTAATGTCCAACGCGAGATGGGGTTGTTCGACGAAGCCATCGTGGCGTACAAAGATGTCCTGAAACTCAAACCCACCGAGTTTGGTGTGCTCATTGCTTTGTTGCAAACATTGTCTGAGAGTGCCTGGGCAAAGGTTGCCCTCGGCATGTTCGGTGCAGGTGTGAAGCTTGCGACCGATGCTATCGAGGTTGCTACACAAATCGCGCAAAACAACGTGGACTTTTTCAACTTGTGGAAAGCAGTTGGCGACGCTTGCTCTGTTCTTGGAGACGTCAAGCTGCACGGCAATCTCACAACCCTTCAGCCGGTGTCCGCTCTGCTGCAAATGTCTCTTGGGAATGATCTTGACAACCTCGCAGAACTTGATAAGGTCACTCTGGACATGATCAGCGGGAACGAACAGGATAACGCCACGGTGTTGGCTGACAGATGCCTGTTTGCAGCAATCCTAGCCCATAAACGAGCAATTCATGCTTCGTCGACAGATCAGCTTGCACAAGCAGTGGCTTGGTACAACCTGGGCTGGGCAGAGTATCAGGCATATGTATCAGGTGGGCCATTGGTGAACGGCGTTGGCAAGCAGTCACGAAGATTCCTCAAAGCAGCCATCAGATGCTTCAAGCACGCCATTGAGCTCGAAGCCAGCAATCCCGAGTTTTGGAATGCCCTGGGCGTGGTGACCATGACGCTCAGCCCCAAGGTCTCTCAGCACTCGTTCGTCCGAAGCTTGCATCTTAACGATCACAGCGCCAGGACTTGGACTGACCTTGGAGTACTCTACCTGATAAATGGAGATAATCAGCTTGCCAATGAGGCTTTTACTCGAGCCCAGTCGGAGGATCCAGAATTCGCTGATGCTTGGATTGGACAAGGTTTGCTGGCTTTACTTTTCGGAAGTATCGGCGAGGCCAGGGGCCTTTTCATGCATGCTTTTGAGATTGCAGACTCTTCCCAACTACCACCTAAACGCCATTATGCTGTCTCCGCATTCGACTATCTGCTCAAGGATGCTTCAAGGTCACAGGAGGTTAGCGCACTCTTGCAGCCACTCTTCGCCATGCGCCAGTTTCACGCACAGAAACCCTCTGACATGACCGCCACCCATCTCATGTCTCTTCTGGCGGAAAGAGTTGGTGACTATGTGACAAGTGTTGAAAGCCTCCAGAAGGTCTGTTCCGCCGCAGAAGCAGAGTATGAGAAATCAGAGTCGGACGAATATCTTGTCAAGTTTGCACAAGCCAATGCGGATCTGGCTCGGGCACATCTCGCTTATGGTCGACCTTCTGAAGCCATTTCACATGCAGAAACCGCTCTCGATCTCTCAGGTGATGGAGATGAACTTGGCCCTGCATACACAGGAGTTCGGCGAAAATGGCGACTTTCCGCTCACATTACAGCAGGCCTCGCGCACAGTCACCTACACAATGTTGAAAAGTCTATCAAGATGTTTGAGGCGGCACTCCAAGAGGCTGAAGGCCAGCCGGATATTGTGTGCATGCTTGCGCAGGTTCTGTGGGCCAAAGGTGGCTCAGTGGAAAAGGAGATGGCCACATCACAGCTTTTCGATGTCATCGAAAACAATCCTGGACACGTCCAAGCTGTTGCCCTTCTAGCAGTCATGGGCCTACTGGACAATGACGAAGATGTGCTCGAGGCAGCGGAAGAGGAGCTCAAAGCCCTCAGGCGCGGGGATCAGATCGGAGTGCCGGACAAGATTAAGGCTACCAAGATCCTGGCTGGTATTGCTGCGTGCAAACCAAAGGCGGCCGATGCTACAGGGATTGATCAGGTCGCTGTGGTTGCAGATGCTCTCAGTGGGATCATGCTCGCACCATGGCAACCACAAGGCTGGCTCGAGCTCGCACAGGCTGCTCCGGAAGACGAAGATGGCACATATGCAGCTGAGATGGCTGTACTTAACGCCACCAGACAGATACCACCAGGTGGGAAGCTTGAGGCGAACGATCTTGCGAAGGCGTACGAAGGTACTGGTCAGGCGGATGACCTTCTTAGAGCGAAGATGCTTGCGCCATGGCTTTTGGAGGTTGGTGTGGAAGCTTGATGGAATTTGGACGCCTTTGATATGTTGAGCTTGACATCTTGTATGATCCCAGAGGACAAGGGACTGTCTATCGGACCAGATGTGTGATGAGACGTGTTGGGTATGGCTGCCGAAGACCTGTCTCAGGTTTCGATGCTGCATAGCCTAGGTGTGAGCGTCGTAAGCCAACCAATGTCGGTACCCGTTCGTTCGAGACTTGTATGTTGTAATCGCTGATCCGCGTTACGTTCCCTCCGACACCAATGTAGTCAGCGTCTGTTTCCTCCCTTCTTTCCACTTCTTATCCCAAGCCTCGACCTTGCCACCTAGCACGTCACACCTGTCAGGCCGCAACATGACCATCCCTCTGCGGACCATCGTGCTAGGCTTCAGGAGTAGCTTGCAACCAATGAACATGCCTGGGTCATCTTGACTGGACGCTCGGCCATTCTGAGAACCAGGCAGCACGGCGGACGCGGCGATCGACAGTCCAATCTTGGGGATTTTGACGAGCTCAAAGGCGATGACCTTGGTTCCTCGGGCATCTTGAATGACGAGCTTATGTGGTCCTGCGCTCAATTTCTTGCTCGCAGTAGATGACGCGTTCGGATTCCCGGTCGTAGGAGCAGACCTTGTGATAGCAGTGGCAGCAGGACCTGGGCCCGACCCGTCTTCGTCTTCCATACCGTCGACCGTGCGGATGACTTCGCGTCCACGAATCTCCTCGCCGCGTTCCACGCGTTCGATCGCCTCGACTTGACTCCACTTGCTGGATCCGATGTCCAAAACATCTAGGACTTGGACGATCACATGGCCTGAGAGAATCCGTTCTTTGACGCTTACGTCGGCGATCTCTTGTGGTAGAAGGTCGGTTGATGGCGGTGATAGCGATGTGGTGATGTCACTTGCTAGGAGGCGGAACTGTGCTGTCGATAGGAGGGCTGGCAGTGGCGGCGGATTTGGTCCGCGTGATGAGAGGAAGTCGTTGAGCCATTGCGTATTAACCTGAAGGTGGTATCTGGATTGGAGAGCGGTCGTCACTTGATCGTGAAGAGGGTGTAGATTCGGCATCTTGACTAAAGCATCCAGGGTAGATAGTCTGTAGAACGTCCGGAACGTGTACCTCTTCTCCTGTCATTGAACTCACGCCGGCACGGTCCCAGAGGGCTTGGAGGTGAAGACAGGAACGAGCATCAGATTAACCGCCAATATCCCCATATCAAAGCTTGATGGAGTTGCCTACCCGACTGATCCGGTTTGCGAGCCTTCGATCATTGCTGCACATTCTCAGTGTCCCAAGGCGTTGACAAGGCCGTGCAAAAAGGAGACGCTTTTTGGCAGCCAACGTGCCGGTTAAAGCTCGGCATGTTGCAAGGCTGGACTTGACGAGGCTGAGTCTGCCACCACGGCTTCGGCACTCGCAAAATGCCAGAAGACACTACGATACATCCTAAATACTCAACTGCAGAAAGCAGTCTAAATCTGTACTGAGCTGTTTCCAGCCTGTGTGCGCCCGGAAACATCCTCGGCGATGTAGCTGCACTTCGTCAATCATGGCTTCCATAACCTCACCTCGCCCCGAGTCTCCTGCAATTCCTCGAATCACATCCCCTTCGACTCCCAGTGCAAGTGGCACACCCACCTCCTCCGTGCGGCCGTCCTTCGATATTCCAAGAAGCGACACCGCCTCACCAGCCCTGCCACAACATGGCACGCCGGTTCCCAACCCCGCCCAAAGACGCAACCGCGCTGCCTTACGCGACTACTATAACCTAAAAGCACGAAACGCTGCGGCCGGGGCCGGGGCTGGTGCGGACTACGACCTCAGCCGAAAGACGAGTATCGTGTCAAACGCATCAGACTCGACTATAACCTCTTACCCCGCCGCCAATGCCGACTCCTCGTCTCTAACCACTCAATTGGACGAACCGTCCTTCGACGCGGAAGCCTACGTCTCCGAACTGCTCAAGACCGCCAGTCTACGAGACATACTGAAGACAGAGAGCGCACTGGTCAGCGAGATCCGAAACCTCGATGGCGAGCGCAAGGCCCTCGTCTACGACAACTACAGCAAATTGATCAAGGCGGTGGGCACGATCGCCGAAATGCAGAAGGGCATGCACAAGCGTGAACCGGATCGACTCAGCGTACTGGGCATACGCAAGGATCCGGAACCGGGCCTGGACGGCGTAGAGAAACTTGGGGAGAAGCTGGATGGGTTGCTCGAGACGGTGAAGCAGCTGGGGCCTCAGCAGACGGAGGATACGAAGATATTCGTCGAAGCGAGAGAAAAGAGACGGCAGAAGGAGACGGTAAAGTGGGCACTGGATGCACCATCTCGGTTGCGGGGCATGCTTGCCAGAGGCGATAGAGATGGGGCCGAGCAGGAGTACCAATCTGCCCTGCAGCTATTGGACCAGTGGAAGGGAGTTACTGGTGTAAGCGGGCTTCGCGTAAGGTGTGAGCAGATCATGAAGCAGTCGGAGAATCCAGACCAACATGCAGACGAGCATGAGGAAGAATCCGAAACATGAGTCTGTAACTACGGCTCGAACTCAACACAATGTTTGATTTCAATCAGCGCAGCTCCTGTACCGGGACACCGAGTCTCTATGTCGACTCTGCACCAGTGACAAGAGGTCTCATGTCAGTCCTAGGAGACCAGGCCGATCAGATAGCCAGGATGCAATCTCCTCGGATTCTGCCTCACCCACCACGACTTGGCATGACCGCACCGTCTCACTGCCATGTCACGAGCAAAAAGAATGCAACCCGAACTCAAGAGAATTCCCAAAAATAATGATATCGAACCCCAGCCAAGGCAGAGAAAACATTCAATCTAGGGGATTGTCGAAGACAGTCCACATCCTTGGTTGGGGTCACAGGCAGAGAAAACCTTCAATCTGGGTGAACCTCATAAAGAGGTCCAACATCCTGTGTGGAGTGATATCAAGTTGAGTATAGCATGAGAATAACGAATACTCATCAAGCTAAACCAACTGAACCATTACAAAGAGCAGATGGTACCAATGAATTGGTGGCCAGAATTCACGGTCTCAAAGATATAAACCCTGTCACTGGATCATGTGATTGATGAACAAATGCTTCGGGCGGTCGAGCACTGCTGTCTACCTAGGACAGTGAATGCGCGGACAAGTGAGGCGATAATCCGGCACGCCCTCGGAACTGAGGAAACGAAGCGTTCTTCGGGACAGTCGAGACGAGAGTTACGTCCATGCATAATGCTCCATGTTGACAAGTTCATTGCGATTTCTATTTAGAACTATCTACCTGAGCAGCATCCACTGAGCTCCTCAAAGCCCGTGGTGGCCACATAATGGGACGAAGAAGGACTCAATACTCCAGTCGTTATGCCATTGGGCTCTTTCATGGCCATAAAACCCTTGCGCCTTTGCATTCCAGGTAGTCAGACATGTCTCCACGTCTCGAAAATTGGGGGTATCAAAACAAGAAGCCAAGAAAAGTACTAAAGTCAACGATGAAAGCTGGTGCTGCAGCATGTCTTCCACCACCGGGTTGAACTCCAAGAAAAGCAGGAAGCACCGAGTCCTGCATCATTCGCAACAGCATGCTCATCTCAAATGCGCAGTAGCATCAGGTCAAGATCTTGCCCCTTCCTCAATAAGGACTGTTGACGATCTCTTCCCTTAGATGGCTCTGCCTACCGCTACGTCTCGGTGTAGCCAAGGCACCTCCGCTTTTTCTTGCTGCCGGTCCTGCGATGCTCTCTCTGGTTGGCTTCTTGAAGCTGCGGCGACTGACCATATCAACCTCATTCGGCAGCGCAAGGATGACGTTCTTATCCGAACCAAATTCGAAATTATCCGCCATGACTTGTGCACTGTAACGCTTGATCTGGTACGGGTCTTTGTTGCCAGCGAGTACCTTCTTAAGGTTCCAAGTAACGAGGAAAGGACCTGTTGATGTTATGATGCTGGTCTCGGGGTTTTCTGGTGAAGCGTTGAACTTGGCCGTAGTAAATGACAGAGGTGCGCCCGTTTCATGTTGGAATTGTGCGACATGGCTTGGTGTAAGAGCTAGACGACGGGGTTGAGGTTTGCTGTCCTTGGCGAAGGAACGCTCGAAACCCAGCTTGCCCTCGTTCTTGCCCTCCTTCTGAAGAGTGTCGATCAGGAGAAGATAGGTACGGCAAGTAGCAAGGAGCCATCGGCCATCGGCACTGACATCTAGACCAATAATAGCTTCACCCAGAGCAGGTATATGTGTTTTGGCATTCACGCCCAGACGATCGAAGAGGCGAACGTCACCCTTGTTTGATGCCACAGCCAGGTGGCCCTTCTCCGTAGTTGCTGCAGCGGAGAAGTCATTCTTGGACACGTATTGTTTCAATTGATCCTCCACGAGCTTGTTGCCAGCAACGCGAGGGTCGATCCGGAAGAGCGCATTCTTGCTGTGACCAATAAAAGTCTGTGCGGCGGTTTGCTGCGCGAACTTGGTTTCGGGCACAAAGTTGGTCACAGGAATATCGTCATGGACCTTCCATTCGTCAACGACCTTGCCATACTCCAAATCCATTCGGTAAAGGGCATTGGGGTTGCTTTCATCCTGAAGCACCATGTTTTGGTCCTCGGAATGGAGCATGACTTTGCCTGGTCTGAATAGCTTTCCTTTGGGTGTTTCTACTTTGGAGATATTCGTGGTGAACTCCAGGTGTCTGTTGGGGAGATGCTTGAATACACCAATCTTGGATCCGCGAATGACGAAGGACCGATCGTGTTTAGTTCCGACAGCCAGTTGTGAGTTGACATTGCCATCTTGATTGTCCAAATCGACATCGTCTTCGGACTCATCTGTGTCATAGTGCTCACTGCGTTGGCCGCCTTCAGAATCTTCTTCTTCCTCTTCCTCTTCTTCGGCCTCCTCTTGCTCTTCCGGCACATCGTCCATGGTCAACTCATTGAAGGCTTCAAAGACATATTCACGGTCCTGCTCTTTGACCTTTGACCATTTCATCTCGTTCAGCTGTTCCCACAATGCTTGCATGATCCCCTCTTGAAAGTTCTCCAAGGTAGCCTGATCGCGGAAGCGTAGAAGCCACGAGTAAGCTGATCCATCATCCGTATAGTGATTAAAGATCGCCGATAGATATTCAAAGTTGAACACAGGGTTGATGTCAGCTACAACTTCTTGGCCGAGCCATTCTTTCCCGTCGGAGCTTGTGATTTGCAGCCAGTATCGCCAGTTGCCTAGATCGGTAACAACAGCGGTTACGGAAGGGTCTTGGATAACGAAGCTGGAGGTGGGGAAGTCGAAGAGATGCAGCTCAGCGTGCTGCTTTGTGAGAACCTCGCCAGAGCTGGGGGCAGTCTTGGCTGTAGGCGCTTGAGTGGATTCTGTCTCTCTTGGTTTGGCCACATTGGCTTTCTTTGGAGTCGATTTTACATCTTTTGCCATTCTTGCGGCCGACTCTTTGGAGGTAGGTTGTGGCTCTTGGGGAGGAGAGACAGAAGGAGCAGCAGGAATCGCGTCTTCGGAATCGAAGTAGAATTCTTGGAGGTCGGCGTCGGTGGCTGTTTGTGCTGACGTGCGGTGTTTTCTTTCGTACTGGCAGTCCACAGCTGCTAATAGGAACGTTTGAATCTTCTCTTCGCCAACTGAAGAGTCGCAGACAAATTCGTAGAGGTCGCCAGGATCGCCGCTCAAGTCTCGCCAAGCTAGTATCGTCTCGCCACCTGATCTCTTCTCTGACCTGAAGTGCAGACTCTGATCAAGAAGAAAGGTTTTCTCGTCCTTATCTAGAGAGTCTACTCCGTCGGGGTCGTCTTCTTCTGCTAGCTCTTCTTCTCCTTCCTCGTAGGCACGTTGTACAACAAGCTGGTACTGAAACTCTTGCCCAGTCCTGCGAATACTGGCCACGGCGTCTTTATAGATGAGTTCGGAGTAGCCTTTGGGTGAAAGGGGACGGACGAGATACAGTTGGCCCTGCGGGATCTCTGTGATGACCTCTTTGGACGCGTCTCCGAAGAGGTATTTACTGACTAGATGTGGAACACAGGTCAGTCCATGTCTTGCGCGAAATTTAGAACAGAGGCGTTGGTGCTGCGCTTACCATTCTTGATCATAAACATATTGATGGCGGGGTATGGCAGAAAGGGCGGGACAAATCAGCAAAGTGCCCGAGGCAAGCGCACCGCAGAGTTGGCGGTCGGTCGATGATGGTGGCAATGCGCTGAAGTATCTGGTGCAGGAAAAGATGGGAGAAAGAGAGAAGCAGCAATCGATACACTTAATTATTGATGCCAGAGTGCAAAGTGAACTTTCAACAAGTTGTGCCGCATGACGCAACAAAAAGCCCGTTACTAGGCAGAGCGCAGTTAAGGTACTAGGCTGCAATCCACCAAGGCACAAGGCTGCCAGAGAACGAATCATGTCGCCTGCCCTGATCAACCACCAAGTACTAGTACCTAATATGTAGCCTGACGGGCCGAGATGTGTCAATGAGGCTGAAACCAAAACACGACCATAATCGCAACCGCCTGCGCCTGCGCTCCAATTTACAGCGTAGTGACAGCAACCTGAAAGATCTCATGGAAAATCCTACGACGTCTATTGCTCCTCCTTGACACAGTGGTGCTAAAGACTCATGAGAAACACTCATGGCTTCCGAAGACGAGCCTGGTCGACGGAACTCCAGCCCCCAACCGACTACACAGTCACCAACTCTGGCAGATAACCCCTACAACCCCAACTCAGCCGCCTACTTGGCCTATCCTGTCAAGCATGTCGTATCAAGCCTGTACCGGCGAATGACCGAGCCTCCAGACAATCCTGTGAACAAATTGCTTGACGCTCCTAACGTACGCTCCTCCTCAGGTGCATACACCCCACCGAAGAGAACACAATCTCCCTTTCAACCTCCGCCACTCACTCCCCTGGAATTGAGGCATACACTACCAACAAGAGCAGCAGACTCACTGCTGTTGACGCGTTCTCTGGCTGAAGAGATTCGTCTCTTGATTCCACCAAGGCTTCAGCTGATTGACAAGTGGAGGCTGGCGTACTCATTAGAGGCGCACGGAGCATCATTATCGACGCTATACGAACATTGTGCCAATGTCTCTACATATACTCAACGATCAGGCTATGTCCTTGTCGTACGAGATGGCTCTACGGCGGCTGGACAAGGATCAGTTTTTGGTGCCTACCTCTCCGACTCTCCGAAACCTTCGCTGCATTACTTCGGGACAGGAGAATGCTTTTTGTGGCGAGCCAGCATCTTGCCGACTCTGAGAAACCTATCCGTCTCCCTTGGTAACACGTCAAACTCGCCGTCGCATTCGCAAGATCTGCTGGAGTTGGCCGGACTGCCTCCTCCTCCGAGCGCAGATACTACCAACCTTCAACGAGCAACAACGATCCGAGGCGAGCGACAGACATCTTCGGTTTCGAAACCGACATCACCAATGGGAGTCCCTGCCGAGAAGCAAGCGCTTGCACCTATGCCGCCACCTCGATCTGAAACGTCTACGCCTGACCGGATTCGTTTCAAAGCCTTTCCTTATAGTGGAATCAACGACTTTTTGATCTACTGCGAGTCAGGCTACCTGTCCATTGGAGGCGGCGATGGCCATTACGGACTGTGGCTAGATGATGCCCTTGACAACGGTGTCAGCGAGACCTGTCCGACGTTCGGCAATGAACCCTTAAGTGACGAAGGACGACGCTTCGAGGTGATAGGCGTGGAAGTATGGTACGTGGGGGCGTGACGAACTGGGACGCACACTATCGGCAACCTCGCCGCTGACAAAGAAACCTGCATTTGAGCTTCCGGGACGTCTGACCATTCCTGCGCTATGCTTTAGCGGCCCGGTCTCGGTACCATTACGAGCGGGAGATCCTCGCAGGGAGACGCTTAGCTGACGCACCGGCACGATTGCTCATGCTTGTCAACCCTCGACAGTCCAGCGGGCCGCAAGAAGGAAGCCGGGCTCCATGAGCCAGTCCCGCTGTACCTCAGCAACTGTCATAATTCTACCATCACAAGAGCTGTATACCGCCGAAACTCAATGAAAGACCCTGGTTCATCTACACCGTCGTCGAAATACATGGTTTGATGCCAGAGGCATATCTTTCAGCACCACCTGTAATGGAGAGAGGCTGGAAGATCTAATAGACGCAGAAGCTAAGCATAATGTGCCGGCGCAGGACCCGTCGCAGTGGAGTGTTCTGCATGCTGTGTCATAATGCCGCATCAACAAGGTTCAGAGATCTTCTCGATTGCGCTTCAACCTCCACCTAGACAACATGCCACCTGCTACGGACGAACAGGATGGACGGTCTTTTGAGGCATGGCATGCTGCGCCTTTTCTGATTGCCACAAGTGTTTCGCCCTCTGGCTGTCAGTCGGCCCTGTAAGCGGGTCCACTGCTCCGGAAGCTCTCCTCGCGCCGAAGCCCGTTTCGATGAGATGCGATGCTTATATAGAGAGGTTCTGCGATGCACATGGTGCACTTTGAGTTTCGGCCCTTTGACTACCGAGGCTTGTGGAGTGCTCCAAAGCACCCTGGAAGCTACCGCCTCATCAAGCAAGTACAAGGGAAGATTTAGTCCCTCAATGGATCCGCATGAAGTGATCTGCGGGCGATCATGGTTGTGGTGTGATGGTTCTGTCTGGATGGCGAAATTCCATGTGCCCGTCATCTGCAGGTTGTCAACGTAAGAAGGAAATGCGATTAACATCGCATGTGCTTGGAAGCGATAAGGTTGTCACCGTTGCTATGGTCAAATCAAATAAACCATGTCATCATGGGACTCGTCCCGGACGCGTTAGAAGCCAATGGTGCGGTGTCCACTCGGCATTCGGAGTGTCCATGGAGATACCTCAGAGTACCGTCCGATCAAAGTCAGATGAGACATGAGCAATACCACAGTAAGCGAAGGTTGAGAAATAAAGCATATCCAGGTACATACCGAGGCCGGTGTTTAGTGATAACAAAAGGTGCCTTCAAGATGCCGTGCGACGCGAAAAGGAAGATGCCGACAAGCCAATCATGATATCCAGCACAACTACTGCAACAGGAAATAGTCTAAACCCAAAGAGGATTATTCAGCATTCATACCCTATTCTGCAAATATCAACATGAGAGGAACTATACTAGCCCGGGCAGAAGTCGAAGTTATGTTGACCTGAAGGGGGTATAATGCAGGTACAGTGCTTCGGGTGATTCAGTGTTAGTCATGGGTAATAATGATGAAGATGGGAATATGGGGACCAAGGAATCGCTCAGCAAAAGAACAGCCGGTATACAAAGTATTCGTCTGAATCTATCCGCTCCATGTAATTATTGCTGTACTGTGACCTTAATCACTTGTAACGCAACTTGAGGTCTGCTTATGCATAACGCTGCCACTGCATAATATGGGATTGTGAAGGCCGGCATGTCACATTAGTCCGGATGCTTAGCCCGAACAGGAAATGGTCGGTGTAATTTCACCCTGTCATGCACAATTTTCATATGATACACAATAATCCGAATAGCACCAAAATATTACACGAATAGCTGCCAACGAACTCGGAATACAGCTGAGTGATTTCTTTTCGAACCCGAGCGTCTTTCGGTTCTTGTATTGCACTTTCCTCCGAGGCCTACGAGTATAGCATACGAGTATAGCATACGAGTACAGCATGCAATTTGTCGAGTTACATGTCAATCTACACAGTACGTCATGCACTATCGACCCTCGAAGCCGAATCCGTCTAACCCACCGAAAACGGTGAATCTCGCTCTTTCGCAATACCGCATTGACCGTGGCCGAACTATGACCCTGCCGATTTGCCCGGGGACAGCAACTGCAAAGAACAACGAAAGAAGGGATGCTACAACATTTTCTCCGAGATGGAGTCGAACTGGCACATTCATCACAAAACCGCTCACCACCCCCATCTTGACTAAACCTGATCAGTGCGTGGATTGGCTTTATGACTGTGACTGACACAGCATCTTAGGCCCAAAGACTAATCGCATCAATCCGTGCAGCATCATGTCATCAAAAGGTAAAGGAAAAGTCTCCCTCGTACCCGATAATACCAGCACAAGTTACAGTGCTACAGGGGGTCCAGGAACGTTTACATTTTAGTTCCGTACCCACACCCACCTTACCTCACCACACAGTACACCCCCCGGTTCATGCATCTGTTCTGTAGAGAGCAGATTTGTGTACGTGCGCGCTGCATCAAACCTTTCTGCCCGATTTCCCTGTGCGGTTCTGTGCTCATCAATGTCCCCTTACCAATGATTGCCTCATCGCTCATCCAAACCAGACAGGGCGGATCCACCATGTCTACTACTCCATGCGAATTACACTACTCGTCCGCTTAGTAACCCAGCCTTTGCTCACGATATATAGGGCCTTGTCGCGCTCGATACCCTCCGCCTCCCCATGTGCACATACCCACCTTGGCTCATATATCACTCTAGTGGTCATTCCAATAAGACGCCCTGCCCGTGTCGTGCTTTTGCCCTCGCATGACTGTCTGACCACATCGACACCATATCTTACGTACCTTGGTCACCTCGTCGACACCTGGATAGATATTGTCAATATTTACCTTCTTCCCCCTCCTGGTATTGGATTAACCCCGGCAATGGGCTCCTCAATCATGACGCCTCCTCTGGAACCATCATCACCTATGGACGGTGGAATTCGAAAACGAGTATGCAAAGCCTGCGATCGATGTCGCCTGAAGAAGTCAAAGGTTCGTCAAGCGACAGCTTCCCTGCAATATTGGGTTTTGAGTCTAACCCGTCTCCTAGTGCGACGGTGCCAGCCCTTGCGGTCGATGTAAGGCTGACAACGCCATCTGTGTCTTTGGCGAACGCAAAAAGTCCCATGACAAGATCTATCCCAAAGGGTAGGTCACTAGCCATACCCTAACTACAATTGAATTCTGTGGCTGACTCAATTTGTGTACAGCTACGTAGAAATGCTCGAGAGTCAACAAGCACAGCTCGTCTCCGGTCTACAAGAACTCTACAAGCGACTTCAAGACGGTCAAGGCTGGACCGGATCACCCTTGAAGGAGACCAGCAATGGCATGCCATTGACGCACGACATTCTCGAACGATTAGGAGCCTTGAAGCAGGATGGCAATGTCACGCATGAAGGCTTCGAGGAGGACCTCAATGTTCTGCAGCAAAGACTAATCACTGATGGTGCTGGCTTCATGCAACGACAACACTCACACGACTCGCATTCGGACACCAGTGCCCCGTCCCCCGTCTACGAGCCTGTCGCTCAGAGACTCAACTTTTCTAAGCCTTTCAATCTCAATCAACTACCTCCCACGCCTCCGAACCGAAGTCCTTATCCTCACAACGTTCGAGCCGTCCCTACAAAATCACATACCTACCCCCACGCCGCCACCACTCATTCGAATCTCAGCTGGAATACCCCAATCTCCGAATTTGACGACTCGATGGACTTCATCAACCAGTTCGAGTCGCCCATGATGGACCCGTCAATAGACTTGACATCTTTTCCGCCAGCAATGTTTCAAGATCCCATGATCTCTGCGGCGATCAATCCCTGTCTAACGATGAAAGACTGGGCAGACCAGGAGGATCTGCAGCGGTTCTTTAATCCGACCATGGTTTGATTGGCTGGCTTCGACATGATTTCTTGACCTTCATTTGTAATGCATCTCAACAGCGGGCGAATCGGCGTTAGGACAACTCACTTTCGGATATCCGAAACCGACTCGAGTCAAGGCGGCTGGGGTTGTACGAAAGGTACTTTCACGAAAGAAAGCCCAATAAGAGGTTTAAGTCCATGACTATTTCAGCGTCATTATGAACATTGGTAACCCGGCCGGGCGGTTGGGTCTTCGTGGCGTCTACGGGATCGATCAAGCTGCGGAGCTTTGGTCGCCCACGGCAGTTACCTTGAGAAGGGCAATACGGGAAGGTTGAAATGGTACGACTCGTCGACAATCGTTTACGTTGACGGATGACTCCCTCAGATACCATATGCCATGTAATACGGGGGAAAGCACTCCCATGTGGAAATGAAACGATGAACACAGGCTCCTCCAAGAAAAGGTGTGAGTCTGGAATTTTGGACTTTTGTTGGCCTCATCAGCCACGATCACTTTACCATAATCGTCGCAATACCCTAGGGCTGTTGACGTTGGCCTCTTCGTCAAGTTGCCGTAGACCGCACACGACCACAGCCCATCTCATGAAGATGTACAGCCGTTAGAATTGACATCATCTAACGACCCCACAAACCAAATATTGCTCGAATTCGAGACTTGCGCTTATCCTTGCTTTTTATCTCTCCACATGTTATTGATGAAGCAGCACTACTCAAGCAAGGATACGATATCCGTGATCGCTGAAGAATGAATAGCCGGAGCGTTGCGTTGTTTTGTCCTATAACACAGCAGCTATCTTACGCTACCAGCTTAGAGGCACATAGTACACGTGTACTACTACATGCCAACAAGTAGTGCTGCGCGAGAGAGTCATCACTCATGCTAAGCGAGCCCTCCTGGTTTCCGCTGTCATGTACGATCATGTACTGGCTACTGGGTTCGATGTCACGATCTCGGCAGAAGGCATCAAAGCGTCGGGCGGGTCGATCCCAACGCACAACGCTTTGTATCCTTTTGGACGTCCCCATATTCCAAAAAGTTGTTTATCGATAAAGTTCACGGCCCGGTTTCGTCACCACTTTTGGAACAATGAAAGTTGACGTTGCACTTCTCCTCGGGCTGTTTGACGAATGGCCATTCTCTCCATCAGGAACCAAGGACTCGATTCGGAGCCTTAGCATGATTGCATTCTGCTCTGTCGCGTTATGCTTTATGGAGGGGACGAAGACTGCTAATTCGCCGCTTGTCAGGACTGCCCCTCCCCCATATTCGTACCCAGAAGATGAGTAAGTCCTTTAGGCTTCTGATGAATTTCGGTCAGGTATCCTGTGCAAATCACCAACGATGGCACATGCTCTAATAAACGTCAGTTGAGCTTCGTCCATCGATCTGCTTTCCTATGATATACTCTCTCCGCATGTGCCAATGACTAGTTCTTGGTACGTCCCTGAATTCAGCCTCCGGCAAAATTCAAAGAACGGTAGGCCGGTTAAAATGATGGGGGCAAACTGTCGTTCTCCAACTACATCATTATCAAAACCTCGAGTTGCTTCATGATTCTCAGCCTTGAATTTCATTTGCCTCGTTGGTCACCGCTTCTTGACGTTGTGATCTGCCCCTGTTCTCGCCTGCCTTGACTTCCCACAAACATCTTGGATTGCACTTGCCGACCCCAAAAAGAGTCATGTCGTCAGAATCCAACTTCTCCTTCCTACCACAGGGAGCCATCATCCAAGAATTCAAAGTCGCTGGCCATAACATCGTCTTGGGCTATCCCCACCCAGAACCGTATGCGACATCGCCATTCTTTGGAGAAACGATTGGTCGGATTGCGAACCGTATTGGCAATTCTGAATTTGAGCTTAACGGCAAAACTTACAAGTTGCATGCCAATGAGGGCACATCTCATCTCCACGGCGGAAAGCAGGGCTGGGGTAAGAAGCATTTCGACGGCCCGAAACCCGTCAATCGACACGGCAAGGAGAGTGTGCTCTTCACCTATACATCACCCGATGGCGACGAAGGATACCCTGGTACCGTGGAACTGAAAGTCTGGTATACTGCTGGGACCGAATCAGAGGATGGTGTATCGAAAACTGTTCTCCAGACAGAGTATGAAGTAGAACTGGTTGGTTCGGAATGTGAAGAGACGATCGTCAATGTCACCAACCATGGGTAAGTGTGTGGTTTTGTGTAGTCCCAGAGGCGAAATGTTTACATTGCGGGCAGGTACTTCAACATCGGCGATGGCCCTACCATTGAAGGTACGGAAGTGACGCTACACACTTCGAAGTACTTGGTCGTGGATGATAAGAACATCCCCACTGGTAAAATTGAAGATTTTCCGGGTGTGCAGGCAGGGAAGATGTTTGTCCTTGGTCCTGTAGAGCCTGATATCGACCACTGCTTCGTGGTGGACACCGACACCAAGGATCTTCCCCTGGATACTCGGGAACGTCCATTGAAACCTCTGATCAGTGTTGCGCACCCCAACACCAACTTACATCTCGACATCCTCTCGACAGAGCCATCCTTTCAGTTCTACACCGGCAAACATATCAATACCACAGCCACTGCGGGCACACCTGCACGAGGATCGCGGGCGGGCTTCTGCTGTGAAGCCGCGCGATTCATTGGCGCTGTGAATGTGCCTGAGTGGAGGAATCAGGTCATACTGAAACGTGGTCAAGTTTGGGGCGCCAAAACCGTCCACAAGGCTTGGAAAGCATAGTCAGACGACGCAGCTGGATAGACGGAGACCATGTCGGCTCGGTACATGAGTGCTTCGCCCACCCTAGTGTTCTTGGTCTTCACTTCGTCGCGCGTCGGACCAAGGAAGGTTCCGGCTAGCGACCTCTTGGACTGGTCCTTCTAGAATCTGGCATGGCGAGCAATTGGATGGTTCGTCTGCGCGAAGCCTCATGCAGGGCGTCCATGGTCAGACACACAACGCTATCAGCCTTACCGATCCGCAGTCCCAGGGTTTATCGATAGAGACGAGGCATGCAAAAAGAGGAGAAATCGCGCATGCCGAATTCCCATCTCATATGACTCCTTTTTTCCTTTTCTCTGGTTCACATAAATGCCTCATATTGGGACTACAGGTGCAAGCGCACAATGTCCGTTTTATGGGGAGAAGGCGAAGCTTTGATATTATTCATCATAAGCCCATTTTTTCTATCATGGGTGTGGAATTTGAGATGGCATCTCGGCCGTATGATAAGTCCGAGTGCGGAAGAATATCCGAACACTGGATTTACTTTTGCACTTTCTGGTCGATCACTCTTTTTCAGGGACTGCCAGCATCCGAGTGTACGACGTGGGGTTTGTCTAGTCGAGCCCGGTCAGCCTCGTGATCATTTTTGAGCGGAATCTTCACCGTCGATAACCAGCGCTTGTACGGTGTTGAGTACGACTAAGTGAAAGAGATCGAAATCGACGTCACCAAGGAATGTGTATTAGACTCGGTCCTGAAACATCACCGTCCGGCCCGGTACAGGCACATCAGGATGAATATCCGCACAGACTGAAGAAATTCGGTTTCCGGAAACCTTTGATTGACAGATTTTTGTGTGACCCTTAACTCTAAGGTCGATCAAACAACATTAAAAAATCTCCACCAGGACGCTATGGGCATGCAACTAACGGCTTCAAGTAAGCCCCTTGATCGATCGGATATCGATGCCTCCGATGCCGAACACCAATTCGTTGTGAAGGTGTGGCTGGCAGATTCTTGGTTCGCAATCCCGTAAGGATGGCCTGAGGACTTATTGCTAGCTATCCAGCCAAACAACACTACAAATGTCATTGGACGGTAAAGAAAATCTGCTACAGACGCCTGAAACGATAAGAATCCAGGTACGTTATCAGATTTCAGGCCGACCATAGTTTAGACCGGGCAAGGTTGGACAAAAGTCACACCCGAAGAGGCACGAGATGCGATGGCGCAGCCTAGCTTACAAGGCGGTTCGTTGATGCTGACTTCTAGAACAACCTATTGTTCGTATTCGACGCGAGAAGCTCATCAATCAACCGTGGAGCGTAATCAAGGGGACAGGCTGGGCATTATCAGGCATCAGCAATATATCAAATCAAGGTCCTGCCGTGCACGACTTGCCAGGTGAGATTCCATTGGACAGCCACGAGGCACGCCTATGCTGCACCATTCTCAACATGAGAATAAGAGGAACCTCTTACTATTTTCAGGCCCAGACTCTGGGCACCTAGACGACGTACTCGGCAGCAAGTATCAGCCCAGTCAAAGTATTTGCTATCCAGGCGATGTACTCATGCTCAGCTTCGCTCCCGCAATGGTTCTTGAGGCGGCGGCAGTGCAGCATAAGTTACAGCCAAGAACTCTAAGAAAACGAGGGGTCAAGAGTACGCGCAAGACATCCTGGGCCTACGGTGGTGCTGGCTGGCTCAGGGCTATGCAACATGGGTAAGCTTGGTCGCTTTCGAAAGGAACAATGCCAATGCCACGAACGTGGAGGGCGATGCTCGCATATTTGCAAGAATTTTAGATGTTCTTGTTTCGGTCTTGGGGCCTCTTGTCCTTTGCCATGTTACCAAATTGAGGTGGAGACCGAGTGGAAACGAAATCATACGATTCTCAGGTCGCCGTCGGTCAAGAAGAAGCTAAGGTCAAACCCCGACCCGGGCGTGTCCACTTTGTACGAGCCTGGCAGGTTCAGGCGTGCTAACCTCGTACCCCCTCTCCAAGCACTCGGCGTGCCGGTTGTTGGATGACCCTCAGGTCATTATTATTAGTGCCACGTCCTGGAGTGCATATGCTCGCTGCATAACCCTCTTTTTCGGGCAAGTCTTGCGTGGCGTAAGCCGTGTTACGACGATACTCCCCGGTACAGATGAATGCTTCGAATGACTCCGTCTTTTGCGACCGGTATTGCCATTTCAATTTATGCGCACATGACCAGCAGCAACTCTCGAATCTTCACGTCTTACTCGGCTTTCCTTTATCTTATCGGCAATGTAATCAAACCTTTCTACTGTGGATTGGATCGTCAAGACGTCGAAAGATGGTCGCAGGAGATGTTATCGCGTCATCCTGTTGACTTCAACAACATGGCAAGCATCACAGAACTTCTCAACGAGTTCCCCCCAACCAGAAGGCGAGCAGAGATAGGCAACGTGCACGCATATCATGCACAATCAAGTGCTGCCACGAAGACGTGGTGTTTGGCTCCCAACAAACCCTCAACTCCTCACATTCGATACTCTTCCCCTTTCGAGCCTATCTGCGAACGTGGCTGATTGGTCTCGCACATGCTGAGTAAGAACTGCTCACCAAATCAAAGCTGGGCAATCGCTCGTTCTAGAGTTTCACATTCTGCCGTCTGATTGCTTTGTCAACACAAACACCTGTACACATTTTGCCCCCCGCCGGCGCATCGCCTTGGCCTGGCGCCAAACCTGACATGGTAGTATAGGTGCCGCAGTGTCCTAGGCATGGCCTCGGTGATCAAGGTAGCGAGAGTTTGGCAGCCCTGCTGAGAAGGCCAATGCTGGTTGACGAGTGCAGCATGCAAGCCAACCATTCAGGCCTCCTGTCTATGGAGCTCTACCGACTTACCGAGTACGGGCTTTTCCCGCTTAGGGAACAGTTCACCTTATGTAACTGGGTAGCCGGGCTTGCTGATCCAATCGCTCGATAACAACTACTAGTGTTCATGCCGTGCGTCGAGAAAGCTTGTTTCACTTGTTGCACGAGTAGATGCAGCTGCAAGTTCCTGAGTCATCAATCCTACCAAGTGCCCTGCCTTTCAGGGACCACTTGACCTACCACAGTACGAGGAACACTCAGCAATGCTAAGTTCAGGCCGGGAGCTCTAGCCTAGACCTTCTTGGCCTTTTAAATAGACCCGTGGATCTGGGTATGAAACTCTCCAGATTACTATGTAGGTCGCCGTGCATACCTACAGTAACTTAGTCCATGGGATCTTGATCACGGCATCAAGATAACGACACTACAGAGTATGTGAATCTCCCAAAAGGGTTGTGGCTTGGTTCCTCACCAACCCAAACCTGATCCAACACTGTCCTGTGCGGTGCAGGACCGTTGAACTTCGTGTTGCAGGATCGAAGAAAGCTTACAACCCACCACACCGAGAAGCAGCAGGTCTAGGCTAATGACTGGTCCACACGCCGTATGCTGTTTACTTCCCGCCAAAGCACGATGGCAGGCGCACGTTCTCAGCAATTGGCCTTCCCCATTATTTTTATATCAGGGTACTTTGTAGGAAAGTACAAGGTGTCACAAAGACTGAAAGCTGAAGCTGAAACTGAAACTGAAGACATGAACCGCTGATGTGCTGCTAAATGCACTGGCATCTATGTCACACCGGCATCACCTACTAGGTACCAACATTTGAGCAACGTCTGCGGGGAGGACAGAGCAAGGGCCATGGACTTTTCCTAATAGGCACATTGGAAGGGACAATAGACATGTGGAATGTACCATCCTGACAAAGCCCGAGTCTCGACCTCGACCTTGACGTCGGCGGTTGACCGACCCAAGCGAGACAAGCATCAGCGATCACTATTGTATCATTTCAACGACGTCCCAGGAACACTTCAAGGCCGGAGGATTGTGAGACTCAGATCGGACCGAGGAATTCGGGAGGTCGACCCGCAAATGTGAAAGAGCCTCAAGTATTCTGACGGTACTCTCGGGGGAGATGACGTTTCTTTGTGAAAGGAGCCTCAAAACTGCTTGAACGACGATGCGGCTGTCGCGAACTAAGCCTTCCAACTGTTATAGCCATGTTGACCCTAATGCATGCTCGCAATTTTCTACTTCACACAACGCACCGCACGTTGAATGCTGGCCGGGCTTCATGAACACACGCATGGCCACCACGCCTCCTGGGCCAAGCTGTTGCCCGCCATGCCATATTACTCGTACAGTATACCGAGATCAGTATGTATTCCCCAATGCGTAGGGCAAAGGGGTTAGAGCAAAGACCAGTACAGGTCAACCTGGCTGATCAGATCATTGATCGTCGTCACTGCCCTGAGTCGCAGTCGTAGTCATATTCCACACCCTCCACCTCAACCGCTCAATGACCTCCCTCCTCCACCACGTACCGCCCGAATTGCTGAACCACTTATTGTCAATCTCATCATCATTGCCGTCGCCAATCTGCTCATCGTCTGTTTCCCAGCGATCGAACCATGCGAACAACAACCTCAGCTGCCACAATTTGTCTTTCTCCATCAAATTCTGATCAGGTAGTAGAACGTCCTTTTCCAGCTCCAGCCGTGAGTCCACCACCGTGGTCTGTAACAATTCGTCGACGTTCCATTCGCCAACCGGTGTCGGACCAAGAACAAGCGCTCTTTCAGCGTGGTCGAAGTCTTTGAATGAATCCAGCTCGAATACCCAACCGAAGGGATTGCCCTGCTTGGGCGAGTGATGTGCAACCACACCTACACCGGCCAAACCACTGCCGCCGTGTACATGGCCTGCGACAGCATTGGGATCAACACTGGGAATTCCTTGTACCTCGCTCAAGGCCTGCAGCTCCGCGTTGAATAGGTCCCGAGACGGTCGATCATAAGCGGCGCGCCGTCGAAGGACAACATTGACGCCATTCTCGGCCTTGATCTTGTCCTGAAGTTGCTTGTCATTCAATTCAAGTACCGCGTCCCAGAATCCTTCGCCTTTGACCTGAACAGATTTTATGGTGTTGAACTCGGGTATCAGTCCAGGCAGGGGAATCGTCTTCGTCGTCCCGTCTTTGAGGTAAATCGTTCCACTAACACCACCAACGACTGAACCACCTGCATCCCCATCTCTGGGCACAAGACACCTGGCTTCGGTAGCTAGTACCCACAAGTGGCGGAGTGCTTGGAGGTGACCACTATTGTCGAGCACGTCGTTGGGAAAGAGGGGATAGAAGGCAATGCATAGACTTGCCACGGCGAGTTTGGACGTGCCGAACGTCTTTGTCCCACCAGCCAAGAACAGCGTACCCAACGCCATATGTGCTGCCAGGTGGCTGCCAAAGGGCGTATCTTTGTCCGTTCGCCCATGGAGGGCACGCAGACGCCGCACAACATGCAAGTCACCTGAGCCCGCCATGACGGATGCTGTCGCGAGGGCGAGAGTATCCAGACAATTTCGCACACTGTTCAACGTCACTCTGGCATCATAACTGTGAGCAGGCAAGCGACTAAGTCTGAGGAATTGATCCAGGTAGGAAATCAGGAGATCCCGTGCATCGATACATTGTGATCCTGCGAACCTCAAGGCTATGGCAAGGCATATTCCAGCAACGATATTCAAAAAAGGCATATCCTCTGTGCTGAGGTGTTTGCTGGATCGGAGGTCCGCACGCCCTCTGTAGGGTTTGGGAAGCGATGCCTTGACGAAATCGTGCGTTGGCACCATCGAATCCCACATGATGAGGTGTCGTGCAAGGGTCCGAAGAAGGAAGATATCTGGTCGAACATAATCAAACTGGTGCAGAGTGTCTGGGACGTCGACTTTGCTGGCTATGGCTTCATCATTTGTCTTGAGGAAAATGAACGCGATGGCCATGACAGCTCCAGCCGTGGCGCGGTCAAGAACATGAACCATATTCACATTCTTGGTTCCCACAGCTATTGAGAGCAGCCTCTCGACGACGTTCATATCATGGAGACCATGGAGACGTTTGCCCTGACCTAGATTGATGAGCCCTAAAGAGAATCCGGCGGCTAAGCGGTAGCCCTCATCACGAAGCACCGTATCGGAAGCCGCGCCTTCTTCGGGATCGTTGTTCTCAATCTCTGAGAGCATGACCTCGGACATTCGACGATGCTGAGAGCCGTAGTACAGCAGTCCGATGCCCATTATTCCAGTAGTTTGGGTGAGTGGTGACAGATTCAGTTCCGCGGCACCAGGAGGAAGTAAGCGCGTAACGTGGACTGACAAGAGACGAGTTACCAAGGTGTCCATGGTGCCGAGTGAAGACACAGAGAGTCCGAGAAGTAGACCAACAGATGTCATGGTATGCTTTGGTGTGAGATATTTGAAGGCCACCCACTTGGCCAACGTTTTCAAGTGGCCGTTGAGACCCAGAGCGAGCAGAAAGCCTGCATGTCGGTTCGTCAATTCAGGTGGCTTGTTGTACAATATCCAGGAGGTATCAATGCCTTGAGCGTCATTTGAGATCATCAAACCCATTGAGGCCCCATTGTGGAAGAAAGCCCAACACACCTTTTCTTCGGTAAATGTTGCTTTGTCGGCGCTGAATGTCATTGCTTGTGTACTCTCGGTGGCGTTCCTCGGTTTCATGATGCATTGCAGGCTGAAGGCTGGAATAGGCACTCTTTCCGTAAGAAGAGGAACTCGAGCGTTGAAATGCATCATGCCTCGTCCTGCTGCAACGGACAAAGTGCGACGAGTCACATGCTGGGCCAGCTCCTTTTGGGCTTCCAGGAGTTCAACCTCAGTCCACTCAGGTTCGGGCGTACATTCGACCACGGGAGGCCGTGTCTGGTTGACAAGCTTTGAGGCTTCTGGAAAACGGCGATCTTTACTGAAAATCAGGCGGGTGATTGCATGTCTGTCAGCTTCAGAAGACGCGTCCCAACGTTGGAGTGATTCTGCTTCGAGCGCGGAATTGCAGATGCTGTGATAATCCCGCAACGCATCATGATGCAGAGAAACATGCGGTCTGCTTGCATGACCACCAATTTCCGACTTGGGTGTCTCCCTGTCCTTTAGTAGAGAAAGAGCACGGTCGGGACCAAGATTTCCACTCGTTGCTCTCTTCTTGGAGGCAAGAGCCTGGCAGAAAGCCGCAGCCACTCCATCCGGCAGAGTTTTCATCTGGCATTCAGTCATTCCCGACTTAGACAATGTTTGGATAGTCCGCTCTGACCCAGCCTGATTGGTCGCTTCGTACAAAAAGGTCAGGAGTGCTAAGGTCCGTGGAGTCAACTCAGCCATGTACCACTGGCGTGCGGCCGAGCCTTTCATTTTTGCCTCTATGATGGTGTCCAGCGTCAGAAATTGTGGTGGAGGATTGCCACAGATACATTGTTCGATATACTCGTAAATTGAGGACGGTGGAAAAGGTTGACCCGGCATTGACAAACCATCAATAAGCGACTGATCATATAAACATTTGTTAGCCTCAGAAGATTCAAACTCGTAGTAAGTGCCAGACTCGGCCGTCCAGTCTCTCCATTGAAGCCAGTACCCAAGCTGGGCCATGACCGTTACCAAATTGCCCTGCGACTTTTGGTATTTGATATTGGAGGTGACGTTTAGTTTGCTCTCTTCGTACAAGACGTGAAGACCCAGCAGAATGCTTGGGACGGCGTTGCACCGCTGTTCTCGTTCCCGATTTATCGACGTGGGTAGATAGCCTTCCGGTCCAAGTGCACTTTCTCCAGCCGGAGACTGTGTATACTCTTTTGCTAGGACAACACATTTGGCCAGGAATGGGCTCTTCTTGTCGGTGACATTTTCGGCAGAAGAGGTTGTGTTCAACATCCTAGCCGACTTGGACTTGAACGTGGTAGGTGAATGGTTTGAATGCTTCCGCAGGAGCCAATTCCAGGCTGGCCCACGTATGCCGGCATACATGGTCATATCATGCTCTTCGTAATGCATAGCTTCGTAATTCGTAAGGTCAACGGCGCTCCCACTGCTCGACCGGAGAAGAGCCCCCTTCTTCCGTCGCTGACTTGGGGAAGGGTTTGGATTCTGGCTGTTGATAAAGGGTATAGCGAGCGAAAACAGAACGATTATCATCACGACCCATTCCGAGTTGGCTGATGGTTCCCTAACCTCCAACCATCGTGAGACTTCCCAGAATGCAATTAACAGACTTTCACGCTGATCTGTACCCAGCACTATGTCACACATCTTCAGGATGTCCAGCACCAAAGGATCGGCAGGCGCAAGCCGGAGTTGCAAGGCATGTCGACGTCGGTCTTGATCAACTGCATAGAAACGTCCCCGTGCAGCCGAACCATGTAGAGCTCGTATCTGCACTTCTGTTGCGGGAATGATCCTTCGGCTACCCGTGTCCTTGTCTTTTCGAGGACTGAAATACTGCGAGCCGGTGAACGGGTCATATATCGCAAATCTCGGCGGAAGCCCAATTCTAAAGGACGGAGACCACGGTGCTTCGAGCTGTAAGATGAAACCCTCGTTGCGGGATTCGGTCAGGATGATCATACGTTGAACATCCCCTTCTCCAACCTTGCAGATATCCTTGACCTTGGATATTCTGCGCACCAGTGTACATTTTAGCTCGACAGGTTCTTGCCTTGACGACGGTCTTTCGCTGTTGTTCTGAGCCTTTGTCCTCTGCCAGACTCGCACAATGCTGAGTTCCTGTAAGCTCTTGTCCAAGACACACAAGTAGAGCGAGGCCGGTTTAGGTTGTCCTCCTGATAAGGTCGTATAGGCTTTCAGCGTTACCACTTTAACATCAATAGGCACATCTATACCTTCATGTGTCTGCTGTCGTGGAAATTCGTTGACTCTGAAGAAGCCGATATCTCTGGGTAGGTCGCTGGCTGCATTGTCCAGTGTTTCCTCTTCGAGAAGAGTTGACTTTCGTAATGGGTCCATCTCGTCTAGAAGTCCCCGAGCGGAGATGTCTAGAAATGAAGTTGCACCGCTGAAGGCAGATGTGTTTGTGGGGAAGGAGCTTCTTCGTCGTAGCCCAAAGCTTTGCCGGTCATTGACACCTCCCAAGGACTCACCACGTCTAACTGCTCTGTTAAGACTATGCCGACCGCTGTGTCCCATAGCAATATCGTTGAAGGTGGTTCGGTCTGCTGCAGAACCAAGATCTGTTCGTGCCAGCATTGAACTGATTCTGCGTGCGGACCGGGTCTGAACTCCAACATCGCCGAATTCGGGACCGAGTTGTATTGCCAGATCGTCCACAGGCAACGAATCTTGTTCTTGCTTCACGGGAAATGGGCTGGCTTCTGGAAACTGCTGGCCCGGCGGCCCCAGGCCTTCTCTCAAATCCTTTGGTCGCCGCGACGGTTGAGGTGCATGCCCTCCATCTCGCTTGTGAATGTTTGAGCTTTTCCTGATACTGCTTCGTGACTTGGCCATCCGAGTGTCCCCGTCATGTTCTTCGGCTGCAACATGTGAACTTACACGCCATACTGTAAACATGAAAGTTTTCTCGTTCAGCGTCAAGGCCAGGCAGACAGGTGGCTGTCCCTCTTTTCCTTGAGCGTCGAATTCGGTAAAGCGAGAGACAAACAATATCCTCTCCGATTTGGGAAGGGCTTTGCATTGGTCCAAAGGCTCACCTTTACGAAGCGAACTGCAGACCACGAGGCCTAGTTCGGACATGACCTGGATGAATGAAAAGGTCCGCGGCATGCCACTGTTCTTCGCCGACTCAAGATTCGTGGTCCATGGCTGTCGTACTGGTAGAACCAGAGACGGTCTTGAGCTGTTTCCTCCAATGGTAGTAGTGGTCTCGTTGATGGTGCTGAGATCCTGATGCATAGGCGCAACTTGACCATGCAATTCATCCTCTGCCAATTTCCTCTGCAACATGAACCCTGAGGGAAATGGAAAGGCTGACTCAACCTCAAATGAGAGGGGGATAACGTATCCATCACCAGACAGCAGAAAGATATGAGCCTGAGTTTTGAGCACAACCACAAGACCGCGGTCCACGGCCTCGTCTTTCTTTGTCCGCTCCTCGGTGTGGCTGGGTACTCCGTCCTGGTCCTGTTTGGAAGAGAAACTCGTAATGAAGGCTTGTAGGATTTGCTCTCCCTCAACCGTCAAATTGAACACTCTTTTTATCATGCCATTCCTGGACCAGACGGCGCAATGCTTGGTAGTAAGAATCTCCTCTTCCACGAAATCCAATTCACGATCAGCCGAGCCATGGAAGATAGTCCAGCTGTATAAAGCTGGGGAGGGGTCTGGTGGTAGAATCGACTCGGCGATGAGGTATGGTAAAGCACTCGGTTCATGGAGGCCGAGCGACTGGATTGAACTCATGCTTGTGAGACTGCCGTAAAAGATCGATCGACATTAGGCGTGTCTCGTAGATTGAAGGCAGCGCAACCATATTCTCAACGTATGGCCCATGGCACGCTTTGTATCATGCCATGCTCAAAATGTTGCAGTATTTGTATCGTGGGAGGTGAATGTCGATGGCTGACGCGCTCCGACGCGAATTGGAGAAACAATTCTTTAAGGAACTCCGCAGAAGTTGGTGTCCTTGACTACCTCTCAGAGCAATTGAGATAGTATCACGTAACTCCTCATCACTCCTTCGAGGACACTGTGAGAGGATGGATCGGACAGTGCTTCGACAGAAAGAGCGCTTCCAGCTCAGGTACTACGATGTCTATCCTTTGCGGCCCCATTGACTGACTGTCACAGCTACGAACTCCCTCACGAAGCCTACTTTTCTCACGTCTACCCCCGCCAGTCGTCGAATGGTTCAACGGTGATCATCTATGGCCATGAAGAAGGTCTGCGCCTTGCCTGGTACGCTGGAAAGCCGTTCAAACCAACCAAGAAGGATGCTGCACCACCCAAGGTCAACGGGACTGCGAGGAAGGATGCTATGGTGATTGATCTCGACGACGATGACGATGAGCCGGGGCCAAAAGAAGCACCAACAGCACCTGCAGAGTTCGAGGAAGAGGACGAGGAGATTGAACCAACCGCGCCATACCGAGACATTCTTCGATATGTTGACATACCCCTAGGCACAGCAGCTATGCGCATTGCAGTACCTCACATCCCAAAAGACCCTACACAGATTTCGTCTGAATCATGGCCTGCAATTTACAAAGAGCGCATTCTAGTAGCTGTTGCCTGCTCAGATGCCAGCATTCGCGTCATATCAGCTCCTCTTGATCCTCCAGCTATAGGGGTGGAGGATGTCTCGAAGATGGACGTGCAGGTGCTAAAGATATTCGGACCGACTTCACATCAAGAATTCATTTCAGATATAGCTGTCACACATACAACGGGCATCTCGCACGACCAAGATGACGTCGAGAGACAACCACGAAATACAACTCAAGATGGTACACAACCCAAATCGACGTCTTCCTCTGAGACACCACAATGGTCCCTTTTGATAGCAACGGTATCCTGCTCGGGAGGAGGGCTCCTGTTAGTCCATCAGGTGCCGATCCAGAGCAGCAAAATGCTTTCAACCGCTCCCGAGCATTTCTTGCCGATCAGAAGACACCATTTACGTGCATCGACCATGAGTGCGAAACTTGCTTTCAATCCATCCCCATATCCTGCCGAGCGACACTCCAGCTTGCTGATCACATTGCCTGCCGCTTCATGCATCAAGCTATTTCAGGTATTTCCCACATCTCCAAGAGAGCGCAGAGGGTCCACAGCAACTACCGACTCCGCGTCTACCATGCGATCAGTACGGACAGCTGGCGGATCACGAGGAAAATTTCTCATGACCTTCCTGCCGACTTTCACCCAAGAAGCCGACGCTGCCGGCCCGAGAAGGAAAAGTGTTCTTGACGCACAATGGGTTGCTGGTGGTCGAGCCGTCATTGCACTCCTCGAGGATGGTGAATGGGGAATTTATGATCTCGAAGCAGTTGGACCTATGTCTTCAAATACAGGAGGCAACCTTATTCGCGGACAAGGAAACATTTCTGGTATCCATGGCGGATCTCTGACCAAATTTGCAATTCGATCTACCATTTCGCCAGCCGAGGAAACCAAACAAAAGACATCAAACGCTGAGTCTCAGCCGGCAACAGGTACGTTGGCACCAATGACGCCGTCAACACGTAAAGCACGCTCCGAAGGATTATTCCACGGATCCAAGCGGAACAAGAGCACATCGGAATCTCAGAGTCGACGAGGAAGCATCTATGTTGATGGAAACCACTCAAATCGAACTCACGATGAGTCCGCGGTCATCAGCTACGCGGGCCAAGACATTTACATTTCCTCCATCTCCTCGTTTTGGAAATCAGAGCTCAAACCCACCCGACTCCCAACAATGAAGACGGGCGGTCAGCAAACCCGATCTTTGAGCCTGCTGCCCCGATCCAGCGGCAATGGCGGTGGCTCCGCAGGCCTTTTCGGTCTCGCAACATCCACCCCTGACTTTCTCATTCAAACTGATCACCGCCTCATCTTTTCCGTCAATCCACTCAGTGAAACCACAAGCACCTCAACTCAGACAGCACTATCCCTCGCCCCAGAAGCCTTCGACCAAGCCCTCCTGGCGAGTGGAGAATTAGACGTCGACGGCATGGACCGGGTATTGGAGCAGATGGGCGGCAGCGGCGGCCTGGCTGCGTCGGTATCAAAACCGATGAACATCTTCACCAAAAGCGTTGGATTTCAGATCGACGACGACGAAGACGAGGACGTCGAGATGGCGTCCCCCACACCTGCCAAATTCTCCTCGTTCAAGCCCAGAAATTGGTCCAGACCGTCGACTGGAGCTCCAAAAACGCAGCGGAGGATCTTTACCTAGAGAAAGCGGGCCACAGTCTAAACCATACTCATACTTTCCCCAAGGTCTGCCACAGACTGACGTCCTCTTGAAAGCATATCCTGACATTTGAGGAAAACACGTGGCTTGTCCTCTTTATGTACGATACCCCGGACAACCTGCTTGCTGAAAATCATTTTTCTACAATCACTCACCATTATCGGTCCTGATCTCGATCCTTCTCCCTATACTCCAATCCATGTCCAACCGTGTCTCTATATCGCCCGAGATTTTTTGACCCCAGTATGCTGTCTCTTCTCGTTTTCCTTCCTCTTCCAAACCCCCCTGTCCATACCCCCTTTGAACACAAAAACCAATCGCGACGCAAGGTGGAGCCCAAGGCGAGATCAATACCTTGGTTTGTACTACAAAGCTCAGTATTCTTCGCGAAAGATCAGAAAATGAATGCACCATCCATCAATGTCCTTCGGGACTCCTTCTTGAACTTCAAGAGGGGAAGGATAGACCATTCCAAGCCGAGACACGTTTTTGAGACCCTACTCCTTTAGCTGTATACGCTTAGTATACGGCACCGGGATCTGACTACGGTTTCTTGACGAGTGAAAAAGTTCCCAGCTTACATACTCTGTTTCCGTACTGTGGTACGTGATCATGGAAACGATGACAAATTTTACATTTCATCTTGTCCTTCAATGTTTCTTTACCACCTGCAGATCCTTTCATTTGATTACTGAGTGGGTATCTATCATTTTCACCCCTCAAGTCTCGACTTTCCTACAATCCATTGGAGTAGCCAGCAAGTCCTCCAACGTATGACTAGCCCCCCCTGGATACCTAATGCCGTTTCTCCCAATGCTATGCAAGAATCCGTGTTGACAACAGCCTATCCAGTCAGCTATACAGCTCATTGTGAAACCCACAAATACCCCGACGCAATGCATTGGCCATCAAGACACTGCACTCCTTGCCGTTATGGCGTACGAGTACTTGCCAATCTCAAAGGCCGACATGTAGCAAGAAGCCCCCTTGCCGATGGTTGAACATTTTTCGAAGCGATCAGATGGAGAGCGGCACTTGCTCAATCATCCGGTATATCCCAGACCAGCCAATTCCTTTCGAACTGAATCCTCGCTCGAAATTTTCCGGACCTGCGTGTCCTCCAACTTCTCACCTCCAGCATGTCGCATCTTCAGATCGTCAATTGCTCGGATCTTCTTCAACAGACCTCGAATCTTCTTCTCTTTTGGATCTCCACCCGGAGTCAAGGGGCTGGTAACCTCCAACTCCGGCGGAGTTTGATCTTGCGGGACTGGAGGAGGCGCCGGTAGCGTGGTGCTGATATTGGCCGGTGTATTGACGTGACGAGGTTTCTGATTCGGTGTGGCAGGTAGGTGGCTGGGGCCCCTCGGATGACCATTGGCGTGACCGTGCGACGAGCTCGAGGTGTCCCCACGTTGGCGCCGGCTATTGCTTCGACTGCGTTCCTTTCTAGGTCCAGAAGGCGGCTCCAGACCAGGAGCAGGCGCAGGAACGTAGTTTCTGCTTCGACTGCGTTGATGGCCGCGACCCTGGGGACTTCGACTCGGACTCTTGCCCCTGTCAGCACCATGTTCGGGAGCAAGATTAGGGGGTCCCTCTTCACGTGCTGCTGCAGCTGCAGCCTTCTTCGCCTCCCGCTTTTTCGCATTCTTCTTCGCTGCCTTTGACAGAGGCTCCCCGTCCGCGCCTTCTCCAGTGCCAGTCAAGCTGACGCCGCCACCAGGAGCTGCACCGGGTGGAAGTGGAGCCTTGTCCTCGGCAGGTTCGGCACCAGGCACGACCCGAGAACGAGCTTTGCCGAAGCCATTAATGTTGCTCGCGAACGATGAGATACCATCACGAACGTATGCAGCGCCACCCTCATCTTCACGCTTGAAAGCTAATGGTGTCACCTGGCCTCGTGCACCCGGTGGACGGTACGCACCAGCTGGTTTGCTGGGTGTTTTCCGAGCCGCCATGTACAGCGTAGCACTACTATGCTGCGCAGGGACAGGCGAAAGCGGATCCGCATTCAGTGGATGTGCTGAGGCTGATTGCGGACGCCAGCAGACGTGATACAGCTCGTTCATGTCCTCGTTGTACATCAAAGTGCCGCCAGCATGCCAGATCCGAATGCCGTTGTCGACTCTTAGACGAGGCGAGGTTGTTGCTGTCAGGATGTGAACGCCATCTGGTGACCATTCACAGACGCTCGCGTTGCTCGCCTCAATCGTGCAGACCTTGGAGACGTCCTTCTCGAGATCATAAATGTCCATTTGCCCAGCCAGGTTTCCAAAGCCGGCCACAAGAACAAAACGACCATGAGGCGAGAACAGTACGGTATTGCGCGGTGCGAGAGCAAACGTATGGACCGGCTGAGCCTTGACGTTGAAAATGACTGTCTTCGCTGGCATGTACCCGTAGACCACGGCGAAGCTGTTGGACTTGGGTGACCACGAGACATCGTGAATGGGGCCTTCCTTATCTGGAAAAGGTCAGCTCGTCGAAAGCGGCAGCGGCTCTACGTTAAACATACCCAGGTCTATTCTCGAGTCGAAGCCACCATTGGCGCTGAGTAGGTACAGCGTAGTCTCGCCGTAATAGCTCTTGCCAGTCTTATCCACCTCTGTTTGTGCCAGCACAATCAGAGAGCTACCGTTCTCATTCCACTTCAGTTGCACTTTGTCGCCCTTGAAGAAGTTCTTTTGTGACGCTGGAGTGGTGAACTCTGGCACATTGTAGACTCGAACGGCGGCTGGTTGTCCCTGACCCAAGTATTAGTAGTCGGCAAGAGGATAAAAGTTATGTGGCCTACCTTTCTTTCAGGCACAAACACCGCGATGGTATGGCTCTTTCCAGGAGAAACCGCAAAGTCCGCCACGCCTTCGACCCGAATCTTGTTCCAGACAGTCTTCAAGTCATGACTTTCGTAAATCTGGACTTCATTCGTGACCACTCTTGCGCAGAATGTTTCGTCGTGGGTGTACTGCAGATTCCATCCAGTCTGAGATTTCTGCACAAATCCAGAAAGTGGCTCTTTCTCGACATCTTCGGCCAGAGCCTTTTCGTCGATGACCAACCACACCTTGAGGTTCTTGACAGCGTCGCCGTTTTCGTCCTTGGCAGATCGTTGCCAGGTAATGATGTAGGTACCCAAGGGTGAAAAACCTAGCTCGAACACATTCTCGGCGGGAAGCGTGGAGACAATTGCACCGGTGTCTGCGCTGATGATGTTCACCCTGATATGAATTAGCCAGTGTCCTTCGAACGAGTGCCTTGTGTGTTCCTACTTCTCAGGTGACGCCCAAGCGAAGTATCGGCCGCAAGGTGAGTAGGAGTAGCATCGGAGGTTGCCTTCGGGTCTAAACAGCTGATGTTAGCAATTTAACTCGACAAGAACCGAGAGAGCATACCGTTCGAGTCCCGGGAGCGGCTCGTAGGCTGGTGCACCATTGACCACACCAATACCCTTGAGAGTTCGGACTATTGACACGAGTGAGCACACGACTTTGTCACCCTGCCGATGAGACTTACAGGCAAACTGAGTAGTAAGAGCCATTTCGCGCTATTGGTCACAGACGACGCTTTTGCAGCACTCGAATCGTAATTGGAACAGATGTTTCGTCGGCGGAGCAATTGTCAAGGAGTTTTCGGTCAGGTACACAACAAAGGCGGTAGACGGCACCGTTGAGTATTGTCACAATTCGGGTCTCTCCGTACTTGACAAGTCAATGCCAGCGATTGCGGTAGACGTGCAAATTGCTTTGGAGTGACGAGAGGGTGAAGAGATAGAGGTAGAGAGGAAGAGTGAGAGGGAAAGAAAGTAGTGATGTAGCGAAGCCCGAGCGCAGTTTTGGGTCAAAAAAAGTGTCAATTCAGGTCAATAATGGTCGGTGTTTCGGCCAGGTCCAGTTTAGCCTGGCAATTGCGGTCACTGGTTTCTGAGGGCCTAAGCAACCGCCGGGGAGCCACCAAAGAAACTGCCCAGCAGCCCAAGGAGCCTCACTAACCCTGGCTGACGCGTGTCTCACGTGGCTGTACATGCAAGGCGCAATCCTCAGCCTTGCCATTCACCAAATCTTGAACGAATGTGCTCCGAACTCCTCCTTACGCTCAAAGGACTGAATACCATTTGCAATGACCATTGTCTGGCGTTGAAATAGAAACTCCTGTGAGCGCGCTTCAGACGCTTCAGCAGCCAGTAACCATAAGGTGTGGCCCGGAATCATTTCAGCATCCGTCATCCTCGCCGTGCCTATTCACGCCCTATCGTACAATTCATTCCCACATGACCATCATCCTTCGAGCTCACACATGTAACCGGAACACCATAAGCAGATCAAGCGGGTCTCTTCGACACGGATCGGAAAACACACGCTACTCTCTCTCGAATGGAAAGCTGCCCAACCTAGACCCGTCTGTCATTCCCACCGGCTGATGGGAATGTTCAGAATCTCTTAGTTTGTTCCGCATGATATGCTCTGCCACCTCAGCACCCATTCCGGAATAGCCACCTTCCTGCGTAGGCTCTTCGACGGGTGGCGTTTGCATTGTTGTATCGACAATATCATGGTCGTAGCTCATTCCATCCATAAACTTCGGATCCATGCCGCCGGCGCCAGCACTGGGTGTGACACCGCTCATGGGTGTGCTCTGTCCTGATCCAGCAGCAGGCATCGTGCGTGGAGTTGAAGGCGCATTAACATTCGTGCTTTGCCGAGAAATAGTTCCGCGGATGTTGTAAGGGGTTGATACTGGGCCACTAACAGTACTGCCCGCACCTTCACCAAAGCCGACCAGACTGGCCTTGTCTTCGTCACTGAAGCCGCCTGTGCTGGAGACACCATCTTCCTGGTCTTCGCTCATCTTATCCGCATCGTAGTCAATACTTCCACTGGCCCAGGTAGTCCTGCCGCCAACACTACCCGTTGCGCTTGCGCTACCGACTGTACTTCGCTCCTTGAACTGCGGGACATTGTCGAATCCTTGGCTGTATGCAGTGGTCGATCCTGGCGCCAGATGACCAAGGTGAGATGGTCGCGAGGTGGCGACTCTTTCCAGACCAGCCAGGCGCGAGATGCGGTCAGCTCGCTCTGCTTCGAGAGTGTTGGCGGAGGCTGTTGCACCCCTGCCACCATGACCCATTGCCCCATCTTTGATCGCAACAACAGAAAGAGTGGAGAAAGAAGTTGTGGTCGAATTGGGCGTGCCAGGACCCATCTCACTCGGAGTAGCAGGGTCGGAGGGAGGAGGAGGCACTATGAAATCGACATGGTCAGCATCTGCGCATCTCATTGCTGCGGCATCTGCCCATACAATTGATCAACGTGGGTCCCCTGTTAGGCATGTTGACGTTGTGAGCGACTGTGTGACCGGAAGAGAAAAGTGTGGTACGGTCGCTGCTGATGAAGGTGAAAAGATTATATCTGATTCCGTGTCTCACTGCAAGCCAATTGTGTTCGAGTGCTCCGATATGAAATGAGATGCGTTCGCTCCGTTCTGATGTATATGTAGGACCTCCAACCTGGTTAATGTGGCGTATAGGCAGATGGGATCGGGCGATTTCTGATTCAGCAGAATCGCCAATTCGAGCAAGCACGGAGGACAGGCGATATGAGTATATGATGAACGCGTTCAGGACAGAGAGAGTACGAGTCAATGAAAGTGAAAGGGAACCGTGGGCTGCGCGTTCGATCGAACCCCAGATTATTTTGGGCAGGGGTGTCCCATCGGAGCAGGAAAGCGCTACGTCACCGGCTACTAGCGCAATCGTCTCTAAACGACGGCCCAAGTGCACGTGATATAGGAAGACGAAGCACAATCGGTAGTGTCAAAAGGTAGACTGCATACGTAGGTATCATGGTCATGCAGTTATTCGTAAACGTGAAGAATGCTCAAAAGCATTATAGTCAACCCGCGCTTGCCCTCGCAGCGTCGACTTCCCTTTGTAGTGCCGCAATTTCCGCTAGAATGTCCCGTGCCTCCGAGCTGTCTCGCCTGGTGATGGGCTCACCAGCTCCAAGATCTGCAACACCCAGTGCTCCTAAGGACGGTCTCTGCGTTTCCGTAGAGCTTCTGCTCGAGCCTGCGCGTCCTCTGCGAGGGGGCGGTGGTGGAGGAGGCGGCAGTTGACTCGTCCTTTTCAGATAGAATGGTGTCTGTACTGTTCCAGGCCGAGACTCGGCACTTGAAAGTTGTGGGAAAGCTTGTGTCTCGACGTTGTTGTCTTCTTCCAAGTCATGAATCACGTCAAGTGACGGCCGGCGCTCAGAGGCCGTAGTCATCCGGCGGGCAGGCGGTGGAGGAGGTGCCCTGGATACAGCACTCATGGCCGTGGGGCTGGGCAATGGGTCATCACTCAGCACAGAGATTTGGGAGGAGCTGTTGCGCGCCAGGGCAGGTTTGCCTGGTTGACGTTCACTCTTTCGACGTGCCAAAGGAAGTGTTGGTGGTGTCCGCTTTTGTGATTCGAGCGAGGGTGGTATCGTAAAGCGATCACTTATTGCGCTTTGGTCGATCGACGATGGCTTCAGGCTGTCTTTGTCGAACGAGGCATTCTGGCCCACCGGTACTGAGAGAGTGTTGATGAAACTATCAAACTTGGTCACAGACGCTGCGTCCCCCGTCTCGTGAACAGACTTTCCACGTCGACTCTTTGGCGGCGCTGGAGGCTTCCTACCTGCCGAAGCAGACCCAAGACTCGCCCTCTCCTTTTCCGCTTCTTTGCTATCGAGCTCCTCTGATGTCCGCGGGCTCTCCTCAAGCATTGGTGGAGCAGTCTCGAATATTGAGCGCTGCGAGATCGAAGCCGTATCAGCGGTGGAGCTATTGTCACTTACAGGTTGCACCGAGACTGCGTGTGTGTTTTGTGATGTCCCATCCCCCAGACGAGCACTTTGTCTTTCCCCAGTGAGGAGCATCCTCTTGAAGGCATCGACGTCCATCGTCAGCTTGGCAGATCCACTCTGCTCGTTCGTCCCGGTCGTGGTCTGCTGATAAGCAGCTGAGGCTCGAGGGCCGCTGGCGAACCGTGCTAAGGTATCCCTGACATCGCTCCCCTTCAACGTTGTTTCACTGGTCGGAACTCCAACCACAACGGCATTGTTATAGTTTGTGTTTCTCAACGCTTGCTCGATTGCCTTATCATCATCGCCATCAGATGTCTCGGCAGCAAACGGATCGCTCGAGAGTGCCTGACTGTAGGTCGTAGCCAATGATAGCGGCGCACTCGGGCTACGAAAGAAGGAGGGGTATTCTTGTCGGGCAGATTCTGGTGATTCTGGATATGATACGGGAGAAATGAGGGCCGCAGGAGGAGATGCAAAGTTCACATGCTTGGTGGTTGTCACTGTATTCCGCACGCCAACGTCAGCCGATTTCACACTTTGCAGGCAGAGCGGCACAGGATACTGACCTTTGGTATTGACCGACAACGGACTCGTGCCACGATGCTCTGCTATTGAAGTCGTGGAACTGTTATCGGGAGGCCCTGTCTTCAACGAACTATTACGGCGGAAGGGATTTGTATTTGTGGACATCTGGTCCCAAGAGCCATGTATGAAGCATGCGTCCTTCTGCAAAATTGCAAGAGACCTTGATAGCGAAAAGGATCATGGAACGGTTGTGCCAGGGTTTGTTCGCAAGCACGAGTCCCGTAAGCAGCAGCGACACTGTACAGCGCGATGGTCGGCCTCGGATGCTTTGCAATGCCGGGTTATATCAACGAATGAACGATGACGATTCGCTCGTTTGTCAGGCTGCCTCTTTTGATACTCAATCCGAACCTCACATTTTCAGTGACCTACCAAAATATATTGCAAGATATCAACAACGACTGAAATGCAATAGATATCTAGTAGTCTGTAACATTTATGTATTATCATTATTCACAGCCACGTATTGGCCGATCTGATGTTTCTGTCTATGAGCATTTCACATGCGAGCTTACCTCATGCTTTCTGTAGCAAATAGCTCGTATCCAGCTGTGCTCTCCCCAGTCGTGTATGTATGTTGCCTCTTCTGTGCAAGGAGGACCTCAACCAGTCATGCATATAAGCAGTCATGCAATGTGTACAATGTTCCATTCCCAAAACCCAGTGACTCCGCGTCTATGAGCGCCGATACCTTGATGAAACCAGCCATCAACTGCAGGTCGAGGCAGCAGTGCCAGACTGTTGACAAGGACTCCTCGAAAACTCCAAACTCCATTGCTGTGCAGATAGGACTTGGAGAAATGCCATCCAGTCGTGATTATGTAGAAGTCGTTGATAAAGATCATTTTCCATTCTTCGTTTCAAGCCAGCCGTCTTCGGTCCATTGCCATGATTTGGCACCTTTGACCGGATGAAGCAACATGGGACGAACGACTGTTCGACCATACACATCCTCCCATTCCTGGCCCCCACTCTCGAGAGCGGTCACACCCAGGAATCGTTGGAAGACGGGCATGGCTTGTGCCGAGCTGTAGTACCATGTCATGTTGGTCCAGGCGTATTCGTTCCATTTGCTGAACGAGCTGTTCCAATAACCACCGGATTGTCCGAAGGGTCCGCCATTGAAGGTTTCCTGTAGAGCCTCAGCCGGCCAGTGGCGATCGGCAAAGATTGGATGAGGGAATGTCGTAGACTTGAGACCGTGATGGAGACACATCGTCTGGGGAAACATCTCCGCATCAACGTGGTGCATGTTTTCGGCGTTTTCATAGTTCATGATGTCCAGTGCACGCCGGCTGACTCTGCCTTCAGCAATCAACGTGGCTCTTCGCGGCGTTGATTGACCTTGAGCATAACCCCACAGATAGTTTCGGAACCACCAATTGGTATTCGTTACATTAAAACTGGGTAGGAATCCAATCCAGTCAGCATCTTCTCCTACTCCCCATTCGTAGTTGTCTTCGGCTTCTTTAGTAGGTGGTCTTGGTCCTCGGGGTCGGACACCTTCGACAGAAACAGGACCCCAGATATGATGAGGATCCTCGTTTCGGGTAGATTCTCGGAAATTGGTATTGAAGTCACCGTGAACAGCAGGTATGTAGAGTCTTCCTGAACGTTCCCAGATACCCTTCCGTGGTTGATCTCGTCCAAATCTCTCGATCGACTCGAAGAGATCCAGGTAATGTCCGGTATAGCGTACGTCAAACTCGTGCTGATAAAAGAAGTCGAACTCGGGATGATTGCGAGCAAACCATTGGATAATCATCCATGGACTTCGGCCAACAAAAGCATGTTCGGCCATATTCGAGTACAGACCGCGAATTTGAGCGTGATTCCAGACCTCTGTCAAGGACCGGAACTCTGGGGGAATGTGTTTCGCAATGGTGGCTTCTGGCTCGTCTTCACCGACGAAAATGGGGACGCCCTCGTCTTTGACGTGAAGCAGGATGAATACCTGGTACTTGCCTCCGCTTGCTAGTGAGGCCTCGGCAATCATTGCTCGAATGTTCATGACAACATCGGCGGTCCATTTCGCACCAGTCCAGACACGAATCAGGATGGCAGTACGCTTGGCCTTGTTGACCATTCCAGGTTCCAAGGTTGCGGAAAGGGGTTTGGCCTTCGCTTGATCATGCTTGTGTTTGATGTTGGAGTACTGGATGGAGTTCTGTGGGCGCTCCTTGAGAGGCTTGAATCGTTGTTTGTTAGCAGCAACGCATTTCTCTTGCAGCTCTCCCCAATCGACCTTGTCCCAGTCCAAATTGGTGGTTTTTTCCTTCTGCATGTCCTCTAGATCCATAGCGTCGAATTGGTCTAGTCCGTAGGCCGAGAAGCGGCCAATACGGTCAAAGGACACTTCCCCATCCAAGCCCGAGGCTTTGTAAGAGCCAAGGACAGGGTCCACGGCGCCTTGAGGTTTATTAGTCGACTAGTCAATCACACGTACAAGGACAGGTTTCATACCGTTTGCTTTTCCAGGGTATGCCCAGACTGCATCGTCTTCGCTTTCGTTGATGGGCAGGCCTCGTGGACCAACGCAATGAACAATGTTCGAAACAGGCTCGATGAAATTCTTGTAGCCGTCATAACGAATGAAGTGTGGTGACTTGTTTTTACAGTCGAGCTCGCCAGTCTCGCAGGAGCGGAGGTGTGAGGTGCCGCGCGTCAATCCAGCGTGCCTGTGCTACAATGTCAGTTCATTGAGATAAATGCGCAATGCTGGGTCTGGACGCACGTGGGAAAGTCTTTCCATAACCAGTCTTCTTTCTTGGATTGCTCCATCAATTTGTCCATCATCTCCATGTCACTGAGTTGCCTCGGAGGCTCCGGGGGCGGAGAAGGTGGAGGTGGTGGTGGCGGAGGTTGGCTCATCACTTTGATGAGCAAGGCAAAGCCAAGAATACTCGCAAGTACTTTGACAATGAGACGCAGACGCGGCATGCATATCTGCCATTTTGAAGGTTTCTTCCAAAATTCGGGTTTGGCCGGTGTCCAACTTGGACTCCAGCTCGGAGGGGGAGTTTCTGGTTCAGGAGGATCTTGAAGCAAGCCCATTTCGGAGCGACTGCCGCTGATGGTAAGTCGGCGTGTCATGGAGTGCTTGTCGAGAAGAGGCTGCGGTGGTTGTGTATGTCTCGATGGTGTGATTGGAACGAGTGACTTGAGGTGGGAAGGGGAGCGGTTGACGTGGCTTCCCAGAGGTGTGTGTGTGTGTGTGTTAGTTGTTTGCCCGTCGTCGTTGTATTAGGGTTTATGGTAGTAGGTCGGCGCAAAAGAAGACGGGGAAGCGAGCAAACAATTAGACGGCTTCATGCAACTTCAAATTGCGAATTTCGGGGCAGGGGGGTAGCGACTGGCGTGGTTGTAGACAGATTGGCGAGTGCTGTTGTTGTAGTTGCAGGCGCAGCCAGCCGACAAAGCGAATGATTGTCGGGGAGCGAAGGGCAGGAGCGAGAGGCGGAGAGGGAGTCGAGGAGAGGAGGAGAGGAGGTGGGTTTGATATGAAGATGCGACAGATGAAGACGCCGGCGAAAGAAGTTGACGACGAAGATCATATCATGATTATCCGCACTACTGTAGCATTGGCTAGTAGCCTCAAAGGCCTGTACTCGTAAAGGCAATACCTTATCCACTAGTGGGCGGACGGCGGCAAAAAAGCCTTTTGGAAAAACCAGGATTGTCTGTTAGGCATGCCCGCATTGGCTGTTGGTCCGGCGGCGTGGCCAGCTCTCTCTGCCCCCAAGGGGCCCAACGTGCGGGCACCACCTAAACTATAATGAGGGCATCTACAAGTCTATTGAATCATGAAGTGCGTCCAATCGCACTGAATGGTGTATGTCGCCATATCTATTGCCCGCTTGTCTCATAACACACATCATCGGCGCACCACTCACACAGCATGCTTCGCTTCCCCAGCCTCGGAGTTTTTCCTTCGTTTCCCATGAGGGCCTTCACACAAGATTGCTGCGCCCATACCAAGTGGGATTAACTTCGCGCCGCTGCGTTATTTATATTCATCATGACCGCGAACTGTCACTCCAACCTGGCAGGACTGGCAGCGCAAACTCTCATCCGGACAATTAAACTTGGCGAGAAAAGAAGTGCCGTACATAGTGAGTTGAAAAGCTTCATTAGCTTAACCTGAAACCGGGCTGGTGGTGGAGCACTTGGAGCTGCATTATGCATGAGAGAAACTAAATTCTCCTCCAAGGGTCGCCGGTCTGCTCGATGCATTGAATACAAGGATATCGTTCGACGGCTGCACGATAGACTGGCGATTAGACTGTGAGGCAGGTAGGATTTCGTCCAACCGAGGGGAAGGTTGACGGTTGTTTCTATCCGAGTCAATGGCGGGAAAATACCACACATGGGCAGATAAGAGTGGAGAGCCTTCACAATGCCATCACAACTTCACAAGCCCATCAACAGCCATCACAACATCACAACATGCCAGATAAAAGAAGCTTTCAAGCCTTAAGATAGGAGCCGCGTAATCGCTTTTGTTGAGAATGACGTATCGATGCCGGTATCTTTCTCCACCTACACCAATGCCAATACACGGCTTCCTTGCCGGCGTAAACACCACGATCTCCCTTCATGACACCTATAGGTCACACCAACCTCACTTGATCAATCCTATCGCTCCAAACTCGTATCTACTCGTACAACCATGTACAACCCATACACACTTTAGATCTGCACTATCTACAGGCATGTGGATAGTTTGATAGTTCCACAGACTGTTTGATCTACCATCCCCTTCTCTCTTTCACCATTCATATTCCGCTCCAACCAGCTTGCACAAGGTATCCGCTTCCACCGCCTCGGCCTGTCCTCGTGGGATGGCAAAGTCGATGTTTCTACCTTCCGCTTTCTCTCGTTCTGCATGTCGGATTAGCAACTCCCGCACTTTATCAAGATACCATTTGACCGCATGTTCTATTTACACCCCGGAATTGTCAGTTTTACCGGCGATTTTATCCGTCCAAGGCGAGTGGGTAGAGATAGGACTTGGTGAACTTACCTTCAACGGAGTGCAGCTTCCCTACGCCCAGAACCCCGCTTTTGAATCCCTTTTGCGCGTTGACCGCCAGCTCGACGTCCTCGGTCTCGACAAATCGCCAATAAGCAATGTCGTGATTCATCCAATGGTCATACTCGGCACTAGGCTTCTGCATACTCGACCTCCGATAGGTCTCGCTGTCGTAGGACGTCTCTAATGCACCAGTGGCGTTGAACCTTCCTATAAACAGCAGGTTGTCACTGAATGTCACAACCCCGACCGGATATAACCAGGTGATCTTTTATTACATCTGTCAGTCTCTCAAACGGTATATGAAGCCCAACGGAGACTTACGTATGCTTCGGACAACCCTTCTCTCTTGGGCGGCAAAAAATGTCGAGATGCTCCGATACCTTGCCGCAGATAATACTGATCGAGGGCAAAGTCTTTAGGCAAAGTCGTCGGGTGGCCGGTCTGGCAATGGTAGCACTCTTGGAATCCGTCGGCAAAAGTCTTCCAGTTGAATTCAGTCCCAGCAACCGAGCTGTTCCAGGTGTGATCATACTCCCAGCCATCATTGGGAAACAAGGCAAATTCATTCCCAATCTCCTTCCCGGTCTGTGATTGTGGGAGAGGCTCAAAGTCATCGCCAAACTGCTCCTCAAAGCTCACCGCAGGAGTATCTCTCGAGTCGAAATTGACAAAGATAAATCCTTGCGGCGTGACGTGAGTGTGAATTTTGAAAAGCGAATGAGCCTTCGGGTCAAAGTCTGGCAAGTTGGTATATTCCCTTGCTTTATGCAGTTCGCCAGTCGGCAAATACGACCTGGAAAGATTAGCATGAATGAACTTACCCCCATGTGTATCGGGTGATGCTCACCAGCCATGAAAGCGGCATGCCAAAATGGTACTCGATCCGCTGGTCTTCTGCGTGACGGGATGGCCTCGGTGCCGACAGATATTGTGGAAAGCATTGATGTTCCCATCCTTATCCTTTATCAAGAAGAAATTCCAGCCGAACATCTGTTCGGTGTCAGCTATACAGGACAACATCAGTGAGAGCAAGACACACCTCCATGGTCAAGTAATCCCCAGGTTTCTGGAACCGGGCTGTAAAGCTCGCAACATGCCACAACTATAAGACGAACTCGTCAGTCTCTCTGGACGATTGCAGCGGCTCAGGTTTGTTCCCGGCCATTTTGCAACAACAATACCTACCGTCGAGAACAAGGCTCTCTTCTCAAGTTGAAAGATCTTCTCGTCGCGATAGTACCGTGAAGGCACGAGATCATGCGTCTTCCGGCCCAAATCAGTTGCCGTCAGGTTCTTCTCCCTGCCCTTCTGCAAATACCCGCCATTGGCGAGGAAGTGGGTGCTATCAACCGTCGTCATGCTGCCGGTAAGCGAATCGACCTGTAACCAGCACTTGAAACCGAAAATGAGACAAGGGATTGCCCTTCTATGAATATAACTGATCAGGTTGAGAACAAGATCGTACTTGATGATGCCCCCGTCGTGATAGGAATGTCTTCCCAGACAACGGAGAAGGCCGTCCGGGGGTATATTTACTGCATTCGGGTTCGCCTCGTTCCAAGCTCTAGCCGTCGGCACCAACGACGAATGATTGTCTGTGACCTATTGCAAGTTATGCCTAAGACTCGAACGTGTCTGATAGGAGATGACCTCTACAAGAAAATCTGGAAGTTGTGAGAGAAGATGTCATTAATGTGGTCACGACCTAAGCCTTGCCTGTTCTTGACTTTCTATAAACAATCAATATCCTCGGCCTTTATCTTGACTTTAGTAGAACGCATCACCAACATTTCGCCTCATCCGCTGCTTCACTTCCTCATCGGTCAAGGGTGTCTTGCTTCTCCCGCCAAAGAACCGCTTTACGCGACTCTGATGGTGCGACAGCACCTGCTGTATCTCCTCGGGCTTCACCTCTGGCAACAACTCTGGAGGCGACCGTGAGTGACCAGTCGTCTCGACACTGGTTCGCGGCGTAGAGAACTCTGTAGGAGGCGAGATCGGAGAGATCGTCGTTGGCGAACTCGAGTTCCAACTGGCCATGGACGAATGACTGTATGGTCGTGCTCGACGCGAAGGAACTCGTGTAATTTCTCGATCAAGCGGTGACCTAGGCTTTGGTGGCGAGACCGGAAACGCACCTGGGGTTCGCGGGAGGGCGTCACGGTCCTCGAAGTATATCGCCGGCACCCTAGACACGCGAGGTATGTTCGGAGGTTCCGCGACTTGCAGGCCTTCCATGCTTGGTGCGCGTCGTGGTCGACGAATCTGTAGACTCCCTGGGACCGGTACAGGCTTTCGTTGAGGTAAGTGTACGGAAGTGAGAGGCACTGGGACTGCGCGGCGACTTACAGGCCGTCTCGTTTGTGGATTATTGAGATAAAGTTGCTGGCTGTCTGCCGTCGGTGAGCATGTTTCGGGGTTTTGATGAGGCCCAGAAATACCCGAAAGACCAGCCTGAGCCTCATTCGTTCCTGTCATCCACGTCCACGCACTGTTGGCTCGAAGTGGATCTGACCATGCAGCCTGTTCGTCAACGTTGAAGGACGGCGACGTAGGAGTTTGTGGTGTCAAGCCGGAGACCAGACTTCCAGACGTCTCTGCTAGCTCTACAAGCGATGGAGCAGAAGAATCCGGAGTCAGGGGTGTTCGTGACGACACCAATGGTTCTTGTTTCATAGTCGCACCATCATTTTGCGAGTCTGACAATGGCATCCTCTCCGGAAGAGTGGGACCGATGGCTGCAGCACCATTCTCGATAAGTCCAATAGGGTCCTCGCCAACATCGACAGCTTCGGTCATCAGGCGATTGTTTGCGGAAAGCATGTTCTGGCGCCTTTCAGTGATGAGTTTGAACCAGGCACGCTCTGCAGCTACCACCGACACTTGAGCTTCCAGCTCACAGAGGTATGTGTGCCTAACCTTGGCCATCTTCTCGTCGTTCATCCGGATCAGCACACTCAACTCCATGGAGGCATTGGCTTTCAGCGCATCCGACTCAGACTTATGCTTGCTGATGAGCTCTTGGTACTTTTCGTCACGTTGCTTTTTGAATTTCTCTTGCAACCGTCGTTCTCTTGCTTCTTTGTCGTTCTTCCCATGAAGGTGCATCTGAATCTCAAGGAAGAGATCGTCCTCGAGCTCGTCTTGCTCGGCGGTAAAGACACCTATGTCGGATTTGTGCTTACGTTCGATAAGGGAGGTTCTCTTGTTGATGTTGGACTCCATCGTGCTTTGAAGCTCTTGATTTTGCTTTTGCTGCACTGTGATCTGCTCATCCCGCTGTTGTGAGAAGCGTCGTTCTCCTCGCACGTGTCGATTGTCCAGCATTTGTTTTTGTGCATCGACGAGCTTGTCTAACGTGCTTTGTAGGTCGGCGCAAGCCTCAGCAACGGAAATTCGTCGCATTTCTTCATATTCGCGCTCCAACCGCTCTGCCTCCTCTCTTCTCGCTGCTTCCTCTAATAAACGCTCTTGTTCCAGTTGTGCCAGTTGAGCATCAAGCTCTTCTTGCTCCTGTCGGTGTCGATGACGTTCTTCTGCTTCCTGTCTTTCGACAGCTTCGACATCAGCAATTGCTTGAGCGATCTCTGCAGCCTCATCGTCAAGAGCGCTCTGTCTATCTCTTCTCCGACGGGCGAGATCTGCTTGCCTGTTGGCTTCGTCGACTTCGGTGCAGTGACAAGTACGCCATTTCACGCCACAAACGTAGCAGAATTGAGCACCACATTTACAGGTCATATGTCGGCAGCCTGTGGAGCGCTGATGGTGGTCAGTACTGTCTCCCAAATATAGGTTGCAAACTCACCTCAACCAATGTTCGGCATTTGTAACAGCGGCGCCAACCTTCTGAGTCAGCAAGAGACATCGTTGCTTCCAAGCCATAATCTTGAGGGCAGTCAGACGTCCTGTCGTGGGCTTGGCCCCGACAGATGCTGCATAAGGCACATGCACAATGCGGACATTTCTGGTTAGTGTTGCGATGCCGGTGTAGCTTCGCAGGCGGGATCCATTTCAGACACTTTGCATTCGGACAGTACCAGCGCTCTTGCGGAGGGATAGAGTACTCTGCAGCCTTCTCTTTATATGTCTCCCTTTGTTTGCTGTCCAGTGGAAGTAGGGCGGTCTTTAGAGGAATTTCCGTAAGACAACATTTTGGGGGGAAACTCGATTCGTTCTGGAGGGCTGTTGTGATCAATGTTGTCAAGCACGGCTTGCAGTAAGAGTGCGTGCATGGCAGCCTCGCAGTATCTGGTTTCCCAAATTCGTCAAAACAGCTGGTACATTCCACCAGGGGCACCTTCAGGATCTTTGGGACGGCCGCAGGCGATCGGTCCTTTTCCGCTTTCTGTTTGAGGGCTGCTATGAGGTCAAGAGTGGATCCGACGATGCCAGTCATGGGAAGGCGTGGTCTGGAGGAGGTTTTGTGTCCGCTGGATGATGTTGAAGGTGCATGTGCGGAATATACGCTGCGGGTTTCTGAATCTACTTCGCCCCCGGTTGACTTTGATGTGTCGGGCGATAGCAGTGAAGTTGTAATTGTCTGTGGTCGGCATGTTTCATTTCTTGCAACTTGTCCAGAAGAATCTGACAGAGATCTCGGCTCAGTGGCAACTGGTGGCTTGGTCGCAACGGGACGGCCAGTGAGTGTTAGCGACCATACGAGAATCTGCTTGAGCTTTTCGGGCAAAGCATCGTATTCCTCGAACGTTTGCAGTTCTGCTGGTATGGGATAGCGTGACCAGTCATCGTCAGGCTCTAGGTCTGGCCTCGATATCTTGAAGGCTTCCCAACTTCCGCTGGCCGCAAGTTGCTTCTTGACAGGAGTTTCGTTGTTGTTAGCTGACATTGACGTGCGAGAAAAGAACCACATGTAGGGGACAGTTCGATGGTGGTGACACAAAGCTGGACGTCTTCAGGTATTCAAGTCTGCAGAATATACTCGGGGTCTGCCCACAATATGAGAAGCGGGATTAGCAAACAGCAGGCCGAGGCAGTGTCTGTTCAACGAGTTGAAAGGGCCATGTTCTCTTGGCCATGGGACAAACCACTTAGTACAACCTTCAATCAGATTTCGGTAAAATCATGGCACAGCAACACCTAGAGTCACGAGGCATATTGGAGAGGAGCATGGGAATATGGCGTCAGAAAGAGTATCAAAGATCGCCTGATTCTGCGGGACATTGGAACCATTGCCTGGTTCGTGGAGCTTGCTGGCGTGATAAGAAGTAGCGAAAGGCAGCGGAACAGACGAGGTGTCTTATCAGGCGTTGGGTGTGCGATCGGTTTGGACTGCTCGTTCCTACCGATGAGTGCGCCTTGCCTAGCTTGTTAGTTTTTTGACGCCTTGTCGCGGCTGTGCAGGGATGTGCCTTGACATATACACTTTCCAGAGCCGCAGCCAAGGCTGTATCCTTTGGAAAACCGACATTGCAACGAAACGAAGCCAGTGACGCCATGCAGCGAAGACGATGTCAATGAACATGTGGTGTTGAAAGATCTTCGCGACAGGATTTATCGTGATGGAGGAGGTAGAGCAAGGTACGAGGTAGATTTGGGCAGTCTCTGACCGGAGAAAGCATTCTCCTGTTCCGTGGACCCCACGTATTGCAGCACTTTGATATTTGAAGTGGTACGCAGCCAAAGTTATTCGAGAGCATCCAACATGCTTGCTCAAAATGCGGAATGGGTAACAGGCCCATGGCCACCTCAAAAAATAGATCAAGAGCATCGTTTCTTTTACGCAGTGTTAGACGCGATCATGGCAGGAGAGCAAACGCAAAACAAAGTGCAGATCCTGATCAAACTTGAAAAAGTTGCATTGAGTCTTCGCTGCCAGTATCATGCAATAGAACTCGTCTCGACATGCTGCATCTGCAAGCAGACAGCCAGACTGCTCACCCTCCTGTGGATAGTTCGTGGCGTAGCTTGGCTTTCTCAGCCGCCAGCACATTTCCCATCCCAATGGACAGAGGTTGGCAAGAGAATCCTTTTAATGCTCCCCGATTGACGCCGATCTTTTTGCGACTAAATTTACTCGTCATCCTCCTCCTCGCCCTCGATGGCAGTCTGGGCAATTCGGTCCAAATCTCGCATGCCGGATTGAGTGATTCTTCGGCCTCCCTTTCCGGTACCCTCCTCATCTTCATCAGCCTTCTCAAGGATTCCAAGCTTCTCGAGGGATTGCATGACTTTTCGGTCGACAGAACCGGACGCATCAACATGATGGGAAGGTCTTGATCCTCGGTTCTTTGTGCTACCGTGGACTTTTCGGAGACGGCCTACACCGACGGACTTTCGGAGGTAGACATGTCGGGCGACAGCAGCGGCTCGGACGTAGAACCAGTCGGCGGATTGAGGAGGGAGTTCGTTGGAGTGTGAGGTCTTGACGGTATCAACCCAACCTATCATGAATGCAATGTCAGTCCTAAATCTCCCTGTGGTTCTCACTTCCTGTGCGCACGACTTTGATCTCGAGGAAACGGCATGTTCTCGCTCCACCGATCGTGTCGGCAGCGAAGTGTGATCTGGCGGTTGAGGATTGGTCTAACCTGGTATTTGGAGCTTTCCCTGTCTCTTCAAGAAGTCTGCGTATGCGGTGATGAATTTCTGGGCCTAAATATCCATCCTCGTCAGCGTACATTCTTCTCTACGATGCGAGATATCCTCCATGTTGGCTATCCCAAACACCTCCTCTTCAAACAGTCCATTCATGGTGTCTTTCGCAGGTTGAACTTGGGTGCACTCACATCGACATCGCGAACGGTAACACCACCCATGATTGCGGTTGTTGGAGACAGGGTCTCTGCAATCAGATTTGTGGTCTAGGTAGAGAGGAGTCGTTGAGCTTGAGGAGCAGTGTTGTCTGTTGCGATCGGTCAGGTCAAAGTCGACCCATCGTCAAATTCTCGTTGTGCTCAATGCCAAGAATGATGGGTCTTGGCATCGAATTTACCGTCGTTTAGCCGAGCAGTACTGAAAAGACTCCATGCGAAGCGAGGCCGGACTTCCCACTTCCTCACTCAGAATTACCACTGACTTATCATTGATGAACACATAATAGATGCATTCCACCAAGGCAACGGTGAGAGAACGTCACGCGGGACCATTGGCAGTGCGACTAAGAGGAGAGATTTTATCATTACAACAGTGCGGAGATTCTTTGCTTCATGTCATCCCCTTCACTGCACTTTTCGCATCAGTTGCAAATGCGAGGAATAATGCAGTGCCCGGGAAGTTCGAGGCACAGCACTACAGATTCATTGCGCGCATCGCACAGCCGATAGCACCAACATGCAAAGTGGCTCGTCTGAAGAAAATGTTAGTCGCGACACCAAACCACGACCACCGCCACTTACAGGATATTCAGCATCGACCACCAACGCATAAGTTCCGGGGTAGCATAACTCTCGACACTGTCCTTCTTGGCATCGACTTTGGCATCAGCATGTTCTCCTTGATCTGCTGCGTGTGCACGTCTGTGCAGCTCATCGTTCGTTCGCTTCATGACTCCAAAGGTGAAGGGAACAATGGCAACGGACAGGGCCGCAGCAGTGTAGAGCAGCCTCCTTTGGACGCTGGCAGCGTAAACCAACGTCCTAGCCGTGTAAATGTAACACCCAGAAGCAAGCATGGCCGCAACTGGGCCTCCCTTGCTACCGAGGCTATACATCGCGGCCCATTGTTGCGCGAGATGCGAAGGCTTGCTGGCTGGCTTTTTCGAATGAGTGGATGTTGGCGACTCTTCGTTGGCAGCATTTGCAGGAGGAGGCAACGGTGATGATCGCGAGGGTAGCAACAGCACAGGCACAGTGATGTATGTGATGGCCAAATTAGCCCCAACGAATATTGCGGAGAATCCTATACCAAGCGTCCCTGCCAGAGGCCCGGGAGAGATCCCGAATTGCGACGCCATCTGTATCTTCTTTGGAGTCTTGATGGTCTCCCTTAACAGAATGAAGAACGGTGAGGATTAATTGCGAGCTTGAAAATCTTCAAGCGTGACTATCATTCCGACAGCTTGACATTGAGAGGTACGGAACGCGACGGGAGTAAGGCCAGGTCGACTGCATTTCGTGGCAGTAGTACCCCATCGTACAGCTCGGGTTACACGTGACCCTGAGAACTGCTCTCAGAAGTACTGGCAAGCAGAGGCACCAGTCACCGGAATGAAAGGGCGAGATAACGTTGTACCAGGACAGAACTGACTCCATCTCAAAGCCGTATCACGGTTGGTAGCGGTCCAATGCAGGACTGCTCACCAAGGCTGAAGGTTTCGCATGGCAGCAAGATTGAAGTTTGAGTGTTTTGAAACCCCAAATTTAGTAAGTCGCGCAAGTTTTGGATAAAGTCCCGACCGTGTTTGTGGTGTGTGGTACCAAAAGGACGGGTACAACTTTGAAGTCGTGGGCGATTTGGTCCTCTTGGAAAGCGTCCAAACCTCGCAGGGCTAACCTTCTACGCTCTGGTTTCGTGATGCGGCATCCTAGACAGCCCATGACTGCCCCGAGCGCTGCTCCGGTATTCCACTATTCGGAAGCCACCCGATCGTACTGCGCTGGAATTGGTCGGTTCCGGGCTTGTGGTGCTCGAGCAATGCACCATGTTCGGCAGGTATAGTGAACCTATGCTCGCTTAGCTGTGGAATTGGCCTGATATGCTTGAAACCTGGACCCCAAATACGAGGTACCACGATGGACGAGATGGACGATAGGAATATATTATTTGACCTCCTGCCGACAGCCAGGCCTCACTCCCTCATCAGACAATTCAGTCCACACGGCAGCCCTTGCATCCAATATCAAGTCTTAAACCTATCCCCAACGCAGACAACCACACCTAGCTACCTACCTACCTTCTCACAATGCTCGCAATACAGATCCTCGGAATCATTGAGCTTGTCTTCTTCTTTCCAGCTCTCCTTGCAGCAACACTCGTTGTCTACAAACATGGCGCCGGAAAGCAACTGGGCTGGCGATTCCTGGCCATGATCTGCTTGTTCCGTGTGATCGGAGGCATCTGCGCCATCATCTGGGCGCATACATCCTCGAGCGGCGCACTGATCGCTTACGAGGTCAATGACAGCTTCGGGCTGTCTGCCATCATCTATACTGCCCTTGGTCTTCTCCACCGGGTTGAAGATGGAATGGGAGGCCGTGGCTTGCCTTTCACAGTCTTCCGAGTACTGGCAATGCCAGGTCTGGCGGGTTTGATCCTCAGTGTCGTCGGCGCCACCAACGTTATTGGCAACTCCTCCGACTCCTCCAGTTTTTCCTCAGGCATGGCTGAGCTCAAGGCTGCTGTCATCCTCTTCTTGACTGTCTATGTGGCCGACATCTGCATCACAGCCTATGCTTTCTTCAACATCACCCACGTCCAGGATGGCGAACACAGACTGATCTATGCAGTAACAGTGACCTTGCCGTTCATGGCGGTGCGCATGATCTATTCTCTGCTGTGCGTCTTCCTCAATGAGCACAACATCTTCAGCACCTGGAGTACCAGTGCCTTGCCGATCTTGGTTCACGGAATGATGGGTGTCATGATGGAGGCAATCATTGTGGTCATCTTCACCGTTGCTGGGTTTATGACAGCCTCGATCTCGAGAGTCTCAGGATCAGCACGACCGACCACGGATGGCCAATTGAAGGGAAAGGTGGCACCACCTGTGTATGACCTTGGTACTCGAAACGTTTGAGCTGAAAACAATGACACCTTTGAAAAGACAGTGCGGAGTTGTGTCATACGGATCGCAGAGAGATATGGTGCTCAACATGGTCCACCTCAAAGCAGACGCGGTTGCTGAAATATTCGTGAATATTGTTGGTTTATGAATTCGTATAGATCCCCGGTGGTCGTTTTGGTACATCGAAAACGCTGATACATTAGTCTTGAGGTTCAAATATAGCTGTCTTCAGCATAACTTGAAGCTTTGTTTCGTCAATATGACCTTGTGATACCTCTCCATCTTACCGTGGGCTGAGGACAATGTCTGGCCAATGTACCGAAGGCCATGACCTAAATGACACACAGGAGCTCACAGACTTCTCGAGTGATTTCGACAGTACACATACTGGTGAAGAAAAACTGGTGAGAGCATCTGGGATGAGAAGAATGAAGGCACCTCTAAAGATTCGCCTGGTCAAAGCGAAGCCTTGTGTGGATCGTAGGTGATTGGTCCAGACGTCAGAAAGCAACACCCGCAGTTTGATGGCCAAAACCCTCCACATATTAAGGACAACTTGTCTGTTTATCACAGGAGCATCTGCCACAGTGGTCGTCGCTCAACAGCTTCCGCAGTGCCAATCACTCCCGACTGGAGGCTGTCAGCATCATTATGGACGTTGTTTCCCACGCAGTCCACAGAAAATAGCCTCGCACACAAATCCCAGAATATCCTTCCTACTCCGCACCGCTCTTCTTACACGATCATACCGCGGGATCTCTTCTCTCGATCGACGCGTCCACATCACTTCAACGGAGACCGCTGTGAAACAGACAATCGCCCAGCATGTCGCAGTATCCGCCTCAGCCAGGTGCGCCTGGACAGGATGGGTATGGTCAGCAGTCACCCATGGACGCACCCTACGAGAACTATGAAACCAATGCACCACCTGGAGTCCCTCCTGGTCCTCCTCAAGGACCAGCTCACGGAGGCAGAAAAAAGCGTGCATATGCTGGACAAGCGTACGAATTCGGGGCTGGTGCCAATGCAGCTCTTGGAGGTCAGCAACAAGCCGGTGGTGCTCCTGAGGCTGGTGGTGCATATCCTGGCTATTCTACACAGCAAGATGCAGCCGGCTACCCACAAGGTGGTTACCAGCAAAACCCTGTTGCAGCACAACAGAGCGCCACGCCAATGTATCCAGGCCAGGAACCTGCCGGATATCAGCCTCCAGCCCCTGGGTATCCTGCACCAGGTGTTGCCGGCGTGACGCAACAGTTCAATCAGATGGATATGTCTCAGAAACACCCAGTGGCCGCAGCGCCCCAGCAACAGCAGCAGCGTGCTCCGGTGTTGAATCAGTTGTATCCCACGGACCTCTCTAATCAACCTTTCAATGTTGCGGAGCTCGACTACCCGCCTCCACCAGCAATTCTCCCTGCAAACGTAAGTCAAGTCGAGTGAACTGAATCTCAGACAACATCTAATGAAGGACACAGACAAGCGTGACTCCGTCACCATTTGCCAATTGCCCCCCGAAGTACGTCCGATCGACTCTGAACGCGATCCCGACGACGCATTCTCTCCTCAAAAAGTCAAAGCTACCGTTCGCCCTTGTCATCCAGCCATATACCTCATTGCATGATGTGGAAGACCCTGTGCCAGTTGTACCTGATCAGGTCATCTCGCGTTGCAGAAGGTGTCGGTCATATATCAACCCATTTGTCACATTTTTGGATCACGGCCATCGATGGAGGTGTAACATGTGCAACCTGACGAATGATGTTCCGCAAGCATTTGACTGGGATGCAGCTTCTCAGAAAAGCCTTGATAGGTGGCAGAGACCGGACTTGAATCATGCCGTGGTCGAGTTTATTGCTCCTCAGGAATATATGGTTCGACCTCCACAGCCGTTGGTGTACCTTTTCTTGTTGGACGTGAGTTACGCGGCAGTCACCAGTGGGCTCCTGGCTACAACGGCAAGGTGTCTTCGAGAAAGCTTGGATCGGATCCCGAATGCAGACCGACGTACCAGACTTGGCTTTATAGCTGTGGACTCGAGCCTACATTTCTTCAATATTCCTCGAGACGGTACTGACAATGCCCAGACAAGTATGCTTGTTGTGAGCGATCTGGAGGAAGCGTTCTTACCTACGCCTGCCGATTTGCTCGTTACCATGTCCGAGTGCCGTGAGAATATCGAGACCTTTCTGGATAAGCTACAAGAAATGTTTCAAAACACTCAAAATGGGGCTTCCGCAATGGGTTCTGCTCTCCGAGCAGGTCACAAGCTCATCGGACCCGTTGGTGGCAAAATGACTGTCGTGACAGCCTCTCTTCCCAACATCGGACACGGTAAACTGGAGATGCGCGAAGACAAAAAGTTGTTGGGCACCTCAAAGGAAAGCAGCCTACTACAAACGAGCAACGGCTTTTACAAAAGCTTTGCGGTAGAGTGCTCGAAGCAACAGATCTCTGTGGATATGTTCTTGTTTTCATCTCAGTATCAAGATGTGGCGTCTCTCAGCAACCTCCCTAGATACACTGGCGGGCAAACATACTTCTATCCTGGTTGGAATGCTGCACGGGAAGATGATGCAATGAAGTTCGCCAAAGAGTTCTCCGACTATCTGTCTGCCGAAATCGGCCTCGAGGCTGTTTTGCGTGTCAGAGCAACAACTGGATTGAGAATGAGCACATTCTACGGCAACTTCTTCAACCGCAGCTCCGATCTGTGCGCCTTCCCAGCGTTCCCACGAGACCAAAGCTATGTGGTCGAAGTGGCAATCGACGAAACAATCACCAAGCCAGTCGTGTGCATGCAAACTGCAGTGTTGCATACAACGTGCAATGGCGAACGACGGATCAGAGTCATGACTTTGGCGTTGCCAACTACGCAGGCACTGTCAGATGTCTACGCATCGGCAGATCAGCAGGCCATTACAACCTACTTCAGCCACAAAGCCGTTGAACGTGTTCTCAGTGGTGGCCTCGATAGTGCCCGTGATATGATTCAGAGTAAATTGGTCGAACTGCTTACCACTTACAAGAAAGAACTTGCTGGTGGCAGTATGGGTGGAGGTGGATTACAATTCCCTGCCAATCTTCGAGGACTGCCTGTTCTCTTCTTGGCCTTGACGAAGAACTTGGGTCTGAGGCGCTCTTCGCAAATTCCCAGTGATATGAGATCCGCCGCTCTATGCCTACTCTCGACCTTACCTCTGCCACTGTTGATTCAGTACATCTATCCCAAGATGTACTCGCTGCATGACATGCCGGACGACGCTGGGATTGTGGACGACAAGACCGGCGAAATCATTCTACCACCTCCAATCAATTTGTCATCCGAGCGAGTCGTGCCCTACGGACTTTACCTCATCGATGACGGTCAGACACAATTCCTCTGGGTCGGACGAGACGCGGTACCACAGCTGGTTATGGATGTCTTTGGCATGCCCGATAAAAGCCAGCTAAAGGTTGGCAAACAACGATTGCCAGAGTTGGACAACGACTTCAGCGAACGGATCAGAGCGGTGATCTCGAAGAGCCGCGATCACAAGGCGAAGGGCGCCGGAAGTATTGTAGTACCTCATCTCTACGTGGTGAAGGAGGATGGCGAACCAGGATTGAGGCTCTGGGCACAGACGATGCTCGTGGAAGACCGGGCGGATCAAGGTGTTAGTCTTCAGCAGTGGATGGGAACCTTGCGCGAGAAGGTACAGTGATGATCACTGAACGCGTGTATATCGAGGGATCTGTGTTGCTAACAATCCTGGCAGGTCATGCAATAGGTTTGACGAGCGCTAGAAGAATTCATAGATCGAAAATCCAGAAACGAACAGCCTCCTAAGCGTGACCCATCCTCGGCTTCCTTTCCGCGAATGCTCTGTGTGCCTGTCATTGTTTGACCCATTTCGAGGTCCATGCTGCAGCAATCCAAGCAAGGTTTCCTTATGAAACACTGATCTGACTTTGGCAGGGCGGCAACTAGCTGTCAGAGATTGACGGCCCCAGTAGAAGCTAGAGGTGATTGTGGTAAAGCGTGGCCCGTGAAGCGGACGGTTCCTTGTGTTAGCGCGACCAATGTGGGCGGCTATTCATCCAGACGTCCTCCAATTCGTGCCGCAGGTGTGAAATACGACTTGATCCTGATGTGAATCGAGGTCACACACCTTTGCCCTTGCCCTTTTGGAGTGCTTCTTGACCAGTGTGTGTGGTGTGAACTCGAGGACGACGCTCACTCCTGCATAGATAGCTCACCGTTGCTTTATCTCACCCTTTTGTCGATCCAGCATTGCTTCTTCCATATCCTATTTCCCCATCTGCAACCTGCTCCGCAGCCTACGTCCATCTACCCCACCCCCTTAGACCAGATCAGCTACTCTCCTACCTCCTTGGCTATCAGAAGGACAGAACTCGCAGGCGAGAAAAGGGTGTTTTGAGACAAGTAAGTTGAGCCGACCCATCACTGCGCAGACAACAAAGAATGTGGAATTTCTCCGGAGGAACCTGTTCAATGCTGATTCTCAAACATAGCACCGGGACCACTTCTTCGTCTTGACTCGAGTGTACACACCAGTCTTAAGATTCCCTGTTCCTGATCTTAGTCGAGCTCGAGTCTTCCTACTTCGTAATCCTCAATCCACAGTCTGTCGACCGGTCGCAGACGTTCAAGCGCGCAAGCGGAGCGGACTTGAACAAAGGGTGAGGCACAAAGCAAGGCCTAGATCGACTGCGGATCTCTTCTAGACCACGATCCTCTTCACACCTGCGACGATCATCTACTTTACAACTCGAGATAATCTCGCCTCCCGTCTACGATTGCGAATCAAGTCAACTTAGATACACCCTGAGACTTGGCCAGGGAAGAGGATCACATTGAACCTCCTCGAACCTTCGCGGTTCATCTTCAGGTCAAGAAGCAGGATATAACCGGCTTTAGAGCAAGATGGGACAACCCCAGCAACAAGCCGCACCAACTGGAGGTTCCAGGAAGATATCGTTCAATGTGTCCGACCAGTACGATATTCAAGATGTCATCGGCGAAGGAGCTTATGGCGTTGTCTGGTAATAAGGCTCAACGGAGTACATGCATAGTGGCTAATCTCGATCCTAGTTCTGCCCTCCACAAGCCCTCTGGCCAGAAAGTTGCCATTAAGAAGATCACACCGTTCGACCACTCCATGTTTTGCTTGCGTACGTTACGAGAAATGAAATTGCTACGATACTTCAATCATGAGAACATCATCTCCATTCTTGATATCCAAAAGCCACGAAATTACGAATCTTTCTCAGAAGTGTATCTCATTCAGGTCGGTGCACACGACAACCACATTAGTGGGTTAAGCTAATAACTGGGCAGGAATTGATGGAAACGGACATGCATCGTGTGATTAGGACACAAGATCTCTCTGACGACCACTGTCAGTACTTCATCTATCAGACCCTACGCGCCCTCAAAGCGATGCATTCTGCAAATGTTCTGCATCGGGATCTAAAACCTTCGAACCTTCTACTCAACGCCAATTGCGATCTGAAAGTCTGCGACTTCGGTCTGGCTCGATCTGCAGCCTCGACCGACGACAACTCCGGCTTCATGACTGAATATGTCGCGACAAGATGGTATCGTGCTCCGGAAATCATGCTCACGTTCAAAGAGTACACCAAAGCGATTGACGTGTGGAGTGTTGGATGCATTCTCGCAGAGATGTTGAGTGGGAAGCCTTTATTTCCAGGCAAAGATTGTGAGTGATTATGTCACCGGAGATATGTGGCAGAGCTGACTTGACGCAGACCACCATCAACTCACCTTGATCTTGGACGTTCTCGGAACTCCGACTATGGAGGATTACTACGGGATCAAGTCAAGACGTGCGCGCGAGTACATCCGATCCCTGCCTTTCAAGAAGAAGATCCCACTCAAGGCACTCTTCCCCAAGACATCAGATCTCGCCCTGGATTTGCTGGAGAAACTGCTCGCTTTCAACCCGGTGAAGCGCATCACCGTCGAAGAGGCCCTGAAGCACCCGTATCTCGAGCCCTATCACGACCCAGATGACGAACCCACAGCTGACCCGATCCCGGAAGAATTCTTCGACTTTGATCGCAACAAGGACCAGTTGAGCAAGGAAGAACTGAAAGCGCTGATTTGGAACGAGATCATGCGATGATCATTGAGCTCCGCGTTATGCGTGTATTGGGTCAAGCCTGAGAACAATGGGGCATAGATGAGTTGGACGCGATATGACTGCGAAAGCAATATCACGGCAAATTGTTGTCTTGTCTTTTTGATATCAAACGAGTCCTGGATCCTTTCATGTGACATGCATGGCCGTGCGGGCTGATTTGCGCGAAGCGAATGCGGGAATGTAGTCTTTTACAAGCGCAGCCAAGTTATGTGTTGGAGTTGCTCAAAGTGAAACGAACTATCATAGAATATCGCGGAATGAAAATGTCCCCAAAAATGATTCAGCATTGCATTACGCCTGTCTTCGTTCAAGATACCCATCGACGTCCGAAGTTTCGTAACTGCCGCTGTGCACGGTAACCGACACATGGCCCAACGGCATAGCAGTATATTGGAGATAGGTCGCCCGCCCTGTATTCAAGTGTTGATCCTGGAATGAATTTGTCGTGGTCGTTCCAGCGGGACGCTGGAGGGGACCTTTATTCTCCTCCATGATCCCGTGTATGGAGAATTCAACGGTGTTCTTACGTTTCTCGAAGCATGCATGGGCACGTCTACGCAAGACAGCTCGAGTGACTGGTCGATCAAGCGTGAATACTAGGTAGGCAATGACTCACAAACATACGGCTTTTCAATGTGCAGCTAATACACGGCGTAGGGTTTCATGGTGGAATGGATATAGTGTGAAGAATTGCGAAGATTGGACGTGGAATCTAAAACATTCGTGATTGAAAACCCTCGGCTTGGCTGGGTCCTTGGGGCTATTGATGATGTGTGCAGATTGATTCGATGAGACATCATTGAAGATGGCACGCTCCTGGCTTCTATGATCGTGGAACTCTGTTGTTTAGGCTATGTAATGTATAATTACTGATGTTCAGATACAGGAATCCACACGAGATATGGCTCGTACAGTGAAGCTAGCGCCGCCACCGGTGAGGGTACTAATATCTACCATGAAGCCTCTTCAGGTAAACAGCCTTCAGACAGATGGTCTAGCCCCGCGTAAAGCGGCACAATCGAGTACTTGGTCCAGAAAGGAGAGGCTTTGCAGTCACCAGGCCGAGGTCATGAAAGACAATGGATGCTCGACCGTGTCACGGAGTCTGCCCGCACCAGCGATTGACAACTTGCGCAATCATACAATAATGAAGGCTAGAACCCCAGCAACAAGCACGATGAAGCTTCCTATTCTGCACGATCTTGAAGCTGCACTACTGCTTGAACTGCTGTTTGAACTGCTGCTTCCCGAGTCGATCCCGAATGGTAGCCCTTGGTAGCCGAATGTCAGATTCTGAGGAATCGAAGAGTTATAACACTGTCCGTTCACGATATCCAGATTCGTAAGGTCGTCTGGCACCTTGAAGAACATGTAAGACGACTGATTCAGATCCTTGAAGCCCTCAGTGTTGTACGGGAATTTGTCACCCGAATCTGTAGAGCTCGTATTGCGCAAAAAGATGCACTGCACCTGACCAGGATAGTCTGTCGCCATTTCAGGGTAGTCTCGCATGACATCAGAGTTACTCGTGTCAGCAACCAAGATGAACTTGCGATTTGGAAACGTCTCGAAGATCTTGACGAGGAGAAATTTGCGGATGGACAGCGTTGCAGAGACATCACTGAAGTTCAGAGGACGTGTATCGAACGATCCGCCAGGATAGGTAGCATAAATGAAGTTCATATAGTTCCGCGTGATCTCCTCCGGAGTGGTAGTGAGGTAGTGGAAGTGCATAGTCGGGATGCTGTTCGACCAGTTGGCATATATGTCGGGCATGTTCAACCAAGGCGTGAATGGGCGAGCAAAGGTATTGAGAATGCCCTGTGCTGGTTCGTAGATCTTGGTAACGCGGAGGATGTCATCGATATCGCTGATGATCGTGAAGCCTTGATCAGAGACCAGATAGGACGTGGCATTCCCCGTGTCGGTCCCCTGGGCGTAGACATCCAACCTCTGGGGTGCTATATCACCGGTACCAGCGGTCAGCGTCAAGGAAGTATTCGATACTGGAACAAAAACATCGAAATCTCCTTCTGATGTTGTCAAGTCCGGCAACGTGATAGTCTGTTCACCTCCTGCTGGCGTGACACCACCGCCGCCACCGACCTGACCGCTAGAACCAGCCTCGGCGCCGGGAAGAATCTCCATAGTCACTGACTCGTTGCTCTGTTGAACCACGTATATTTCTCTTGTCACATTGCGAGTTTGGTCTTGTTCCGAAGCAGTAAGGTTGGCAATACTGGTGCCAATTAGGAAGCCATCGGCTAGCTTGTCGATAGTGGCATTGGAGACGTTGGGCTGCTTGAAGACATTCCCGTGTATCCGCAAACTCCAGCCATCGCTCGTCCAGTTTCCGTAGCCAGGAATATTCAACACTTGAGTCGGAGAGGCAGCCAGATCAGAACTGTTCACACCCAGGGAGCTGGCGACAGCACTGCCTGTAGGCAAATTCTCCAGGTTGGGCAACAGACCATTGGACACGTACGAGGGTATGGCCGTCCCCAGCTCACTGAAGATACTGTTGAGATAGGAATCGAGTTCTGAGGTGAGGTCTGAGGTGATATCACTGACGATACCTCGTTTCACGGCAGGATAGCCTCCATAAACCGCGAAGGTCGGTCCAGGAGTAATTAGAGCCTTTTCTTCTTGGGACACCTCGGTAGGAAGGGCGTTTGCGCAAAGGATATAGAGGAGCGGGAGGAGAAGTGAACGAATATCCATGATGAGGGAGGATAGTGTAGGAGGGAGTCTATGCGTCTGTTAGTCGAGACCTCGTGACAGTATTCGGGGGAACACAAACGCAGTCAAGTGTGGTCAATTATTAGGACCAGCGGTCAGGATATCAAGAATCAGAGTATATGCTGCATGATCAGTCACTAGTAGGTATGTGAATAAAAAGGTGCACGTAGAGGCACGCGACAGTGAGGTTGGTCTCGGAAAATGATGTAGTTACAAACATCTAACTTACTAGTACCGTTAGTGGCGGGAGCGGCGCATTTAAAGTGCACGATGTGCTGCAGCTGCACATGGCTGGTGCTGATTCTCGTGAGAAGTTATTGAAAACAAGCATCAAACAAGGAAATGCACGCCATATCTCGTTATGGTGGAGTTTACGGAGTAGTGATGCTTTGAAAACCGGAATGACTCGACTCGACTCGACTCTTGCGCGTGCCTGCGCTACACTTCGGGAATCCTCGCGCCAAATGTGACGTATGACATCATCGATACGCGCTACCTCGAAATGGGCCTAGCGCGCTCAGTGCTTGTTTGTATCTCAACTCCAGGTTCGTCCCAAGGCCCAAACTGCCCTGCGTATGGTATACATATACCCAGGGTATCTACTCGACATCCAGAGTAATATCTACGCGATTGTCCTCATCTATGAATGGGAATTTACTACCTGAAAACACATAAGCATTGGAGCCCCGAGCCCCGTACCTCTCTAACCATGGCTGCCATCTCTTCGCTGAATCTTCCAGGCGTACTCTTGGCCAGGTCTATATCACCATCACTGAATCTTTGCACGCGTGCCTTTTGGAAAGATCTTGAGGTCAAGAGTGGTTCCAGAATTGTCCTCTTTTTGAATACGCCCCGATCTCGAGTGCCCTTACAGATTCAGTCATAATGTACTTACTCCACACATTTCATGAAGACCCGTGTTCAGGACAACCCATGCTGAACACTGCTCATGTCCATGCATCAGACATGCCTCACAGTGAGTGAAGCTGCTGCATTATGCCTTTGGCCTGCGGTAAGATGCAAAGTTTCTAGATGCAGGAATTGACACGACCCTGTTGCGGATTATCTAGAAGGCATGGACTTCGACCCCTTGGTTTGTTTGGATCGTACACCTACGCGCCAGACTGAACAACGGCGTTCATTCCACATGGACGATCTTCTGAATACCGCAGCGTTACCCTCTATCCGTCCGTGCGCTACGGTCGAGATGGGGAACCGGCACTGGAATGCTACATTCTGATCTGAATGTTTTGATCCTCTCTCGTTACACGCCTGCAATATTAACTCAATCCTTCGTCAATCCTGATTGTCCTTCCCTCCTGCAGTCACTCATTTACTTCTGGAGTTCTGCGGTCCTCCTTCTTGTTATCCATTGCTCTTCTCACGTAATCCAAAGACGGACATCATGTGGCCGTCTTCGTCACTCTTTTTATCATTTCTTGCCCTACGGCTTGCAGTGGTCAGCGCTCAGGCTCTACAGACCATTGCCGATGGCCCTGCTGGAGTTTGTCCTGTGCCAGACGTTACCAGCGTTGTCGTTGTACAGCCAGCCTACTACAGCTCCTTTTTCGAATCTGCGTCGCAAATCAACAACATATATGGAATGGGAAATACGGTCATGATTGACAATGGTCCCACAACATACATTGAGCAGACTTATATCACGACCACCATAGTCTCAACCGTTACGACGACCATGGCGAGCTCTGCAACCTCCACTAGCCCATCCAACCCCATCTCCACTGGTCCTATCACGCCGGTGTCTTCGACAACTTCAATGCCAGCTTCGGCAAGTAGCACAACCAGTGCCGCAGTCATAGGCGAAAGGTTGGGTGCAGGCGTGCCAAGTGGAGTGGTGACCACTATTCCCGCCAGCTCACCTGTGCTCATGGCCGCTGCGGGAGGTGTTCAGGCAACAGGTGCAAAGGTCAAGAGACAAGACGACGGGTCAGCGCCCACAGCAGCGTCATGCCCGTCTTCCGCCGCGCCAACAGCGGCTGCACTCCTCTCATCAGACGACGACACAGACGCCAGTGGAGGCGCTACTGACAATTGCGGATACGCGACACGATTCTACATGAATAATGGTATGCTGCTTAGCGTCGGGACGAACAACTCCATTGGGCGAAATTTCAGTGATACCTACGCTGTGATGACACCCACGCCGTACTACAACGATGTCAACACTACTTTCTACTTCAACAATGGTATTCTCGGCTGGAATACCACAGATCGAGGCCCGGCGACATTTTACCAATGCGGCGATGGATCCGTCTACGCTGGTTTCCCTGACCCTCCTTCAACCGACTGTAACTCCATCGTGCTTGGAGGTATCGGAGCTTCAGCCTGTCCAGTGGACTATACTCCAGACGGATTAAGCAGCACCACATCCAGTTCCTCTATGTCTCCTTCTTCGACTGACACAACGTCAGTGTCGACGTCCCCAACCACAGTCGTATCATCCGCGAATTCTCCAGTCACCACAGCAATGACAACAACGTCCTCTGGAAGCAAAACTACCCCTGCATCGTCCACGCCCGGAACGAGCAGTGGACCTGCTGGTGGATCAAGCACTACGCCAGTGGTTGGCCCGAGTTCAAGCTCACTATCAAGCACGACTCAGAGTATTGTGAGCTCCGTCTCAAGTACTTCAGCAGGTACAGTGTCTTCCTCTCCTTCTTCGTCAGCTCCTGTTGTTTCCACAAGCACTTCGTCTCCGACTCCATCTACATCGGCTGGCTCTATGGCCACGTCGTCTAGTACGGCGCCACAGTCATCTACCAGTGGTACCACAGGGACAACATCAACACAGTCCTCGTCACAGTCATCTCCGGTCACAACGTCCGGTACATCGTCAACGACTGCTATGACTACAACTTCTGGTATGTCTTCTGTTGTTACAAGTTCTTCCAATACACTCCCTTCCACTTTCATGAGCACAACTGTTAGTACTTCCACGAGTACGACATCTAGTGGCTTCAATAATATGACCACTACTATTTCTTCGAGTATCACCTCGAGTACGTCCACAAACAATTCTACGAGTATCGCTTCAAGTACTTCCAGCGATACATCCACGAGTTCGTCCATGAATACCTTCACGAGTGCTTCTACGAACACTCCTACAACTATCTTCACGAGTACATCGACAAACGCTACTACGGGCACCATTACGGGCACTACTACAGGCACTTTCTCCACCTTATTTACTACTACAACGCCTTTCGGCTTCACAGTCAGCTCGACTACCACTAGTGCTACTACTAGCACACAAACCTACGGTACGATGGCATCCCGTGACGACGTTGGCATCGTTGAGACGCATGAAAGATTGCAGACAGTGTTCTTGACATTCATTGTTGCTTCTCGGTAGTTGAGACTGCCCTTGCTGATTCGAATATGCGCATTAGGTTCGGCTTCGTCTACAATGAGCAGCTCGACTGCCACCACTTCAACCTCGACGAGCGGTAAGTTTTCAGCTTTCCTAACATGCCCATCCTGTTCCGAACGCTGTAGGACATTTCCAGGTCCCACATAAAGTACGGATGTCGCGTCTTGGGGCCTTCTCACATACTTAAACAGCGAGGTATCCAGATGCACATTGCTAATCAAACGCTATGATAGTTACTACAATCTTTACGACAACGGGTACGAGCCAAACATCGTCCACAGCAACCATGAGTTCCACCACGATATCGTCTGCGGCGACCAGTAGCTCAGCTACCAGCACGAACCCTACCACGAGCTCGCTTTCAACCACAGCGTCAACGTCATCCATCGGCACCACTACATCTACAAGTACTACAAGTACGACGACAACGACGCTTGCCACTACTACATCGTCTTCAATTTCTACTTCCACCCTATTATACACCTCTTCGTCTTCTTCCACCAGTACAAGCACAACACTAACAACCACTTCTACAGCTTCAACCACTGCCACGACCGCCACTACCACGACCACTGACACAACCACCGCCACTACGACTACGGACACGACCACTGCCACCACGACCACGGACACAACCACTGCCACCACGACCGCGGACACAACCACTGCCACCACGGCCACTACTACAACCACTGCCACCACGACCACTGACACAACCACCGCCACTACGGGCACTGACACAACCACCGCCACTACGACCACTGACACAACCACCGCCACTACGACCACTGACACAACCACCGCCACTACGACCACTGACACAACCA